TAAGTGCTCCCCCTGCTGGGCCCCCAGCTACCATTACTTCTTCTCATCCAAATCCACTGACTGGATCTTACTGCCTCATCTGACATGTCCTTTACTATTATCCTCACACTCTGTCCACTTCCTCCTTACTCCCTTACCAAAGAGACAACAGACCTTGCTACAAATCCTCTACATCCTACTTCCACTGGACAAATCCTAACTTATAAAAAATATAAAATAAAATATCAGCCAGCTCATCATCTGTGAGCTTGAGTGCAGCACAGCATGGAGTGCTGCTCAGGAGGGGAGCAGAGAGGAAACACTCAATGAATGTTAAATATCTCACCTTCATTCCCAGGGGGAAGACATCTGGGCATGGACACAGCATAATCTTTCCATTCCTGGCCTACAAGAAAAGACAAATTCATTATTATCTGCTGGTTAACTTCATTAATACAACAACAAGCTAAAATCCAGTCTAACCTGCATGTAACAACTGAGACCCATGAGTGAACTTCAACTAGTGAGCTGAGTAGTGACCCTTGTCTCAGCTTGTCCTGAGTGATTGTCATAAAGGATGAGCTTCAGTTGCACATACTGTATTTACAATACTTATTTAAAAAAAAATTAACAATTAAGTTTCAAATTCAGCAGCCATCATCTTTAAAAGAAGCAAATACCTTAATCAGTGCACTTCTCTGAAACCAAACACTATGAGGATAAACTCAGTCCAGACTGACAGTCTGATCAGTCAACTCAAATGAGATTCAAGTGTGTTTTCTCTTCAGCCTGTGCATATTCTCATTTGTCCAGGTCATGGTATCCTAAAGGAGTTTTAAATCAAAACGCAACTGGACTTGATTATTTGTCTGGGAAGACGTTTCACCTCTCATCCAAGAGGCTTCATCAGTTCGTGTACGCATCTGACCAGTCCCAGCCTGGACTGGTCAGGCTGGTCAGACAAATAATCAAGTCCAGTTGCATTTTGATTTAAAACTCCTTTAGGGTGTGTTTTCTCTTGTCCCATTACTTAATGTTGGAGGACGGGTTCCCTCTCAGGTCCTGGTGTGGCTCACCATCTCCCTCATAATGGAGAAAATCCAGTTTTAGTTTCAGGTGGTATCAAACCCTTGCATAACAATGTAATACTCTTATTGTTACAGTCATACCATTATGATCACCTATGGCCATATCTTACATGAAATATTCTCAGAGAGAAATAGAGTAGATAATATGTTTATGACAGCTGGAGCTGTAACACACATTGTATGGAATGATTTTAATCTAAATTAAATGATTATGAATTGTTTTTAGCTTTTACTACCCATGAAATATTGATCACCAGCTCTTTTTTACCATGAACTATGATTACCAACCTTAACCATGAATTTTTATATACTTGTCTTTTAATCTTGAAGTGAAACACAATTCAATATGAAACCTCTTTTGATCATTAAAATCTAGATGAAAGTCATACTTTTAATCTTCACACATATTAAACCTTTTCTCACTCTTTTATGAACATTATTTTAACCTAATTTTGTTACAGAATACTAGTGATAACAAATGTTCTCAAAAATACTACATAAATCACTAAATAACACAACAGAGCAACAGTTCGTTTTCTTCATGTAAACTATATTATAAATAATGTTAATAAATAATATTAAATAAAGCTTATAACAAGTCACAGAAGTGAGCTTCATATTGACATGTAGCACATCAACAACACACACACACACACACACACACACACACACACACACACACACACACACACACACACACACACACACACACACACACACACACACACACCAGTAACCAGGATCGTGAAGGAGGCAACACGGGCTACCGCGGTTAGCTAGATTACCTTGGATGAAAATTAACTCACCAACACGGTCCAACAGCAGGAAACCCTTATTAAACTGGCTTTGAGTCATCTCCGCCGCTTCTGGTGTCACAAACACTTTTAACCGTCACAACAAACTTGTTGGTTGCAATTCTTGGACTCGTCTGTTTATTGGGGACCTTACAACAATATATCATAACAAAATAAATCACACTTACTCCACTTACCTCCTATAATCATAATAGAACCAGTGAGGGAGGAAAGACCTTAGGTATTGGTATACCCCCAACCCAGTGCACCAAAGTCCCAGCCCAGGTTACCTGTGGAGTCAACAAGGTCAACTACAGCCATTTCTTATAAGGGTTATTATGCCAGTACTAGTTATCATGGTGGACAAAGATCTGACACATGGACTTTGACTGGGGATTGTGGCTCATTGAGTAGATGTGATGGCCTTGAAAGGACAAATCGATAATATCAATTCCATATCATGCACATTAACATTAACTAGGACTTCAAAATGATACTACAAGCTACAACCCTGTTTCCTTCCTACATTTTGACATACCATTACCTTACTATTCTTTGATCTTCTGGAGAAAATGTTGTATTCTGTGTGATTTACTTTCATACACCCACTCTGTCTGTAAGTCTACTGTATAACACCATACCAATGAATAACCCACTACAGCAAACTCTGGAACAGGACTTTTAGGGATTTCTTCAACAGTTCCTGTGGAGAAAGATTAATTTTCATTACAACTAATACAGTCAACACCAAAACCTCGGTCATAGTTTAGTTGTTTAACATGTTGGAGAAAAAAGGACAAGAAATGTAACCCAATAGTTTCCCACTATGAAAATCTGAAACTTTCCATAACCACGTCTTTTTCCATCTCATGTTCAGTTTTCTATGAATTCACATCTAAATGAAACAACAGTAACGACTTCCTGTTTGACAAATTAAAGACCTGTATCTGGAAGACTGAAGGAACTCAGGACATGTGTTAGCTAAACAGAAACCACATTTTATCTCTCTTTTTCTTATTAATCATCTTTTATACTCATTACCTTCACCTTTATCTATGTGGCACATTTCCATACATTTATTTTTTTACATCCCTACACCTCCTTTGCCTGTCTCTCTGTCTCTCTGCAGCAAATTCAGACCAATCAGCAGCAAGTGGATCTGCATCATGTGACCTGTATGTCCGTGATTCACAAAAATCTGAGCAGAGATGCAGCGATGACTCACTGCAGTGACACACAGACACACATGAACACACACATACCTGCCTAACACATCTGTAATTTATCTGATCCCACTGACAACACCAACATATAATATTACTCACTTCTACATTTACTATGAATTTTTAAAAGGTCCCATATCTTACATATTTGAAGTGTTAATCCATAAGAAGTTATATTTATGGTTTAAAGTATCAAAACCCATCTCAATGGAGTTTTACATCTCTCTCTCATGACTTGTGACTAATGTTGACTGGCTGCTGATGAAGCTGTACTTGTGATTACACTATGAATATGACTCTAAGTATAGACATTGCCGCTGATGATATCGTGTCTAGAATTGTAGTTATTGCTGTGGCTTTATTTCTGCTCATGTGTAACTCTAAAATATCTGTCGGTCTGAGCTGACATATATCAGTTTTCAGAGTATTGTCATGAAGTTACCATCTGTTACATCTGAGAGAGGGGCAGGTTCAAGTCTTGGCAGGAGAGTCTGATTTTCACCATGCTTTCTTCCACAGTATTAATGTCTAATGTGCAGTAAAGAGAAGCAGGCAGTCAGAATCACAGCCTGATCTTACAGCTACAATCACAGTCTTTCATTACTGCAAATTTTAAAAGCTGTTTTCCCAGAAATTTCATATTTACATTTTATTAATATTGTTATGCTAAAAACAGACATAAGCCAGATTCCCGTCTTAACTGTGACAAATATATTGTGACTGAATAGAATAGAATAGTTTACAGTGAAGAGGAAATCGGAGGCGACAGACACTCAGATGACTCGTTTATGTTGGTGGTTTGATTTCTATATAAAAACAGTTGGCACAAATCAGTCAACCTGACTGGTTTTACATTCAAACTTCAGTCAACAGAGACAGAAAACAGCTGATCAACAGGTCACATGATATCCTGCTTTGATCATGGCTGCTGAGCAAATAAAAACAGACAAAAGCTGCTTCTTTATATCAGTGAATTCAGTTGGTCAGGCGCCTGAAGCAGTTGGTAGATTTATTTAGGGGAAAATAAAATCAGCTCAGGTGACATTAAACATCCTTAAATATTTAGCTTTTTATCCTCAGGTACGAGCAGTGCAGTGATCTCCTGGATTATCAGACGTTTCATCACCACCCCACATTATTCGTCCTTTTCCACTACAGGAACTTATTGAGCTGTAACTTCACATGTATCTGTTGTTTCTGGTTCTGCTTTAGTTTCCTCTGTTCTGAGGGTTAGGGTTATGGGTTATGGGTTAGGGTTCGGAGTTGGTGGAGTTGAGTCGTCTTGACTCTCTGACACAGCTGACAGCTGAGACGTCCAGGTGTTTTAACAATACTTAAGTCATAAGATGAAATGTGACAGAACTGTCAGCTTACTTCTTCTATTGTTGTTTGTCCCACTACTGGACTCAGTGTTTGTCCCTCTGTCATATTTAATGACATTCAATCTGAAATTTTCTAGTTTGTGAAACCCAGTGGGAACATGAGCAGAAGCTCAGACTTACTTCAGAGGTCACAGGTTGTTAGGTTCCTGTAGTGAAACAGAGATTTGAGTTGTGCGTTAAGGCCTGAGGTGTCGACATCTGCTCCCAGCCACAGCAACAACACTGTAAGTTTAAATCAATAAAATTTTATCCTCAAACACATTGACCTTCATTAACCTTTGACCTCAGGCACACTGACCTTAATTAACCTTTGTATAATGACTCACTGGTCTTCATTAACTTTAAATGTTAAACTTCTCACAGGTTCAGAGTTTCAGCTTCCAGGTTCTTTAACACGCTGATTTGATTCTGTGAGTTTATGGGTGTTTTATGCCTCTGTTGCCGTTGACGACCACCTACCCCACTTCCAACTCCCCCACCTACACCTCCACCACCACCACCACCACCACCACCACTCACCCTCACCCGCTGGCATGTGATAAATAAATAAATACCTTTCTGCAGCACTCACTGACACATTAAGCTTTCTTCTGCTATGCAACGAAACAAAATAAGGCTGAAGATCATATGTAAGGTTGCCATGGTAACTGGTCTACATCCACGATGGTACAATCAGAAGATAATGTTGGTTTTGATTGACAGCATGCAGTTAAAGTGAGCTAGTGTCCATGTTTCAGTCTCTCTTCAGTAGGAGGTCAAAAGTCATGATTCATCCAACTGTTGATCAGATTGCTCGTCAATCGCCATGGTAATGGCCTTAAAGCTGCAGGTGCAGCCAGTTTACATTCAGACCTCAGTAGGTCGATGGCTGCTGGGCGAGTCTCATTAACAAATACTGTGATTTCCTCTCTCTCTCTCTCTCTCTCTCTCTCTTAGCGATCAAGATCAACTATTCTGTTTCCTTCATCGTTCTCTTTGTCATCCTCTTTCTCCTCCTCTGTCTCTTTCTCCTGCTTTATTTTCACTTCCTCCTCCTCACACTCCCTTTCTTTCTCCTTTTCTTTCTCAAGCTTCTCCCTCTCTCTCTCCCTCTCCCTCACTCCCCCTTGGTTCTTCAGATCCTGAAACACCTCTGTGAAGAAGTGTGGGTTGGCGTTGATTCGTAGCATGTCAGCACTCAGACGGTCGATCAGCTCCAGCGCTCGCTCCCAGAATGCATCACGGCTAGACTCCACCAGGAAAGGTTTGAGGGGGTATGAGATCTCATTGCCAAGATAGGAGTAGGCCAGGTAGAGGCAGGTGAGAAAGGTGGCATGGAGCTCTTGCTCCGAAGATGTGTCCTCATCCACCGCCTCTCTGCACAGTAGGTACACAAAGACCAGACTGGCAGGACTGATGAAGCACTGGTCCTGGGGGTTAGGGTTGGAGGGGGGGCAAGCACAGGGCAAATAGTTCAGCAGATACAGATAGAGAGAAGAGAATTAACTAATACTATACACACAGTACAAGTAGTACTAGAACTACAGATATAAACATACAGGACAAATTGTAGTACTGGTGCTAGTAAGAGCAAATTAGTTTCAGAGGTGTCAGGACTAGATAAAGAGGTCTGAAGACTGAAAAGTCAACACAAACACCGACCTGCCAGCCTTGAACCAATAGCGCTCGGTCGACATTTCTGAACCAGAGGACAATCTGATTGGACGACAGCTCCTTCAGTTTGACACAACGATGACACAGAAAATCAGAAAGACAACGAAGCAGCTCACCTGTCGAAGCCTGCAGAGGAAAAGAGACAAGGAGACGTGGAGACACAAGGAAACAAGGACAGAGGAGACAGACTGTAGAGTTTGTGATTTTATCAGAAAGTGATTAAAGCTGTCAAATTGTTTTTGTTAAAATTTCAACAAATTCACTGTCGACCCTCCTTAGACATGTTCAAATGTGACATTAAACATTTTTATTTCAATGTTTCATTTGCATTGAATTAATAATAATACATGAACAACTGGAGGAATTAAATAAATATTTTCAATATGAAAATTCATTTCCTATGGTTTTGTTTCTTCAAAATCATTTTGACCAAAAATGAGGCTTTGACAGAACATTTACCAAATTTAATAGAAACACCTGGATCAGGTCGCTATAAAAAAAGAATTCTTATATGTATAAACCATGTGTAATGTATAATAAATATAAACTCTATAAACAAATTCTTATTAAATTATGTATATATATATATAAAAGCCTATATATAATTATTAAAATTATTTCTTGTCTATTTTCAGTACATTAGATTTTTCTGTTTTGCATATTTCATATTTGACTCCAACATTTTAAAGTTGAGAGTTTGACCGACCTGCACCACCACCCTCCGTGGTGAAATGATCGGGTCCGGCCTACCCTGCTTCTGGCTCTGGGAGTATTCCGGGACGGTTGGTACGGGTACAGGGATGGGCCCGTGTCTTTGTCCGGCCTTCAGTGTTCGGTGGCGGCTGTCGGTGGCCTCCTTCTCCCGCTGCACGTGCCCGGAATCGGGCGCCGCCGGCTTCACCTTCTTCCCGCCCTTCCTCTTGGCTCGCGCGGCCACGAGGCGTTTCTTCCAGCTGAGCGCGTGCAGCAGCACCGGGTGCCGTTTCTTCTTCTTCTTCTTTTTGCCATCCTTCTCTTCCTCCTCCTCCTCCTCCTCGCGGGCCTCCAGCGGCTTCTGAACCGCGAGCTCCGCGAGCTTGTCTGGCCCACGAGCAGCGGCTTTCCGTGAGCCCGGAGACAGAGACAGCACCGTTCCCATGACGACAACCGGTCCGAGCGGCGCTAGCCTCTCTGCGGCAGCGCAGGAAGAGGAAGAGCTGTCTGTCTGTAAGGCCCTCGCGCTAAACCGTTAAACCGTTAAAAATAAAAATCATCCATGAAGAGAAAAGAGAAGTCTGTCTGCAGCTCCATCACTCCTACACCGTCTGTCTCTACCTGTCTGTCTCTCTGTGACGCAGACTGAAGGAATAGATGGGGATGGGGATGGGGATGGGGGGGGGGGGGGGGGCTGCTGCAGAGACTCTGTCCGCGGTGCTGAAACTGAGTAGACACAGTTTAAAGCTGCAGTGGAATCCAGTGAATCCATGTCTCCAGTAGAAACTTAAAATCACCATGGCAACAATTTAACTGTAGTTTGGCACAAACAGCTGATTCAGATCAACTCATACAAAACACAGTTTTCACTGGAAAACGACTCTTTATAACAGGAGACATTCAGCAGAAGGTCAATCCACTGAGTGAAACTTGGCCTTTCCTGTTAATGTATCACAATAAAAGTCTCCCTCAAAAAAGAAGGGATTATTCCCACAACAACTTTAGGACTTTTATTTTGTGTAGAGTTCACAGGAAACAGAAGTGCTGTGAACAGGAAGAGGAAGAGATCAGGAAACAGAGGTCTCGTAAAATAGGATCAAATATCCATTAAAAACAAGAAAAATTAGTCATTCATTCATTAAACTCAAGGATTCTTGAAAAACACATTATCTCATGACACCATGTGATACCACAGTTTATCAAAAAACACAGTGAAACATGGTGGTTTTTACTCTGGAGTCAGACACCTGCACTAAACACACTCCACCCTGACCAAGGTGAAGCACCAATCAGATGACATCTTCCACCCTCTGGTCTGCAGCAGGATCATGACCCAAACACACCTCAAAGCTTTGTGAGAACAACTGGAAGACCACAGAGGACCAGGGAGTCCCGACTGTCCTGGACTTTCCTCCACAGTCAGAAAAAACAACATTCAAACTAAAATCACAATATCTGCCTAAATAATAAGTTTTTGTTTGTTTTTTTTTACATATTGTGCAGGCCTAATTATATATATATATAAAGTTAACATTATATCAACATACTCCCTATTTGATTTTAGAATTTATTTTCCGCACTTTTATTTCTTGTGTTTATTCTCACTGTTTTGTTGCTGTGGGCAGAGGAAGCTTTAGAAATTAAATCTCAGTTAAAAATAATGTCTGATGTATGAAACAGCATCATGTTGATGGATTATCACTATTCATACTGTTACTGATGCTGTATTGTCATTATGATTAAACATAACAGTAAATCTGTTACTGTCTGTATGATATAGGGCATATTTACATATAAACTACATTTTTACATTATTATTTTTGTTGTTAATGATAATAATGATTAAACACAATCACACTGCCAGTCAGTGTCTCTCAACCCCCCCGAGTGAACGTGTGTGTGTGAGTGTGTATTTCAGCGTGTGTGTTGTGGGCGGAGCCTGTGGTAGCAGAAGGTTCATTGTCTGAGGAGGCAGAGAGAGAGCGGGAGGAGGGAGGGTCGAGCAAGGTAGACAAAGACTGCAGCTGGCAGAGAGAGAGAGAGAGAGACAAAGAGGAGGGAGGCAGACTCTCTCTTTCTTTCTTCATGTGGGGGAGGAGAGGGGGAGGATTAACCGGCTGATCTGCCACACACGCTTACACACAACACACACATTTCATATTAACACACACACGCGCACGCACACACACACACACACACACACACACACACACACACACACACACACAACACGATAGCAGAGAAAAGCTTCATCTGGATCAGCAGCATCATCATCATCATCAGCAGCAGCAGTAGCGGTGGTCGTGGTGGAGGAAGCGAGGACGAGAGACAAAGAGACAGAGAGACAGGAGGTGGAGGGAGACGATCGGCACGTCTGAGGAGAGAGACAGACAGGAGGAGAAGGAGACAAGAGAGAGAGAGAAAAGAGAGAGAGAGACAGGCCTTCTCCACCTCGACCGCCCGTCTGTGTTCAGACTGTGATGGCCGACCACATGTTCCTGCTGCTGTGTGTCTGCTGAGTGTGTTGTTGTAAGTGGGTGTGTTCGATCTGTTCAGTGTGTGTGTGTTAGCAGTGTGTGTGCGTCTGTGTGATGGGTAACGCAGAGAGCATGGAGAGCCAGCTGGCTGTGATCCGGTCCAGAGCAGCTCCGGTTCGACTCCCGATGCCCGACCCAGCTGAGCTGGAGGAGAGATTCTCCATCGCACTGGTGAGTACACAATACAAATACACATACATGATACACAACACGATACACACACACGATACACAACACAAATACACACACGATACACACACATGATATACGCACATGAATGATTTAATCTATGTGATATACAGACTGATAAATACAAGCTGTCTACACAGTACCTAAAGGTCTCATGTGGAATTCATGGTTTGGTGGACTCTACTGTATCTGTCGGGAAAATGACTGACTGATACTAATACCAACAGAGTAGCAGGTTAAAACCAGGTCCAGGTCTCCAGTCTGCGATTGGTCTGAGATTCTGAGAATCAAGATCTGGTCTGGGTATGAATCCAGTGTGTTACTGCTGGTTCTGGCTGTTCTGATGAGCCTGCAGACCGGCAGAGCTCCTGGTATTCAAGGACTTCAGGTTGGCTTTTATGAGTTTTTCTGGTCTGTGTTGAGCCTCTTGGAGGTACCCAGAGTCTGTCTGGTCATCAATCTGAGCTGGGGGAGTTAAAGAACCACAGAGGATCTCTCTGATCTGCATCAACTATAAGATCCAGTAGAAATCCTCTGAGTTCTGTGATCCAAACGGACTGACTGCATGTCTGATAACATCTGTTTGGTTCCAGATATTCTGGTCTCTGACTCAGGGCTGAGGTTCACAGCCAACAGGAGTGTTGCTCAGTTGGAAGGTTTCTGCTCCTTCGTGTCTGTCAGAGACTATATAATCTGAAACAGTACTTATGTTCATTAGTCCGGTCTTTGGAGGTGGTCTTCAAGTTTGGTTTGAGGTTCAGGATATCACCTGTTAAACTTGGAGAATATTTCAGAAAATGTCAAAGGTCCATCTCTCCTGTCTGAAGTCCAGAGTTGATTGCACCAGGGTTCCTCATGTTGTAAGTGGAGGGTGGACAGGGTGTGGTACATCACGCCAGTAAGGGGTCCTGCTTTCCACCTCCCATTCATTCACAGACTGGTTACCGGACACACAGACCCGGGGCCTCATGTACAAAGCCTTGTGTAGAACTGATATTTAATCATATCGTATGCACCAAGCTGGAAAGATGTGTACGCAACAAAAGATGAATGAAACCGTGCACACACAGGATTCCATGCACATTTTCTTTTTACATCACAATCAACGTGAAATTGAGCACACATGTAGGAGACACTCCACCATCTGTCTGCCCTGAATTTAATATGTTATGTATAAATACATCTGGACATCCTGCCACACAGAGAAGTATGGAGTGATTTTATTCTGCACTCTGTGAGTGTAGCTGAGGCTGTTAATGCAGCTGGGTCCTGACATGTGATGCAACAAAATTAGGTTTTTTTCTTGTACATTATGGCTGTTCTCTTGATCTAAGTGACTAAAGTAGTTTATGGCTGTTTTTAGTTTATTTCATACATTTGAAATTAAGTAATGCACCTGAGAAAAGGGGAGACGATCCAAATCTTTTCCAACATTGCGCATTAGTTTATAGATGGAAGTAAATGACTCATATGGACAAATGGGCTCATCTGAAAACTCTGATTCTCAGAACTGTCAAAACTGTACCTGACCTCACCTGCTGCCCAGAAAAGTCAGAGTCAGATCCACTCAGGTCATTGTTCAGTTTGTATGATCTGCTGACATCCATGACTCCACATCCAAACACTAATGAGTCTTTAAGATAATAAGGGGTCATTGCTGACATTTCTTTTATTTCTCTTATTGCTTACGCTGAGTTAGAGTGTTGATGTTCATGAACACTTAGTGAGTGGTCCTCCCTCTTAAATAAAACTGTCGGCACAGAAACACGGTGGATGGTTCACAGTTGTTCTGGGTTAGAGTTAAGGTGGTTGAGTTGTTGGGTTGTATTAGGGAAAGGTATTTTGTGGATGTGCTGATGTAGTTTGTTTACGATGCACACAACATCTTTATAAAATGTATTTATGTGCCTCACAATGTGTTTTTCAGAATTCAATGAACTTGCCTCCTGATAAGGTGCGTTTGCTGCGTTCCTATGACAACGAGAAGAAGTGGGAGCTGATCTGTGATCAGGTAGGTAGTGTTAATAAAGTTAATGAGTTTGAATCTGTTCCTACCTGAATAAGCTGGACTTTTACTCCTTGATAGTCTGCAGAAAAACCAACACAAACACAGTTACACTTCATTTATATTTAAAGCATATTTCACTTTTACATCTATAAGGCAAGTAGAAGTGGAGCACTGACCCTCAGAGGGCCTTCAGTAATTTGGATAAAATTCTCTTAAAATGAAAAGTAATAAAGTAAATAAAAACATTGTTTTAATGTCAGAACTAAAACATTAATGCAGGTGTATACACACTTTAGACCACCTGCTACAGGGTGTTTGCAGACAGGTTAAATAGGTGTAAGACAGGTGTTATTGGTGGGCGGGGCTTCATATCAGATGTTATTCAAACATACTGTGTGTGTGTTTGATGTAGGAGAGGTTTCAGGTGAAGAACCCGCCACATACCTACATCCAGAAACTGAGAGGTTTCCTCGACCCGGCCGTCACACGCAAGGTGAGATGGGAAATGGAGTTTGTAGATGGCCTGTCCATTATTAACCTGTCTATCTCTCTCTCTACCTGTCTTTTTGATATTAACCTGTCTGCGTCTCTCTCTAACCTGTTTGTCAGTAATCTCTAATCTGTCTCTCTCTGACCTTTCTGTCTCTCTCTAACCAGTTTCTCTCTCTCTAACTTGTCTGTTTCTCTCCCTAACATCTCTGTTGCTCTTTCTACCTGTCTGTCTATTATTAACCTGTCTGTCTCTCTCTCTCTATCTGTCTGTCTGCAGAAATTCAGGAGAAGAGTTCAGGAGTCGACTCAGACACTCAGAGAGCTCGAAATTTCTCTTCGTACAAACCACATCGGGTATCTCTCTGACTACCTATCTCTCTCTCTAACCTGTCTGTCTCTCTCTTTAATACGTCTGCCTCACTCTAACCTGTCTGTCTCTCCCTGACCTTTCTGTCTCTCTCTAACCTGTCTGTCTCTCTCTCTCTAACCTGTCTTTCACTCTCTCTCTAACCTGTCTCTCTCTAACCTCTCTGTGTGTAGGTGGGTCAGAGAGTTCCTGAATGAGGAGAATCGAGGTCTGGACGTTCTGGTCGAGTATCTTTCCTTCGCGCAGTATGCCGTCACGTAAGTTTCTGTTTGAAAAACTGCAACACATTTAAAGGACGAACACATGTATGATGTGGTTCATGTGTTTTATGAACATGGAACAGGTTTCAGGTTAAATCAATCAGCTGATGGGTTAGGGTTAGTTAGGTTAGATTAATCTTCATGTAAATGTAGAAAACTGAATCCAGACTCAAACTGACGTGGCAGCAGATTATTCGTTATTTGGTAAAAATATAAATTTGACTTTTAGTACGACAACCCTCACTTTCACTTTCTGTAGGTTTGATACTGAAATGACAACAACATGCAATAACTCTGATCTTATATTTATATATATTGATGTATGTTTATGTGTGTGTAAACATTCAGGTTTGATGGAGAGCAGTCAGAGGCTGGAGGCGAGGTCTCGTCCATCGACTCTCCCTGGAGTCGGTCCATAGAGGATCTCCATGGCGACTGCAGCCTCCCCTCCCCATCATCCTCTGTCCCCCGAGCAGCTCGACACTCCATCAGGTAACAAATGAAGAAATGTGGAAACAGAAACACTCACCAGATAATCTTCACTCTGACCTCTTCCCATGTTCTCTCTGTTTGTAGTTCGACTCTGGTGACTCGGTCCAACACGCTACCGAGTCGTCGAACTCTGAAGAACTCACGACTCGTCTGCAAGAAGGACGACGTTCATGTTTGCATCATGTGTCTGAGAGCCATCATGAACTACCAGGTAACACACATTTAACATTATACTTGACAGCAATAAAATTACTCTGACCTAATTATCCTGAAGTAATCAATCTGAGACCCATCCAGAGAATTTAGCCCAGTGATGAGTTGATTCATTCACAGATTCTGAAGAGAACGACGATGATGATGTAAAATGTTAAAATTAAGATATTTATTCTGAACAGATCTTCTCGAGTGACTTTAGTATAGATTGAACACATGACATATTGAATATCTGAGTCATTACATGTCACTGATCTTCCTCTTCCTCAGTACGGTTTCAACATGGTGATGTCTCATCCTCACGCTGTCAACGAAATCGCCCTCAGCCTCAACAACAGGAACCCCAGGTCAGTATCACAACTACAGACACTAGGTATTAAATACTACATATAAAAAGGCAAACTACAACTGTATAGAATAACAACCCCACCCCCATCTCTCTATCCAAACCACCAACCCCCCCACACCATCATCAGGACGAAGGCTCTGGTGTTGGAGTTGTTGGCGGCAGTGTGTTTGGTCAGAGGAGGACACGAAATCATCCTGTCGGCCTTTGACAACTTCAAAACTGTAAACAACATTTAACCCTTGTACTGTAGTGGTTGATTGGTTGGTTGATTGATTGATTGATTGATTGATTGATTGATTGATTGATTGATTGATTGATTGATTGATTGATTGATTGATTGATTGACTGATTGATTTGTTCCAGGTGTGTTCAGAGTCGATGCGTTTTGAGAAGTTAATGGAACATTTTAAGAATGAAGATGACAACATCGACTTTTTGGTATGATGGATTCATATTATCTGACCTCTGTTTACGTAACTTCCTCTGCAACATTAAAAATTTAACTCTTCACTTGTTCATGTGAACATTACTGTTCATTACATGTCACCAGCTATAGTGTCATAATGATCCTCAACATGATCAAACTTGTTTTTTAACTTATTTTAACATGATGAATAAAAGTATAAGCTCCCAAGTCACTTCATTTGATTCAGCTTTAAACATAAACGTCACTTTATTTCACTTATATTATAATATATATATATATATATATATATGTTTAACTTATTAACTTTATCTTTCAAACCTTTAAGTTTTTTACTCCAACATAACTCACCTGTGCAGTTTAAGTGGGTAACAAGTTACATCATCAGGTTAATAAACTGGTTGTTAACGGACTATATCTTTTCTGTTGCTATGGTAACGGGGCAGGTGGCCTGTATGCAGTTCATTAACATTGTGGTTCATTCGGTGGAAGACATGAACTTCAGAGTCCATTTGCAGTATGACTTCACCAAACTCAACCTGGATGAACACCTGGAGGTAACACCGTGACATCATCGGCTCTCAGCCAATCACAGAAGAGCAAATATCTTCTATGACTCTGTACACACTAGAATGCAATTATGATCACATGATCAGCTATCAGCCAATCATATGACTTCTGTACAATAATCAAACCTGACTCCGTACTTTCAGGGTTATTGGACACAAAGAATTTAGCGTATCATACACTTTTAACCTGTATGTGTTCCTTTGTCCTCACCTGTCTCACCTCAGAGGCTGAAGCACACAGAGAGTGACAGGCTGCAGGTTCAGATTCAGGCATATCTCGACAACGTGTTCGATGTTGGCACACTGCTGGAGGACGCTGAGACCAAAACTGCTGCTCTGGAGAGAGTCGAGGAGCTGGAGGAGAGCTTGAGCACGGTGAGACAGACAAAGAAAGACAGACCGATACCTGTCTGTCTCTCAACTGTCCTCAGATGTCAGAGTGTCTGGTGGAGGAACAATGACAGGCAGATAGAAAGATTTAGAGACAGTCGTGTGTAAAGACAGACAGGTAGAGAAACAGGTGTATTACTGACCTGTCCCTGTCTCAACTGTCCACAGATGTCAGAGCGTCTCTTGGATGTGGAGAACGAAGCGATGCTGAAGATCGTTGAACTGGAGAAACAGCTGATGCAAACCAACAAGGAGCTGGACAACCTCCGGGTCAGTGCTGTTACCATGGAAACCACACAAACACTTAGTCACCGTGGTGACAGAAAATGTTGTATATGATGCTGATGACAAGATGGATGTACATTTCTGTTTCACCATCTGATCAGAAAAATGTTTCAATATGTCAGGCTGATACTTACCTAAAACCCCACCTGTTACCTGTACAGTCTGTTTAACACCTGTTACCTGTGCTGTAACATAGTGTACTGTCCCTTTAACACCTGTTACTTGTGCAGGAGGTGTATGCAAGTGCCAACACCCAGGTGCACACCTTGCGGCGGATGGTTCGAGAGAAGGACCAGACGATCCGGCGTCAGAGTCGTCTAGAGCGTCAGGCTCAGGAGGCCCAGCAGGCTGGAGGACCTGGAGCTCCTCAACCTCAGAGAGGGGAGGGGGATGGGGGGGTGGCTGACTCTGCCTCCCCCTCACCTCCACCTTGTCCTAACCTATCCCCCAGGTAAGGCCAGATATTTCCCAACAGGAGACATAAGATAAAGAAAGAATATTGGACTTAGATTCATCAGGTGGACACAAATACCGCTGCCCATAAATTATCATGTTGATCTGTAACTGCTGGATGTGAAGAAAAGAATTTAGTATGTAAATTTAAATTATAATGGACCAATGACAGAACCCTGAGGAACCACTAAAGTAATTATAAACACTATAAATGACATAGTGATGTTGTTCATTGTGTGCTGGATGAATAACTGTTCAATATAACCTATAAGTTATAATGTGTCCAATATGCTTTTCTTTGTCTGAAAGGTGTCAAAAATATATTTCAAAAAATTAATTAAAGCAGCTTCAACCTAGAACCAACCTTTCTTAGTATATACATGAAAAATATAAAGGGCCAATAATAGAACCCTGAGGAACCCCAGAACTAATTATTAATATAATGGGATGCTGTTGAATAAACAGAAAACAATTTGTTAAGATTTAAAACATATCTTAATCAGATAATAACATGTAAGAAGTGTTTACTGTTGTAAAGATCTGCCAATCAAAAAAAGAGTAATACAATTTTAAAGATCATATTTATTCTAACAAGACCTTTTAACTATAAATATGTGCTTTAAAAAATCAAAATAAGAGGAAAAAAAAAATGTAACTTCTGGTAATTTAGGTCAAAATCATAAAATGTCAGACATCCCGAAAAAAACAGCAGAGGGAATATAACAGCAACCAGTGACTCAGTGATTTGTTGTTGACCGGTTATTGATTTTGGCAGCCCTGAGACCGTAGCCTATCACAGCATGGGACCAGGGATGGGTGGAGCTCCAGGCATGCCGGCCCCACCCCCTCCGCCTCCTCCACCACCAATGCCAGGCACAGGTGGGTTTCAGCTCCACCAATCATAACACTCATCTGATTTAGATGTTTAATCAGAGAAAATAGCTGAAGGATAAATGTTCAGTACAAAAGAAACAAAGGTGTAAACAATTCCTGTTTTCTTTCTACTTCTCTTTGTCTTTAAAGTGTCCAACGGGCCATACCCTGCACCTCCACCCCCTGCTCCTCCTCCACCTCCCCCACCCCCTCCCCCCTGTCGGACGAGTGAGCTGTCGACCCTCCCCCCCATGTGGCACCCCCTCTTCCTGGGACAGGGGGGTCCCCTACAGTAATCTTTAACTCCGGACTCGCAGGTAAAACCAGATTAGTGTTTCACCAGCTCCATCTTATAAAATTAAATTTGTGACAAGATATTTTCATTTTATTTGGTTGTTGTTTCACTAACTTGTTGTTTTTCCTCATTTGCTGACAGAGGGGCCCCTCAAGTTATTCTGTAAGTTTACTGACATTTTGATATTAAACACCACTGTTGTCTAGCGCTGTTGCCTCACAGCAAGAAGGTTCCGGGTTCGAGTCCCGGCTCGGACGCGGGGTCTTTCTGTGTGGAGTTTGCATGTTCTCCCCGTGCTTGTGTGGGTTCTCTCCGGGTACTCCGGCTTCCTCCCACAGTCCAAAGGCATGCAAATGGGGACTAGGCTGATTGGTTACTCCAAATTGACCATAGGTATGAATGTGAGAGTGAATGGTTGTTTGTCTCTGTGTGCCCTGCGATGGACTGGCGACCTGTCCAGGGTGTACCCCGCCTCTCGCCCGAAAGGATGCTGGGATAGGCTCCAGTCCCCCCGCGACCCTACTAGAGGATAAGCGGTAGAAAATGAATGAATGAACACCACTGTTGTCACTGTTTCCCCTCCTCCATGACCTGGAAAATTCTTCCCACCAGCCTCCAGTTAATCATGTTAATGTTTGATCCTGTCTGTCGACCTGGAACAACCAGTAACCAGTGACGTTTGAGGTTTATACAAAGGCCAAGCAGATTTAAGTAGGTTTCATATGTGATTTCATATAAAGTCAAATAAAGTTAATAAGTTGATCAGGTACAAACTCTCCTAGGACACAAACTGAAGCAAATATGTGTTTGTCATAAACAGAGGAAAAAACAGATCTGAAATCAGTTGTAGCCTGAGCTGCCACACAAGGTCAGAGTTAATCTGTCCAGGTAGTTACAGGTAACACAAGATGAAAAAGAATAAATCAGAGAAAATTCAATTCACAAATCAGACTTTTACTTAATCCCAGTATAAGTCTGATTCCAAGTGTCCCTTCTCACTTGTCTCTTCTCCTCACCTGTCTCCCTGCTCACCTGTCCACCTGTCTCGTGCAGCGGTGAAGATAAAGAAGCCGATCCAGACCAAGTTCAGGATGCCGGTGTTGAACTGGGTCGCTCTGAAGCCAAGTCAGATTAATGGGACCGTCTTCAATGACATCGATGACGAGGCCATCCTGCAGGTAACACATACAACCAGGAGCTGGACACAGAGGACTGATTACCAGTGTCATTGTTTACCTGTCTCTCTGATTAACCATCTCTTTCTCAGGACCTGGACGTGGAGGAGTTTGAGGAGCTGTTTAAGACAAAGGCTCAGGGTCCAGCGGTGGACTTGACTCTGTCCAGACAGAAACTTCCTCAGAAAGCTCCATCCAAAGTTTCCCTGCTAGAGGCCAACAGAGCCAAGAACCTGGCCATCACCCTGAGGAAGGCCGGCCAGGGTTCAGAGGTCATCTGCCGAGCCATCCACATGTAGGTCAAAGTGCACCAGTAACTTTCCCACCAGTAAAACCTCAAATATCTCCAGTAAGACAACTGTACAGTGGTCAGAAGCAGGTAAAAGCGGAATCAGTGCAGCTGAATGTCGGCACCACATGACCAGGTATGGTAGTTCTGATCAGTTTCATGGGATTAAAAGGTGAGTAGTTCAACAATCAATAATCAGCTCCAGTCAGCAGCAGTCAGGCCAGCTCCTGCCCAGTATTGCCAACCAGAATCAGACCGGTATACAGCAGCTGATACTGTCAGGACTCCATCAGATGAGACCATTAGACAGGTGTGTTCAGGCTGTGATTACCTGCGAGTCCATTCACAGTTTTAATAGGAAGGTGTTTTGTGTTAGATCTAAATGATTCCCTGTAACTGAACAGCAGTCTGGTTGTTTGTGCAGCTTTGACCTGCGGACAGTCCGGGTTGACTTTGTGGAGTGTCTGATGCGTTTCCTGCCGACGGAGGCTGAAGTGAAGCTGCTACGGCAATATGAAAGGGACAGAAAACCTTTGGAGGCCCTAAGCGACGAAGACCGATTCATGATGCAGTTCAGTCGCATCGAAAGACTCAGTCAGCGCATGTCAATCATGACTTTCATGGGCAACTTCACTGACAATGTCCAGATGTTAACTCCGGTAAGACAAACAGGTGTTTAGACAGAAAACATTGTGCATGGTCACACTTCAAACACCTAGTTCAAAGCTCAGTTCACACTGATTAAAATGCACTAGTTTCTCACACACACACACTACTGTTTTTTTAATGAGTGATGAACTGTTCTTTTCCTCCAACCCATCCATACCTAGCACCTAACCACATCACCATACACTACTGTAGAGTCACAGATTACTTCTAAAAGCCAAGAAAACCAATGTATGTGTTTTACCACTGACACAATGTGTCATAAAGCAGGAGAAATCTAAACAGATTGGTTTGCAAATGTAATTCAGCTCTAGAGGAGCAGTTCAAAAACAAACTAGATTTCAGGCTCAACCACCATTACAGTCAGAGAGATGTGATTTCACTTCACTTACATTCACTTTGAAATGTTCAGTTCACTGTTCAGGAACGTGATCCATTAGTTCATGCACAGCACTGTCACAAAAATGTGTGGACAGACAGACAGGTGTGTTGACAGTGACCTGTCTCACTGTGTTCAAGTCAATTTTTATTTGTATAGCGCTAATTCACAACATAAGTTATCTCAAGGCAACCTGGTTTTTTTTTCGTGCCAGCAACTCCACGCCATCATCGCTGCCTCAGTTTCTATAAAATCGTCTCAGAAGCTCAAGAAGATCCTTGAGGTCAGTGTGAGCTTTACATGTCTGTATATATTCAGAATATGTATCTATATCACCTGATATGTGTCAGCATAAATTAATATACAGTGTATACAATCCTATTTTTATATAAATATATATAATGTTAATGTGAGTGAAATGGCATCTGATCTTGTTGTAGATCATCTTGGCTCTGGGAAACTACATGAACAGCAGTAAGAGAGGAGCCGTCTATGGATTCAAACTGCAGAGTTTAGACCTGGTAAGAGACACACATACACACACACACACACGACCAAAGACATGAGACTTAACCAAGCTCGAGTCAGACTCAGGCATTGACTGTGTCTCAATATGTCAGTGAGTGTCCTCACAACTCACGTAAGACACACGTGTGTTTTTAGCTCCTGGAGACGAAGTCGACTGACAGGAAACAGACGTTACTTCATTACATCGCCAACGTGGTGAGAGAGAAATATCCTGCAGTGTCTCCCTTCTATAACGAGCTTCACTACGTCGACAAGGCTGCTGCAGGTGAGTCTGTCAGCCAATCACAGCTCTGCAGATACATCACTTACCTGTCTGTTTACCTGTTCACCTGTGTATTTTAGTGAGCCTGGAGAACGTGCTGTGTGATGTGAAGGAGCTGCAGCGTGGCATGGAACTCACCTGGAGAGAGTTCAGTGTTCAACACAACGCGACGCTCAAAGACTTCATCAGCAGGAACGAATCACGACTCAGCAAACTGCAGGAGGATGCACGCATCGCACAGGTGAGACCACACATACATCATACAGGTGAGGATGCACATACCACACAGGTGATAACACACATTCAGGGTCCTGTTGATATCCAGACTGACACATTCAGGTTGGTAAAATAAAAACACTTCACTGAGAATCCTCCTGTTTCTAAGTTTCCTTCAGTATCACAGTGATACAGTGACAGTTGTCTGAACATCATGACACACTGCAGACAGGAGCTGATCACAGCTGATTCTGTTAACTACTACTTTGACTATTAACTTGTTTTTATCAGGCTTAGAGGTTCATCTATAAAACTGATAAAAAACACTCGTTAGTAGCAACAGTGACTCACGTTCTTCAGCGTTTAAATCATCCAACCTGCAGCAGGAGATGTAACATCAGGCTGCGTTCACACCATCAAACAGAACTGACAGCAGCCTGTTCAACACTGTAGTCCAGAAACTAGCCGACCGTTTAAACATAAGAGAGGAGAAATTATTTAACAGGACATCTAATTTTTTCTCTCATTTTCCATGACCGAAAACTGGTCAACTGTTTTCCAGGTTTTCAAGGATACATGTGAACCCTGATTATGTAAAAATTATAAACAACACTTATGTTCTGTTGTGATTTTTTTTAACTACAATTTTAAAGTCCTTAAAAACTAAATGGTTCTTCAAAAGTTAAAATAATAAACTAATAACAGAATATTTGCGTTTTTACTTTTGTGTAAGTGTTTTATCTTAAAATCTATTTAATAGAAATAACAACACAGACTATCTAAAGGAGTTTCGCGATGTATGAAATGTTTTCAACCCATTAAATCTGTAGAATATCCACACTGTCTACTAAACTAATGTTTTTATTGCCGTATAATTAAATTATCTTTCAGGCTGATGACATCACTGCTACAGTTGTCCAATCACAGCAGAAAGACTGTCATCAATAAAGTCTTTTCACAAGTTGTTTCTAATTTGTAAACCATAATTATAAATACTGCTATTCAAAAACTATTTAATTCAACCAGCTGGTCGACTGTGTTCAACGACACTGTACAACTTATATACACTGTAAAACAAACTGGATCGTTTCTTTTGTTTGGACTTTAGGACGCGTTTGAAGATGTGGTCAAGTTTTTCGGAGAGAGCTCTAAGACGATGCCACCATCCGTCTTCTTCCCCATCTTTGTTCGCTTCATTAAAGCATACAGGGTGAGTAAACACAACTCATCTCAGTCCTTCCCACAGCGACTGCAACAAACACAAATCATTTGTTGTGCGTTTGTTCAGCTGGCAGAGGAGGAGAACGAACAGAGGAGACGTCAGGAGCAGATGTTGTTGGAGAAACTGGAACAAGAGGAGCAGCAAGAGGAGGAGGAGACAAAGGTGAGACCTGCTGAAACACCTGAAGTTTAAATATTCACAGGTGCAGAGTCACATCATCATCTAAACAGTCTCCGATTGGTCTGAAGGCTGTGACTGTGCTGAGGTCATTCATGTAAAAAGCGGGACAGACGCGACGGGCTCATGAGTAAAATAATGCAATTTGTAAAGTGATTTTAAAGGTTGAACTTAATAGTCCCCCCCCCCCTCTCAGTCTCCTTCCCACAGGGGGAAGCGGCAGCAGCAGGAGCTGATCACAGAGCTGAGACGACGACAAGGAAAAGACAGCCGCCATGTTTATGAAGGGAAGGATGGAGCTATAGAGGACATTATCACAGGTAAACACTCCAGCCCAGGTAAACAGACACAAATCAGACCAAGTGTTCCCTGTCTGTCATGTGATTGGTTCTTTGTTTTTTTGGGTTTTTTTTTTCCTGCAGCTCTAAAGACCGTCCCTTTCACGGCTCGATCAGCCAAACGCAGTTCTCGTTTTTTCTGTGACCCCACCCACACCGAGGAGCACTACTGAGAAAGAGAGAAGGCCTGAGACCTTACATCAGAGAGAGAGAGACCATACGTTTTAAGTGACCATGTCTGAGGACAATGATGCGTCTTCTTCAGCTGGCCATGCCCACTTCTAATCAATGGGACCAATTAGCACTTTGAACATTTCTGATCGATCGATATGAACTGATGACATCGTGATTTGTATGTTATTTTATTGGTTTGTTTGTGCACGGACTGATGCCCAGACACCACCTGACCTCTGACCTTTGGATTTTTGTTTTCATGTGTGCTGCATGTACTTCGACCTGCAAGCTGTGTCACTTAAATCCATTAAAAAATTTGGCAACTGAAAGTTTGTTGACTGGCAAAAGTCGCCAGCTGGAGGAGCAGCACACGAAAACAAACCTCCTCAGTTCTGATCAACATATACACAACGACAACAGCAAGTGAAACACTCCAACCAAGTCACACCCTCTTCTTCAGCAGAACTCGATGACAATGGTCGAACACCACCTGACAAGGAAGATCATGTGGTACGACTGAAAGTCAGGCTACCTGGAACTGGTTCAAGGGTCAGGTAGTTCCAGATTCCAGACAATCTTGTCTACACATGATTAACCTCCACACTTATAGAAAGGACGTGCGAGGAGAAATGGGATTTTAAAGTGTGCCACAAACTGACTGTGGGCTGTTAAATGGTTTCTGTGGAGTGTGTGACCACAGGTGGCGCTGTAGAGCAGCATTCTGATCAGCTGGTGTTGTTGGAGATGGACACATATGTAATAATGACTAAAAGATTAAGACTGTAAGACTAAAAACTTTGAAGTTCTGCATCAGAGCACCAACCAACACACTCTGTGTCTTGGTTCTGGGTCAGCAGGTCTGTAGTTGTTCTGGGTTCCTTTAGTCTGTGTCTTCAAGTGGTTCTTGTACAGGGTTCTACTGCTTTCACTACATTGTGTTCTACTTTGTTCTACTGTATCTACTAGCCTTACCAGAGCCAGGGATACACAGAGTCTGGCAGCTCTCTGAACAGCTGGATTTATTAACAGTGTTATCATAAAGTGTTAGCTTCCACCATCACAGTATCACACTGGCCTTCAGAGCCCAAACTCTGTTTATCTGTGACTCTGCCTCTTTCCAGTCACCTGATCCTGACCTTGTCATTTCTAACTGCTGCACTAGAGCCACACCAGCAGGAGCTTCACAACACATTTAACCCATTTTCCTGCATACATGAAACTACGCACTACAGAAGGTCTTGACGTGCTAAATGTTTCCTGAAGTTCAGCTGTGAGCTGCAAATGTAGCATTACACTGAAGAGGGCGCTGTAGTACACTTTTAAATGACTGCCTAGTTGCCCAGTTTGTCTGTTGCCCCGTTAAGAATTACCTCCAACATGAACATTGAGTCTGAAGAAAGTAAACTGGACGTCCTCGTCAAGCACTGTGGTAACATGACGTCAGTCTGCTAGTGAGGCTCTGGTCAGGACAGACCTGTAAAAACCGGGATGTACATTGAGAAACCTATATGGACATAGACAGACCTGCACAGGACCTGGAGACACCTGGACAAGTCTTGGCTGACAGGAGCAAATCTGGACAAACATGGATAAAACCTGAAAAGATGGAAAAACATGGACGTAACTGTAGAAATAAGGACTTACCCAGGGCAAGAGGGTCGTGCCAGGACAAATGTGGAGACCATGACAGACCTGGAAAGATGTGGAAAATACATAAGAGATGTTGTCACATCTGGACAAAATGCACAGACCTGGACCAGTAGGAAAAAACCAAGACAAATCTGGACAGACCTGTCATGTCATCCTGCAGTATTTCTGTCTCCTGGTGTCCCTGTTTGGGTGTGGAGGGCAGTCCGGTCTGAAACTCAAAACAGTGACTAATGTGTCCGTGCTGCCCCCCCCCTCCTCCCCCACCACCACCACCACCACTTCATTTCATACCTTCGACCTTCATCTCAGACAAAAATGTGAAACAGCACAAAGTTTTCTAAGTGTACATACATTTTCTAGAACGCTGTGTAGCTCGTACTGTTCAGTGTTTGTTGGTGGTGATTCTGCACTTGGTGTGTAAATAAAACGCACCCTGTCCACATGATGCTCTGTCACTTTAATACGTTTCACCACAGTCACAATAACAGGAAAACTACATTACCCACAATCCTCAGTATCCGGCCTTGGCTGCAGGTGTTCAACAATAGTCAGACAGACACACGGCATGAGGCTGTGACAAGAGTCAGTTACCGGGCTGAGGAGCTGCAGGTGGGCAGACCGCTGTTGTTTTAGAAACAGTTCTGATGAACAATGGTGATAAACACGAAGCTCTCTGACAAACACATTTTGTTTTGTGACTAATTCATAATAAAAGTCAAATTGTGCCAGTGCTTTTACTGTGAAGCTGTAGCAGTAGGAAATGTTCATCTTACATTAGCAGCAACTTCATGTTTTTCGCTCCGTTCACAAAACAGCAGATTATAAAAATTTTACTTTCATCCGTCACCATGTTTTACCTCAGAGATATGAATCTTTAAAACTCTGATGCTCAACGTTTATTTATTTTCACCAATTATACAAAGACACATATATACCAAGTTTGGTTGACTCTGATTGGCTGTTGAATGTCAATGTGACAGTTTCCTTGTTTCTAATTGGCTCTCTCTTCATTTAGTTATTTAAAGATAAAAACAACTAATCTGAACTATATATTATTAAACGATTAATCAATGAAGTTATTGATTGCTGCAGTGAGCTAACAGTTAATAAGCCACTTCCTGGAGGTAATCTGTGCTGTGATTTGGCCTGAAGATCACCCTGAGAACGAGTTTGAAGGTCGACCTTTGACCCCAAGTCCTCTCACCTGTAGATAACCACACACAAACACAGACAGGCTGTCAGCAACCTCAGGTGTATGACACTGAGAACAGAGGTGTGTTGGTGATACAGGTGAGTGGTTTACTGGGTCTCACCCTGAAGGTGTGTCCGGCGAGTGGCTGCTGGCTACTCTCTGATTGGTCGAGGCCCAGACTAGCTGAGGTCACATAGAGGTCAGAGTAGTCTGGACCTCCAAAACAACAGGAAGTGGTCTTCATCACCGGGAGAGAGACTGTCTGCAGCCGCACACCTGAGAGAAAACAACAGGTACCTTCATCTTCATCATCACTTTATCCAGTCAAACTCGCTCACACCTGTTGTTCACATCTGGAGAGTCATTCCGGTCACAGGTGCTAATGGATGTTAGACCTCCTCCTCTACAGACCTATCTCCAGTCTGACAGACATCCTATTTCAAGACTCTTTAACCCACTGTCCAATGTGGAATCTGCTGTCCTCAGAGGACCGTGTCCTGGACCAGCTTCTGTCTCAGGTCCTGCAGGAAATCTGTGTTTGTTCTTGTCTTCGTCTGTCATGTGACAACCTCCAACTGAACAACTCTGCAGGTGTGAACAACTCGGCAGGTGTTCAACAGGTGGAACTCAACAGTCAGAACTGAACAAGAACAAACGTCTTTGACTGGACCAATACAACCACTATCACTACTGTGACCAGTACTGACCATTATAACTAGTATAACTAACCAGTGGCAGGGTCAATGTTGATGACTCGTCCTCCATTGTAACAGGCAACCCAGAGACGACCTTCAGCATCAACTGTCATCCCATCAGGAAGCCCCTCCCCCTCCTCCATACGGTACACCACACGACGGTTACCTAGGAAACAACAACACACACATAAAACAGTTATTTAACTTTTCACTGACTTAATTATTTTGTTTTGACATCAACATGCCATATAAATAAATCTATGTATGTGTGAGTACACACATGCACTGCAGTGTAAGTACACAGTTACCAAGGCGTCCAGAGTTTGAGTCATAGTCGAACGCATCAACGGTCAAAGACAAACTGTCAATGTAGAAAAACGTCTTCTGATCCAAAGACCAGTCCAAACCATTAGATATGTCCACCTGAGAGATAGACAGGTACAGGGAGAGAGAGAGAGACAGGTCAAAGACCAGTCCAAACCATTAGATACAGTCATGGCCAAAAATATTGGCACCCCTGCACTTCTTTCAGATATTGCACCATTTCTCCCAGAAAATTGTTGCAATTAAAAATGCTTTGGTATTCACATGTTTATTTCTTTTGTTTGCATTGGAACAACACAAAAAAGCAGAGAAAAAAAGCCAAATCTGACATCATTCCACACAGAATTCCAAAAATGGACTGGACAAAATTATTGACACCCTCAACTTAATATTTCGTAGAACACACTTTGGAAAAAATAACTGAAATCAGACGCTTTTTGTAACCATGAATGAGTTTATGAAACCTCTCTACTGGAATTTTGGACCACTCTTCTTTTGTCAACTGCTCCAGGTTTCTGAGATTTGATGGGTGCCTTCTCCCAACTGCTGTTTTGAGATCTCTCCACAGGTGTTCTATGGGATTTAGATCTGGACTCATTGCTGGCCACTTCAGAACTCTCCAGCGCTTTGTCTTAAACCATTTTTGGGTGCTTTTTGAAGTGTGCTCTGGGTCATTGTCCTGCTGGAAGACCCATGACCTCTGATGGAGACCCAGCTTTCTGACACTGGGCCCTACATTGCGCTCCAAAATTCTTTGGTAGTCTTCAGATTTCATGATGCCATGCACACAGTTAAGGCATCCAGTGCCAGAAGCAGCAAAGCAACCCAAAAACATCTGTGAACCTCCACCATGTTTGACCGTAGGGACTGTGTTCTTTTCTTTGAAGGCCTCATTTCGTTTTCTGTTAACAGAACAATGATATGCTTTACCAAAAAGCTCTATTTTGGTCTCATCTGTCCACAGGACGTTCTCCCAGAAGGATTTAGGCTTCCTCACGTAAGTTTTGGCAAACTCTAGTCTGGCTTTTTTATGTCTCTTTGTCAGCAGTGGGGTTCTCCTGGGTCTCCTACCATAGCGTCCCATTTCATTCATATGGTGACGGATAGTGCAAACTGACACTGTTGTACCCTGTGTCTGCAGGTCAGTTTGAATTTCTTTGGAAGTTGATCGAGGTTCTTTATCCACCCTTCAAACAATCCTTCATTGCAATCTTTCATCAATTTTCCTCTTCCATCCACATCCAGGGAGGTTAGCTGCAGTGCCATGGGTTGTAAACTTCTTGATGACATTGCGCACCGTAGACACAGGAACATTAAGATCTCTAGAGATGGACTTGTAGCCTTGAATTGTCCATGCTTTTCCACAATTTTGGTTCTCAAATCCTCAGACAATTCTTTGCTATTCTTTCTTTTCTCCAGGCTCAGTGTGGTACACACAGACACATAACACAAAGGTTGAGTCAACTTTTCTCCATTTAAACTGGTTGCCAGTGTGATTTCTATATTGCCAGCACCTGTTACTTGCCATAGGTGAGTTTAAAAACAAATTAAAGGAGCATCACATGCTTGAAATCCTATTATTTCTTACAATTTTGAAAAGGTGCCAATAATTTTGTCCAGTCCATTTTTGGAGTTCTGTGTGGAATGATGTCAAATCCGGCTTTTGTTCTCTGCTTTTTTGTGTTGTTCCAATTCAAACAAAAGAAATAAACATGTGAATACCAAAGCAATTTTAATTGCAACAATTTTCTGGGAGAAATGGCGCATTATCTGAAAGAAATGCAGGGGTGCCAATATTTTTGGCCATGAGTGTAGGTCCACCAACGGGTAGAGAGAGAGAGACAGGTAAACAGACAGACAGGTGATACCTGGCTCAGGTGTTTGGTCACAGTGAAGTCAGAGGTCACAGAGAACAGAGACCCTTGCTGTTTCTGAACTTCAGCAGGTCGCTGCTCCTTCGCCATCGTACCTGAGACACATCACACCGTTACCATGGCAACACAGGGAAAAATGCACAGAGGTGTGTGCACACCGTATTATAAATGTGATTACACAATACGTTTTATAAGCGAGGCCGCAGGTGAACAGACTCACCTGCCAGGAGACGTCCAAACGGATCAACCTTTCCATCATTCAGTCGGTTGTTTGGTTTGTCCTCATCCACCTCCACCAGTGATGTCAATTTCTGAGTCAGCCAATCGACAGCCACAATGCTGCGTCCCACACCTGCTGCATAACCACCTGACCTACGAGGAACCGCGAAGCCCACCATGTCACCTGAGGACAGACAGGCAGGTCAGACAGACAGGTTAAATAATTACAAGTGTAACTAAAATTTAATTGTATTATTAAATGAACTTGAATATTTCCTGGGTGCTGATTGGCCAACCTGTCTCCACAGACTGGATCTGATTTGTCGTTGGACTCCAGCGATGGATTTTCTGCCCGGCAATGTCAACAAACAGCAGCGTCTGCTCTGACTCCTCCCACACTGGCCCTTCACCAATCAGAGCACTCGCTTTCACCACACACTCCACATTCACTGATGACATCGTCACCTGGCTGTCTGGACCAATCACTGAGCAGGAATCCCTTCACTCACCTGTATCTGTTTCTATGAACATACTACATGTTATACAATAGTAAAATACTATAAACATTACAGTAATATAAATACCACTCTATGTAAAGTACTTATGACTGTCCTATACTTTATAATAATACACTATGTAAATATTATTACACATTATAGTACTGCACACATCACTTAATAAAGCAGTAGACAATATATGGTTCACGTGTGATTACACAGTACTGCTATTGTAGTAATACACTGTATACCACTTCATTACTGCATGTAACTAAAGATTAATCCAACACATATATTATTACACAGAAGTAAAATGTACACTACACAGTACTACACAGCATCCTACAGTAGTCGTATCATATACAACATATGAGCCCTATGTGACTTCCCAGTACTAGAGTGTACTACATCCATGCTGCATGTTACACATACCAATCTATAATACACAATATACTAATACTTTATGTGATTACACGGTACTACACTAGGAACTACAAACTCCATATTAATTTACTGCATGTTCTAGTTACTAAATATTTTACTACTACATATTATAATACTGCATTTTTTCTTACATAAACAGCACACTGTAGTACTACATGGTACTACACGGTACAACATGGTAGGACTGCGTACTATAAAACTCTACTGTTACATGTATTATTAGAACACGATACCACACTTTACAGTCTGCAGTATCATAGTACTACACGTGCACTGCATATTATACTGCTACATAGGTGTTATATAGAGTAGTACTGTATAGTAGTAGTGTACTGTACCTTTTACACAACTGGAACTTATGGATTTATGACGTTAACTTAGTGACCTGTTTATTAACCGGGTTAGTTAATGTTTCAACACTTCTCTCTTTCGCCAGACTCCATTAAACAAACCGTCACTTTTGTTGCTGCCTTGCTAATTGGCACTTCACCGATGTGCTGGAATCTAACTACTGATTTTCTAGGACTCTAGAAGCTTTTTAAAGACTCTAGAAGTGATTTAAATGCGGTTTAGTATGTTCCTGAATGCCGAGACTTACAGCCAATTCAGTTACATAAACGTACTACGTTTACTTCCGTTAAAACACTACAGTTTCAAATTAACACATATGTGAATGGAGTCTGGCCCAGTTCTTAAACTTTGGTTCAAATAGGTTCACAGCGCATGTAGAACAACTCTATGTGACCTCTCCAGTAAAATCAGGTTTACTTTGTTTTTAAATGTGTATTTGTACACAATGTAAAAACTTACCTGCTGCAGTGACTTGCGCCCCCCATTCAAGTTTCAGCTGGTACGTTGCGTCAGCTGACAAAGCGACAGCTCTGCCCCTCCCAAACGGCCGACCCCGACTAAACGCACCCGACCATACTAATGTGTGGACTCAGCAAAATTCATGTAGTCAATCTGATTTATAATCGATAATAAAAATTGATTAGGTCAATGTACCGCTATAGTCTTAAGTGATTAGATTCAAACATTTGAACTGATTAAAACTGAAGATCCACATATTGATTTATTATCAATAAAACTGCTTAACAACATATATTTCTTTTAATAACTTACACTTACACCTAAAGAAACTGGGGAAGGGAAAATAATATCTTAATCAGGCTTGAATAACATTTTAATGTCAAGGTGATTTATTTTGTTAAATAAAACTTTAAGTACATTTTTAAATAAGTTGAAGTTTATTGCCTCCCAGTGGTGAAAATTCATATTAACTACACAACACACTGTGCAGTATGAACAGTGTAATCTATATTAAAATATTTTCTTATTCATAATTTTATCAACACTTATTGTTATTTCCCTCCATTGAACTTAATTTTGAAATAATTTGTAAACAAACTGTTTTAAATGTGTCAGTGTTGGATTTTTAAAAATGTTCAGGACTGTGATTTAAGTGTTGATGAATAACATCACAACTTTACTGTAACAGAAATTTCATAAACATACTACAACCACCTATCATGTGACCACTTCATACTTGCCATGTGATAACAGCTGAGCAACTCTCTGCTGAAGAAGAACACAAGATGTGGCTGAAAGCTCTGAAAACAACAACCAAGTTAAATCTCAAAGTGAGAATTAAGTTTCAAACTCAAAAGAATTCAAAATTACAAACAGAAAAAAAGAAACAAATAAGAAATTAACAAAAACAATATGAAACAAAACATTAATAAAACTTTAATAACTGAAAGGAAATTCACACGGTGCCTCAGTAAAACCATCATGAGCTCAAACACACAGACTTTCCTGTAGCTTCTTCACAATAAAACATCCCGCTCGTTCTCTGGCACAAAGCTTTTAATGTGAAGCAGCAGCAAGTGTTGGTTAACATGAGCAGTAACTGTACACAGCTGTGATACTCCTGAACCTGAATCCATCACTAAACAGTAAAATAAGACTAATGTGGAAAGGAGCGCAGGACAGAACCTCAGTGATTCAATGACCGCAAACGTCTGGCTGTGGTCCAGCTCGGGCACGGTTTCAGTGTCCACAATGAACAATTTGGAGAAAAAAGGTCTGAGACATTATCAGTGTTAGCAGTGAATTAATAGAGACATGACGGGACATGCAAAGGTCCTGGATCAGATTTAAACTGGGTACGACAAGGTTCAACCACTGAACCACAGGAACAACCGTGTGGGTCGGGGTTAGACTGGATCAGTTACTAGGCTATGATTGGACAATCACGGTTTGAGGGAGAGGATAAATTTTGCAGGTGCCGAGACTGCCATGAAAACCATGTGAGACAGTAGAAAGTTTGGAAGAGGCTGCTGAGAAGGTTCAAGACTCTGTCCTGAAAGTCTGGAGTCTGAACCTGAAGCAACACAACCCAAATACAAACACAGAAGAAGAAAGAGCTGTAAGTCACATCATCTGACTGACCAATAATCAAGCATTTATCATGGGACATTAATACACACCAAGAAGGAAAACAGGTTGCCATGGCAACTCCTCTGGTATCACTCAGAAAGTAAATGGAGGATCACTTTTTGGCAGCATACCTGTACATACTCTGGATGGAGGATCACTTTTTGGGAGCCGTGGCTCTGGCTCGGTTCAGCCTGTCAATCAGCAGCCGGTCAGAGGTGGAGCATCTAGAAAGGACCGCCCCCATCTCTGATTCGTTCCTGCGCTCGATCGCAGCATCCGCCGCTCCCTCCAGGTCACTGACAGGGAGAAGAGAAGAAGAAGAGTTACATGAGTGGTCAGGGCTCACCTGTCTGATGATGTCAGAAGGTGTGCTCTGTCTTACCTGACAGCCAGGTGTGCTTTGACTTTCTGCTCAGGTGTCACCTTGGAAACGTACTTCTTGGCTTCATACTTGTTGTTGCACTTCATACAAATGTCAACAAATGCCTGAAGAAGACACAGAGCAAAGACTCATGGGAGATATAGTTCTAACTTTATTTAAATAACTAACACTAATCGTTGTTAAATTAACAACGTTAATGGGGGGATGGGCCTTTCTCTTACCAGGTAGCCAATAGGAGACTTCTTGCTCTTAGAGAACTTCTCCAACTCCTCCCACTCCTCCTTCTCTGCCAGAGACTTCAGCTTCAGCCACCAGTACCTGCACAGGTGAGGCAGACAGGTGAGAGAGAGAGACAGGTAGAGAAACAGACAGGTAGGTATCTGTGACATTACCTCCAGAGAGTTTCACCTTTTGTCGGGTACTCTGAAGTCTCTGTAAAGTTGTTCTGCCTGTTTGTGAAGTCCTAACGCCAGCAGAGCCTCCATAGTCGCCTGGAGACAGGACACAGGAAGTTACATCACCAGGCATGCAGTGACTACTTCCTGTTCTTGTCTTTCATTGGTCATATTTATTTAAAGAAACAACCCAGAGGTTGACAAGAAAATATTAACAGTTTGTGCTGCAGCGAGAATACAATCATTTTATTAGGAACGGTGTGGAGTCATCTGCAAACATATCTCTACAACTTTATCTACCTGTAGAGACAGTCCCAGTAGCCCCGCCCCCTTCTCGTCATCCAGTTTTCGTTGAAAACGAAGGAGACGCATCTCGTCCTCTGTGGCCTGGAGAGAGAATGTTTTGATTAAAACTGAATAATGGAGGTTAAAATTAGGTCTGTCACCTTTCTGTTAACTCAAAGCTACACAAACAAACTACCTGTTGGACAGACATGATGTGAACAAATACTCCTCTTTTTGCTTTATGAACGGTAACAACAGTCCACCAACAGCACATTTCCAAACATCAGAGTGATAGCTCTTATATAAAACCCTCTTTGAGTTTCAATTCAACAGAAATCATCATCAAGAGAAAACATCAACCACAGCAGTTTGTTTTGTTAATTCTCATGAACAAACAGCTGACTGAACCTGAGACGACATCGCTGATTAAACATTAATTACCATTATTTTTAAATAGCACGTCATCCATACTCACTGAATACAGTATTTACTACACTTAACCTCAAAACTCCTGCACGTTGTAATACTGAACACTAACTTTTTAAGATCATGGGTTTTAATACTAATGAGTAATGTGCGTTACCTTTGCAGCGAACTCGTTCTTGGCCTTGTTATACTCGTCTACAGCACTCTGAAGGAGAGACAGACGGCTCTCCAACCTCTGCAGAGAAGGAGACAGGTAATAATCAACTGGTTAGATAATATAGAGCACGAACACACATTTAACACAGACGCTCAAAGCTGACAACAATAAAAACACAATAAACAAACACAATGCTGTGATGTTAACAACCTTTGAACTTTCAGGTTTGTAAGATTTATTCAATAAGAAGAAAATAAAAACATGATGGTCATTGATCAAACAAGGGACAATTCAATTTATGACAGGTGTCTATATGTGAACAGCTGTATTTACATAATTCCATGATGTACTGTGAGAAAACATCAGTCTTGTTTTTATAACTTAAGAAAGAACAGAAGAAACATGAATAAAGAGACTGATTCATCTGGAGTTATTATTATGGGTATATATTATATACATTAATTAAACAAAACACTTTTTTTTATTGGTTAGGTCTTTATCATTTTATACACCATGATGCACTCCTACATTCAACTTTCAGATATATCTGACTCATCATTCTCTCAAATAAATAATGTCTTTCATCACTTTTTCAAAGCCTTGCAGTAACGAGTAACTAACAATAATGAACAGTTAGTGTTAGTTACTAACAATTATTGTTAGTTACTTGACTTAAACTGTTGTTACCTTCTCTCTGTAACTGGCAGTAACATAGTAATTGGCGAGCTCCTGATGATCATCATCCTGGTTATAAAGATCCTTCAGAGTGTCCTGTTCCTGCAGCTTACAGAACTGATAACACAGAAATGAATCAATAAATCAATCAATAAACCACAGGTTGATCACTGTATACGTCTGTTCTGGATACAGGTGAATACAACAGTAAAAGACTAGTGAAATCATGAAGAATCACGAATCATTAAGGTGAAGGAGCAGAGTGATGATGATGAAGATGTGTACCTGTCTATAGAGGCTGAGAGCAACTGGTTGGTTCCTCAGAGTCATGAAGAAATCTCCTCTGTTCATCTCATTCTTTAGGTAACTGACCACTGTGTACACTGACAACACATAGATAGATCCATCATTGACATCATCTGGCTGTCAGACAGGTAGGGGGTGGGGCTAACAGAGACTCACCCAGGTCAGTGTCTCCACTCTCCACAGCTTTACTTAGAGCCAACTGACTCCTCTTCATCTTCAACAGCAGAGGAACCTGTTCTCCAGACCGAGCCTCAAAATCCAACAACTGACAGAACAGAGAGAAATGACCATGATATTAATAATACTGTACTGAACATCAACAGTACTATAACATCTAAAATAAAATAATAACCAAAATACTATAACATCTACAATACTGTTACATCAACAGTACTATAATATTGAAAATACTATAATATTTAAAATAAAATATCTAAAATACTGTAACATCAACAATACTATGATATCTACAAGATAAAGTCTTATAAAATACTGTAACATCAGCAATAAAAAAAGACCAGGCTCGTTGCTCAACTCTCTCATAAGTGCGTCAACCTGAACATCACAGCACCACAAAGACCAGAACTTATACTGTGTCATTAACAGTTGTGATCAGCTGTGATCAACTGAGATCAACTACAATCAGCTGTGATCAGCACCTATCTGCAGTCTATAATGATGTTAAACCAGACGGATTCTCTATGAAGTTCTGCAGCCTCCATTTCTCTGGAGCTTTAGTCTGGAGGGTCATCATAGATGATGACATCATCAGGAAGTGAAATCAAACTGAACCAGATCAACATGTGGTTCAGCTCTGACTCAGTCAGGAATCTGAGGAAGAGTTTTTGATGTCAAGCCCTTGGTTAATAAAAGTCTGAAGTTACCTTGATGGCGAGCTCAGTACGTCCACATTCATAGGCTTTCGCTGCAATGTGGGAGTAAGAAACACCAGGTGAGTCTCCCACCTTCACACACACTGCTCGAGCTATGGCCTCGTCTGATAGGTCCTTCTGCTGCACCTGGACATACCCAAACACATCACATATCAGTACATAAAAATGTATTCTGAAGTAAAGTCTTAAAACAAAGAAAAATAAAAAAAAATATTCATAATGATATACAAGGAGGTGGGGTCAGAGGAGACGAGTGAGGATCAGTTTACCTTGCATGAAGCCCAGTGTTTGAGGACTCTGCTGACTCCCTGATAATCAGGAATCTTCAGATAACGACAGATTTCTATCGCCAACGGATAAAATTGTCGATACACCAACCTGAGAGACAGACAGGTGAGAGAGACAGCCAGGTGAGAGAGGCAGACAGGTAGCGACAGACACACACAGACAGGTTGGATCAATTAACTCACCTGTCTATCAACACCTGTAGAGTCATTTGTTTGAATCTAGGGTCAACAGTCAAGGAGTTTGTCACCACGGTAACAAAGTGAACACAGTGTGTTTCTTCCTTGATTCGAATGAAAACTGTTTAGTCAGGAGTCTACTCCTAAAACACAGGACAGCAAATCTCCCATGATGCACCTGTGGTGTGTGAGGATACTGAGTGTGTGTGAGTGGCAGACCCACGCCATTCTCTCTGACGGCATTCAGGACTCGGAGTTCTCTGCAGGTCAACACAAACTGATCCGGACTGAAGTCAGTCAGGAAGCACTTCCCAAAGGACGCCGCCTGTTGGACGAAACACCACATTCCACTGTCACATACTGACCTGAGATCAGTTCACATTCTGACCTGAGATCACTTCAAACAGTGTTTACTGTATCTTACCCTCAGCAGGGATTTCTGGGTGTTGGTGTCGTATTCATGACCTGCCGCCTCCACACACTGTCTGACCGCTTCTCCCAGCATGCTTTGCTCCTTAATCTCCCTCAGGTACTCATCAGCCTTCTGACTCGACTTCTACACACACATACACACACACACAAAATCTTAAACCTCTATCAGAATAACTTCAGTCAGACATTCAGATGTTGATTCAGACAGACAGACAGACAGACAGGTGGTCACCTCGTACTCCCGGTGGGCCTCCAGTAGCAGAGCTCCAGGAGCCATGGATGCGATCTTGAAGATGTCCTGACAGACCAGAGGAACCTCCTGCAGCAGCTCCTGATTGGTCGAGCTGATGATCCGAACTCCGTCCAGTTCTCCCACTAAGACACACGGATCCTCGATGGGGAATCTGGGGTCAGGTCAAGGGTCAAACAGGGGTCAATGGGAAGCATCTTAATGAGTTAGGGTCCCACTACAAGTCTGAACTGGTTTGCTACTGGTCCCAGTCTGAACTGGTTTAAAGGATACTGGATGGTGTCACTACAGACTCCAGCCACCAGGAGGAGTCTGTCCCACATAAGCACCACAGACGGCTGCTGACTCTTTGGTCTGCGACACCTTGACAGGTAGAGAGAGTGAGACAGTTAAACAGCCAGACAAGTAAATACGTACAGAGAGAGAAGATAACAGGAAAGCAGGTAACAACGACAGGTTAGACAGGTAAACATACCAGACCATCTGTTTGGGTGTCGTCTTCTTTTTGGTGTCGATTTCAATCATTTTGTCCTACAGAGACAAAAAAAATGACCTGTCAGTCATCCATACAGACCCCGCCCCCTCAGGGAAGACATCTAAGAGCTGATTGGACAAAGGAGCAGCTCACCTGGAGGTGGGAGGGGCCTGTCCAGAGGTGTCCCGTGTCAGTGAAGAGAGCCAGGTATTTATAGCTGAAAGACACAGACATGTGGACGATACCGTCCTGAGGACTGACACCTGGAGGACACTGAGACAGACAGACAGGTGAGGTTAGATACCTGTCTGTCTACCTGTCTGTGCCTGTCTCTCTCTTTTATTTGTATTTTTCCAATTCAACAGGTTTTATTGACATGACATTTTCAATGAAAAGCAGAATTGTAAAAATATTGACCAAAAAATGTCAATATAAATATTAATATAATAAAATTCAATGGAATTATAAATAGAATTAATAGAATAGATTGATAATGAAATAAAGAACAGGAAAAACGCTATAAAATTATATACATATATGTATATATATATACGTATGTATACATATATGTATGTATACATATATACATATATATATATATATATATATATACATATAAACAATATATAATACAACCTTAATATATATATCCCACACACACATACAATAGAAGTAGTTATCAGAAAAAGGAGATGGTGGTCTAACTATCTGTCTTTGTCTGTCTGTCTGTCTGTCTGTCTGTCTGTCTGTCTGTCTGTCTGTCTGTCTGTCTGTCTGTCTGTCTCACCACAGCAGTGCAGGATGTGCTGTCCAGGATGTAGAGTTCAGGTCCATTGGACAGAAGGACTTTAGTCTGTCGGTCCTGAGTGAGGACGACCCAACAGGAAGGCTTACCCTGTAGACCTGAGGACAGATAGACAGGTCAGAGATAGAGAGACATAATGACCGATGAACAGCATTACAAAAATAACCAGGTGTTACCAGGAACTTCAGGTAATCTGCGGAGCTTCAAGTCGTCAATGTTGGTTGCCAAGGTTAAGCGAGAAGAGCCTGTTACTATGGCAACACCTGTCCCATATGGAGAGTGGAAAACTTTGGCCTCCAACACCTGACTCTGGACAACTTCCTGTTTAACACAACAACTTAGTTAACAGACAGACCTGACCCATACTGAGGTGGTTAGTTAAGAGATTAGTTAACTAGTTAACAGACTGACCTGACCCATACTGAAATGTCTCTTGAAGGATCCAAACAGATCGTAGATCAGAACTGATCCGTCTTCTTGAATGCACAACAACTCGTCACTGACCGTCCAACCCAACTGGACCACAGGACCACTCTTCCACTGAGAGAGAGACATGTCAGAGAGAGACAGGTCAGAGAGAGAGAGACAGGTCAGAGAGAGAGAGACAGGTTAGAGAGAGAGAGAGAGAGACAGGTCATTTCAGACTGCCCAACAGCAGATAAATGAAGAGAAATGTGATATATAAATGAGAATAAATGAGAAGTGTGTGTGTGTGTGTGTGTGTGTGTGTGTGTGTGTGTGTGTGTGTGTGTTAGTCAGGACAGAAACTGATTGGTCAGTAACATTAACAATGAGAAAAAGTGTGTTTGGACTCACAGGGAAACTGGCGATGGAAACTCCAGACGCAGAATAAATCTCCAACTGTGGACGAGAACTTGGAGAACGTCTGTGAGGTTCTCTGAGGAGAGCTGAGAGTGAGAGACAGGTTTAGAGACAGAGACAGGTACAGACAGACTGTGTATGTGTGTGTGTGTGTGTGTGTGTGTGTGTGTGTGTGTGTGTGTGTATACCTATTGGTCCTCCATACGGAGCTGCAGCCACCAAACTGTCTCTGAGTCCATCCCGTAGGTTCCAGCACATCTCGTACAGCTCCGTCTTACTGCATACCGAAACATAAACATGCAAACACAAACACACACTGCGTTTAAATGTCTGTCATTTTAAAGCTGCTGTGTTTCTTTGTGACGTAGATAACACATGCTAACCTGCCTAAACTCTCATTCCGATTGATTGGATTCCTCTGCTCAGTTCGTCATTAATGTAATGAGATCACCTGTTTCATAAATTTAATCAATTTGATACACCTGTTTATGATTTCTGTCTGCTAAAAGTGCTAACAGCTAGCGGGAGTTTCTATATCCATGCATCACACACTGAAGTTTAAAGTAAAACTAGCATGAAGCTACCGTGAGTGTCACATGATCACGGTGACGATGCTAGCAGAGCTAAGACACTTTAAAACCAGCTCCAATAAAAACACAATCGGCTGTTAGATGACGGCTAACAGTTAGCCTGTTTCCAAGTGTCTCTGATTCTCAATCATCCTGCTACTGTTTGTGTTTAACTGCTCGGCTAATGTTAGCTGCTGTCGCACCGATAAAGCAGAGATAAACTAACCGATAAAAAGCTTCTCCCAGCGGGTTCCAGTTGGCTGTGATGAATGCCATGACGTTTCCCCCCGGAGAGAAGAAAATACCCTCAGTTTAACGACGAAGGTTCACCGTTAGCTTTAGCTTTAACAGTCAGATGATCAGCAACCACAGTTTCTTCTTCTACGGTCCAATGAGCAGCACTCCCTCTCTGTGTTCGCCCCCTGGAGCCCAACACGCGCCTCACAGGGCAAAGAAACGCATTAGATAAAAGTTTTACACACAATGAGGGTGAAAATAAAACCTGTTTAAGTCACAGGATAAAATCACATTGTTAAATACAGTAGACAAAAAAATAATAGTTTGACCAAAAACCCCCCAAAATTTGATCTATTTCTTGATCAGTCAATGTGATAACTTATAATTTCATCAATTAATAATTTACATTGTAACACAGTAAGAAATGATCAAAGCGTCTTCAATTTATTTTATTAAGAGACCAACAAAACAATGAAACATTCTGTTTTTACATTAATGTTAAGATTGATTATCAGTTTTTGATTAGTTTTCTGTTGATCGACTAATTGGTTATGGACTACCTGAAATGAAGAGGTGCCTTATCATTTGATACCAACTGATCAGTCAGATGATTTAAAGCAGAAGTGGAGCATCAGTATCACAACAAATTCACAGTAACAGACTGTTATTAGTGATCACTATACTGATTGATTAGTGTTTGATAAGTGTCCCTGATCAGTTACAGCAGCCTGTGTATAAAAATGTTAAATTTTATAAATTACTATGAAATGAAAAACATTATTAGTGTATTTGTTATTATTTTTAATATATATGTTACTTCACAGTCACATGACCCTAACCCCCCCCCCCCCCCCCCGCCCCCATTGTGTGAATTCCAATGATGTGAGCGTCTCTTCCTGTTTCCACGTCCGACCTTTACACTCCTGAGAAACATGTCCTCCCATATCCATGTGTTCTGACTCTGTTGTACTGTTAAAGAACCTTACACAAACCACAAATACAGAGTCGCATGATCTGACTCATCATCATCTGACTCCAATTTATGAAGTCTAATCTTTAGTAAAAAACACTATTTTTATTTGGCAACCCAACATGCTTTAATTGATTATACTAAAAGGACCTTTGGTAGTACTTGAAGACTTGATCCTAAAAGGGATTGAGGGTTAGGGTTAGAGACTAGGTTAAAGACTTGGTCCAAATCAACCCAAGGTTCCTATAAAGGTTCTCTTAACTTCCCCTAAGATTCCTCTTTAGTTATTCAATGGTTCTCCAAAAATCCCTAATTGCCCTAATATTCCCCTGGTAACCCTAAGGTTCCCACAGTGGTCCTCTATCACCCCCCCTACCCCCACCACCCAACGCCCCCAAAAAATGTATCTGTGATTCTCCTAATGTTCCACTTCAATCAACTAATCCTAACCCTGTTCTCTCAGGTTCCCTCAAGGAGTAACTTCACCCTAGGTTCACCCTAGGTTCCTCTCATCTTCCACCTTGGTTCTCCAAAACTTACATGAACTTACATTGTAACCCCAAGGTTTCAATACATTTAAAATTTGACCCTAACATTTAAAAAGGTTTTTCAAAAGTTCTGGATCCACAAAAACACTTGTGACAGCAGCTAAACTTTCCACTAAACTCCATTTAAAATCTGTCACTTTTTAAGATCTACTGTTCAGAATTTTCATTCTCTTTACTTTAAAGTTTTCTTTACTGCAGAGGAACTTTAAATTCACTGAGGCCGGGTTCTAAATGTTGTTCTGTTCTGTGTGTGTAAAGTCTTTGCATGTCACAAAACAAACCAGTTTTCCATGAACCGACGACGAGAGACATTAACACACAAAGAGAGGAAGAGGGAGAGAGAGAGAGGCTTCCTTCCAGATGACTTCACCTTAAAAACATGAGAGAGAGAGAGAGAGAGAGAGAGAGAGCGAACACAAACACTTCCCTTCAGCCCTGTCGTCATGGTAGCAGACTCCTCCCCCTGGGTGTGGTAGAGGGACACTAAAAACTCAGAGAGTTAACCCTTTCAGCTCAGTTAACAAGGTTTTCATCAAATTCTATTATTTTTTTGTTGTACGATTTAGATGAGATCATTCGTTTTTTCATATTTTACTTATTTACTTATTTTTTAAATTTTTTAAATTTTAGTATTTTCTATTTTATTTATCATGAACTGAATCTTAAAATTATATTATATTATATTCAATCTGTATTTATATTTATTTAATTCAGATGTATTATATAGTATATAGTATACAGATGTATTATATATAATTTTAGATTTAAAGTTTTACTATTGTTTTTTGCTTTATGGGTTTCTTTCTAATGTATTCTAATAAATACATGTACCTGGATATTCTCACCTATTCAAGGTGTTTTTCATTTTTATTTATTCTATTTTTAAATTACATTTTAGGAGTTGTGTCTTTTATAATGCTTCCTATAACAGTGTGTTTGTTGTTGTCAGTTTGATTATTTGAGCTCAGACTTTTGATTTTGACATTTCTGTATTTTCCACTAATCTGAGGTTGATGGATCAACATTAAACCTTTAAGTAAAACTAAACTCTTCACATTAAAAGTCTCTTCATCTTCAATAAAGGTGCAGCCCGTCTATATTTATACAGCTCAGTATTTTATCTGTGGCAGTGAAGGAGTTAAAGGCGTGGACATTTCCATAGTTGGGAAGTTAGACGGAAAGTTTTCCTCTGAGCCAACCAATCACAGATCAGCACACACAGAGAAAGAGAGAGAGAGAGAGAGAGAGAGAGGGCAGGCGAGGTAGAATCTACAGTGGTTTTTTGCAGCAAGGAAAGTCTTTGACAGTTTCGAGTTTTTGCTTCAACAGTCATCATGGTGACCACTGAGACCCACCAGAGCCAAGATCTGCTGGTCCCCCCCAAGAACCAGGATCTACAGGACCAGCAGGACCAGCAGAACCAGCTAGAGGAGGACCAGGCCTCCCCCATGTCTCCCCTGGCAGGATTCGACCCAGAGAAGATGAATCAGGGTCCCGTCAACGCCATCACGGTCCTTACTCTGCTGGACAAACTGGTCAACATGCTGGATGCCGTGCAGGAAAACCAGCACAAGATGGAGGTGAGAGAGGGCTGGGCCAGTCCAGGACACCAGGTCTGAGTGTGGGACATGTTTACAGACATGTCTTCAGTGTCAGGGCTAAAAACCAGAAATTCCTGTCCAAACCAAAACACACTTAAAAACATCTTGATTGACAGTTTCTCATTATGTTCTGTCTGACTCTTTCTCATGAATCTGATTTTAATCTAAATTTATTAAAACTTCACAATTGTAGCTGCAGGTTAAAGAAGCTGTGTGCCACGTTTTTGCTGTGAGTGGATTCCTAACATGTTTTAATATGAGTATTGTAAGCGTCTTTACTGACAGAGATTTAAGTTAGTTTAAACCCTACAGGCGGATTTCATCTCATCTTGCTTTTCATTTGTATTCCTGTGTAAACAAAACATATATACAGTGGGGTTTAAGATTGACCAGCTGCTCTCTTTCCTCACTTCTCTCTGTCATGTTTAGTTCGATTGTAACTGTCAGTTAAAGGTAAAATATATGATGTCATGCATCAATTTGAAAGTCTCCAGAAACACAAACAGTTTCTTCACTTTGACCTTTCGCTGCATTTTTAAACAAAAGTTTGGCTGAAAAACAAAAATCTGCCTCCAGACAAACTGGAACTACTTCCTGTTTCTATAGTGATGAAGCTTCAAACTAAAAGCTGTTTGTAGTTTACAGATCACGTGGTAATGTTAATAACATGTTAGATTGGTCATTTATTGTGTTTCAGGTGCACCAGGTGGAGATGGAGGGCGTGGTCAGAGGGATCCAGGCTGATATGACCAAACTGTCCAAGAGTCACAGTCACACCTCAAACACCGTCAGTAAACTGCTGGACAAGAGCCGCAAACTGTCCGTCACCATGAAGGAGGTCAATAGATCACACCTGTCAATCAAACTAGAGGACTAGAACTGGGCACATGAGATATATAAATCTGCCACATTTATTAATTGTCGTTGTCAACAGCCAGGGTTTTTCCTGCATAGAGAATTGGGAGGTGGCCGCCTCCGTCAAATTTCGTGCCACCTCCGCCTCCCGACAAAATTCTAGTACTTGTTTTCTCAGTACTTGGTGAATTTGAATCAATACAGGAAGCAATTTGTCCCATATTTTCGTCCGTGTTATGTCCTCAAAGTGCTGTGAATAATGTAATATCAAGTAAAAACAAACCAGTTGCCACCTTTTTTCACATAAAAGTTGGCAACCCTACAGATGAATATTATCTCTTTTACATCCAAGCACACCCAGCTTCTTGAAAAGTTTCCCTAAATGAACGTTACATCCCATCAAGTATGTTTTTTTTTTGTAGAAATGTCTCAAATCACAGATTATTTTAAAGAGAGTTCAAGAAGAGGAGCATCACAAGGACAGGTGAAACAGTGCAGACATCATTAGTTCTTTGCCAGGACTGACAGTAGGCCTAGTTCTCAACCACAAGTGGAAGGTGCCGGTGGAGGAGAGGATCAGAGCGCAAGAGAGGAGTCAAGGCGAGAATACCAAGTCTTTAGGAGTGTATTAACGAGTATATTAAAGCCGACGTTTACATGATTTTAACATCAGTTTTTATTAATCTTCCAAGATGTTCTGAAAAGCATAGAGTGAGTGCCGCAAGGTCATACGGCTTAGTACCACCCCAGACAAATTTTCGGCCAGGAAAAACCCAGACGGCCTCTTTGTTTGGACTAGTAATGACCTGTCTCTCTGTTTAATGTCACTGCTTTTTATCTTACCTGTCACCTGTCAATCTACCTGATATAACCTCGTGTTTTTATAGGTTCGTGATAAAATGGAGCGTCAGGGTGTCCAGGTGAAGAAGCTGGAAGCAAACCATGCCCACCTGATCAGCAGAAACAACTTCAAAGTCCTCATCTTCCAGGTCAGTGGGACCATATACACTGAAAGCAGGTCAGGGGTTAGGGGTCAGGGGTCAGGTAGAGGCTCACAGTGAAATGTGGAGCAGGACTATCTGTTATTATAGTGTGATGCCTCAATAAAATCAGAATTCTGCAGCCGAGACATCAGTAAAGTCTCCATTAGTCCATTCTTAAATCTTGGTTCAGGTTAGTCTAATGTAATCAAATGTAATCTACTCTGATCTAATCTAATCTAATCTAATCTACTCTACTCTAATATACTGTAATGTAATCTACTCTGATCTAAAATAATCTACTCTACTGTAATCTACTCTAATATACCGTAATCTACTCTGATCTAATCTCATCTACTCTACTCTACTCTACTCTACTCTAATCTAATACAATCAAATAAAATCTGATCTAATCTAATATACTGTAATCTATTCTAATATAATATAATATAATATAATATAATATAATATACTGTAATCCAATCTGATTTGTTATAATTTGATTTGATCTAATCTAATTTTATCTAATCTAATCTAATCTACTCTAATATGGTCTAATCTGATGTAATCTGACCTACTCTAATATAATCTAATCTCATCTCATTTGATCTACTCTACTCTAATCTGATATACTGTAATCTAATATAATATAATCTAAAGACAAACTATATAAAAGTTTATCTGTCTTGACCATCTCAGCTCCTTCTGCTCATTCTCCAGCTCTTTCAATCTGTGGCCTTATTTGGTCATAAAATGCTGCAGGAAGTGAACTGGAAAACTTTTATAAAAAACACTCTGAATGGACAGTCATCGCATGGTCTGGTAGTCATGGTAACAGTCAGCATAGAGTAATATAAGAGTGGAATATCACAGAGTCAGTTTAGGTTTTCTGTTTCTGATGGTGAAACTAAACCTGGTTCTAACCTGAACATTAAAACTAAGACTAATGCCAACGCCAACATGTCTTCACAGAGCTCACAGTGTAGAAATGTCCTCATAGAGCAGAAATGTCTTCACAGTGTAAAGCACATCACTCACACTACAGTCACTACAGATAATTGATAATGGCAGGTAACAACAACAAATTATTGGTAATTCCACAGAACTGGTAACCAAATGTCACGTTTTCAGGTGACAGATTTTAACTACTAGTAACTATGCGCACTTCTAGGTGATTAAAGGTAACTATAACTACAGGTGAGAGGAGATTTGTACAGGTCACAACAGGTAACCTTTAGTAAAGTATTGCTGTCCACAGGTAAGTACAGGTGGTTGTGGAACAATCTGCTCAGTCAGATGTTCAGTGATGTTTGTAGTAAAACAGTAGTAACTGGGAGTAAATCTGTCCCTGCTGGACAAAGTGTTCATGTCAGTACTGCAGTATCAGTGTGTACATGTGTGTAATATGTGTGTGTGTTGTAGTATCTGCTGACTGTATTTCTGTCTTCTCTCACTGACACTAAACATTCCTGTACCCAGCATTCCTCAGTGCATGAGTTAGTGTGTTACAGTGTGTATTATGTGTTAGATTGCATGTGGTTCTGTCTGCTTTTTAAGCCTGTCACGCCTATTCTCTTTCTCAGCGTAGCCCTCCTGGTCTACATCTTTTTCAGTTTAGAGAACAGAGTTCTTCCAACTTTGTGTCAACAGTTTCTCTTTGTTCGTTTGTCTTTCAACCTGACAATGGCCCTATGCACAAAGCCAGGTGGTCCACATATTTTTAGGTTCACATAAAGTTCTCCTTTGGTTCTGCTAAGGTTGCTCTGAAACCCACCAAAGCTTTCTCCAAGAATCCACTGTGGTCCCACTAAGCTTCCTCTAACATTTTCCTATGGCTATCCTAAAGTTCTCCTAATGTTTTAATAACATTCCCCTTTTGTTCCTATATAGTTCCACAAAAGTCCCACTAACTTTCCCCTTGCTTTCCCATGACTCTCCTTACATTCCCCAAATTCCTGTAATGCTCCTCCAAGTTTCCCATAAATATCCTTTGGGTTCCACGCAGCTTCCTCTAACATTCCAGTGAGGTTCCCTTACGGTTCCTCCAAGTTTTCCCTAATATTTCTTAAAGGTTCCTCAAAGATTCTTTCAAGGTCCCAGTGTAATTCCTCTAAGGATCCACCAAGTTTTCCCCTTTAGTTCCTCTAAGGTTACATTGAGAATCCATGACAACCCCCCTGACATTTTTCCTCCCCTAAGGTTGCCCTCAGGTGACATTAAGGTTCCCATAAAAATCCTCTACAGTTCCTCTGTGGTTCCACTAAAGTGGGGTTCTCCCCAAAATTTTCTCTCCCTCAGGAGGAGAACGAGATCCCCTCTAGTGTTTTTGTGAAGGATCCTCCACCATTCCCTCGTGATGAGATTGTGGAAGAAGCTGAGGAAACAGCACCGGGCATTGTTGATGGCAACCGGTCCCAGGAGAGTGGGCTCCATACCATCGACCTATCATCTGATGAGGACGTCGGTTTGGAGGCAGAGCTGGAGGAAGAGGAGACATGGCCTCATGATCTGGAGAACATGGAGAAGTCCAGAGCGGAGAAACTGAAGCGATCTAGTCTGAAGAAGGTCAGAACCATGGCTGAAAAGGTTCAAACAGACAAGTGCTCAGTCAGAGAGACAGGCATGTAACAGTCTTTCCTTTGCAGGTTGACAGTATAAAGAAGGCGTTCTCCCGGCAGAACATCGAGAAGAAGATGACTAAGATTGGAACAAAGATTGTGTCTGCGGAACAACGAGAGAAGATCAAACAGAAAACCTCAAGCCTGAAGGTTTCACCTTTGACCTTCAGCATCCGGAAGGTACTGAGATTTTTGTCATTGGTTATCCTTCATGAATGTGAATATTAACAAGTGTTCTAAGGTTCTCCTAATATTTTCTAACATTTTCACTAAGGTATTCCTTAAGTTCCTTTAAGGTTCCCCTAAGGTTCCACTTAATGTCCTAAACATTCCTGTAACTTCTGAATCCTGTTTGTGTCTTCAGCCTCGCAGCAGCTCGGACTCTCAGCCTGCTGATGTCTCCGCTCAGACCGGGGAGTCAGTCATCACTGAGGCTGAAATCCAGGTGTCCCCACTGAGCGACACCGACCAGGAGGTCCCCTTCACTGAGGTCCATGCCCAGCTGGCCCCAGCTGAGCAGGAGGAGAAAGAGGAGGAGGTGAAACAGGAGGTGATAGAGGAGGTGAAGGAGGAGATGAAGGAGGGTGAGGAGGTGTCAGTTTTAGGGGAGGCGGATTTGTCGGTGGTTTCAGAGGGAGTCAGTCAGGAGTACGCTCTGTCATCCACTCTGCCTCAGGAGGAGAAAGGAGAGGAGAGAATAGCAGAGGTGGAGAAGGAGGAGGAATCCTAAACACTTGTCAATATTCAATTAAACCCAGATTAATTATCCTCTAATCTGAGTTCTGATCACTCCAGATCTGAACAGATTCATTTTCTGTTAAATCCTCGTCTTTTATTTCTCTGAGAATTAGTTGTTCAGACTGATATGAGGCTACAGCCAGCAGCTGTTAGCTTAGCATAAAGACTGGGAACAGGAGGACTAACTCAGAGCGGAAAACAAAAGAGGATTTACCTGAATGTGGAATTGTTCCTTTGAAGTTCAGAGCTCAGATTTGTTTTGTGGTTGATATATATTTCTCTTTTATTGATAAACCTCCAGACACACACAGGGTTCGGATATCTGATCATGTGTGCTGACATCATCACATGTAAACCTGAAAACTACATTCTCCAACATTTTATCTTTACAGGAACTGAGGTCAATAACAGGCAGTTTCCTGTTCTGTTACAGTGTTTACACGAAAGTATTTTATGACGTTGGAGAATTTTATTGTTTAATTCTCCTACTGATCTGAAAACCTAAGAATAAATAAACACTTTAAAGTTGGAGATACATGGTTTTGACAGGACAGTGACTATTTTCATGTTTAACATTCAGTTTCCTTTCTATTTTTATTCTTGTTTTCTGAAACAACAGCTGATTGATATAAATGTGATAACTAATAATCAGCTGATCAATCACAAAAATAAAACATTAAAACATTTGAATGAGTGGAACCCAACTGAAGCAGACTGTCAATCATCCTGATGATGGCCTAAAAAGCAGAAACTCAGGGATCATGGAGGAAAACATGGTGCTAAACAGAACCCTGCTACCAAGGTTCCTCTTGGATTTCCCCAAGGTGGTCCCACAAAAGCTCTTTGGTACACCCAACATTTTAGGTTCCTCCAAGTTTCCTCTAACATTCCTCTATGGTTGCAAAAAGGTTCCCCTAAAGTTTCTTTTAAGTAAGATTGCCCAAAGGTTCACTTTAAGTTTCTTTAAGGTCCAGCTGAGGTTCCACTAATGTTCCCCTAATATTCACCTCAAAGTCTCCAAAGTTCTGAAGTTTTCCCTAAAGTTCTACTGAGGTTCCACTAAGGATCTTCCAACATTCCTCCTAAAGTTCCCCTAAAGCTGCGTTTCCACCACAGGAACTTTCCCCAGGAACCAGGAACCTTTCGAGGAACTATGCGCGTTTTGACCGCAAGAACCAGGGTCTAAATTTTGTTCCGGGTTAATTGATCGAACCCCCAAAAAGTACCTGGTCAGGGGGTAGTACTTTCCAAAGGTTCAGGAACTTTGGGGGTGTGGTCTGCAGTGCTGAACATTTCTGACTGGTTGAGTACTCGTTGCATTTTATTTCATTCGCAATATTTAGAAGTCCGCAGGGAGCAAGCGAGTGAGCAGACACATTTTCCACACTATGAAACAGGTCTGGGAGAAGGTAAAAAAAAATGAAACAGCACTTCAAAATTATAAAAGATCACAACAACTGGAGTGGCTAGGGTCGCCACCCATCACATATAATATGGGATCATCCCGTATTTGAAAATAAAATGCTGCGTCATGTATTGAATGGATAAGGGACACAATTTGTCCTGTATTTTCGTTCATGTTATGTCCTCAAAGTGCTGTGAATAATGTAATGTCAAGTAAATATTTTGCATAATCTTCCCGGGACTTTAGGCCGTAGTGGAAACACAGACAACAATGGGCCACAGGAACCTTTTAGTTCCAAGTACTTTTTGGTCGAAACGCAGTTTACGATTCCCTCAACATTCCACTAAAGTTCCTGTAAGGTTCCCCTAATGTTCTCCTGAGGTTCCTGTAATTTTAGTTACTTTGTTACTTTAAATATCTTTAACTGAATATATGAAATATGTTCTCTGATGTTCTGTCTGCTGTCTGAAACATTTTCTCTGATAAACAAATGAAACCAGCTCATAGAAAGTCTCATAATTCATTTTCATGTACCAACCAATTGATCGATCGATCAGTTTAATCTTCTACAGTCTGTGTGAGTAAATGTTATTTTATTGCCTCTGCTGATTTCTATACTGATCATTAATCAACTTGTTGTTTCTTTAGTTACTTATCAAAAACACAGAAGTATTAATAACTGTAACAGTGACGGTTAAACTGATCAACACACCAGATCAAACAGATTGATCAGTGAGAGAGTTGACTGGAAACACCATCAGTTACAAACACACTGATCATATTTAAAATCAGCTCTGACATGTTTAAAATAAACTTCAATAAAAATTTCAAACTGTTTGATCAGTTTATCGTTACTGACTTTTTTATTTGAACACAAATAAAAACACTGTGGTGCCAAAAAACATTTCCTTTGACTCACCTGTCCGACTGTTAATCAAACATAAACAGGTGTGTGAAATTCTCTTGAACTCTCCATATAACCAATAAAACCTATGTAACCATGTTTGTGTTTGTTGTCTCTCATTCTAACATCACTTTCACTTTAAAGGAACTGAAGATCTCTGGGTTTGAACTGTCTCAGTTGTATGATGTTTTATAATTAAATTAATTAAATCATCTGTAAATTATTTAATCAGATTACTGCTGAAATTAGTGTGACTATAAGTGCAGCAAAAGCAGTAACAATACAATGTAAAAATACTCTTCAAGTACTTCAAGTAAAAGTCCTGAAATCAAAACTTCACTTAAGCAAAAGTACAAAAGTAACAAAATGTACTTTAAAAGGAATAAAGGTAAAAGTATTCATCATGAGGATGGACTGTTTTCACACTGTTTTACACAGACTGGATTATTGGCTGTTGCCGTTGTTGTTGTTGTTGTCGTTGTCTACATGTGAAGGTTCAGGTTCGGGTTCTTATTGGTTTTTAATCTGAAGCTTTTTCTATCCTGTTTTTGACAATGATGATTGTCAACATGAACATGATTCAACTCTCTGCACTCTATTCTCTGGTTTCTACTGAAACTCTGCTGTTGACCTTTGACTTCTGTGGGAGGAGGTTCAGCCCGGGAGTGGGGTGTTCTTTTTAATAGCCAATGGGAGAGTCCAGAGGGTGGGGCTTTGAACCAACAGACCAATAGAGACAGTCAGGGGCGGAGCCTGAGACGTCACTCCACATTCACACAGTTGAGTCCTGTACTTTCTAAGCAGAGCGCTTTAACTAAACCTAACCCTACAACTAACTAACTAACTAACTAACTGTAACCCAACAGGTGTTTCCAGTACGACCTGTACTAATAGTACTGCTGCTTCAACAGTAAAGTGTCCTGCCCTTCCTCTTCCTCCTCCTCCTGTTGTATTCTTCCTCTTGTCCTCTTTCTTCTTCTTCTTTTCTGCCTGCACATGGACTCAGTAGTGCCCTCCAGCCTCTCTCTGGTCTCAGTCTTGTCTCTATTAGCATGTAGCATCCAGGTGTTAGCTGCCATCCTGCTAACGCACAGATATGGTGGGCGGAGCTCTGTGAAGGACAGGTGGATCCTACTGTGGCTCTACTATGATGTCATTGTCCACCTGACCCTGGTATGACCAATTAGAAACAGTTTGATAAGTTTTTAATAACCTTCTTCAGTTATTAGTTGATTGTTTTTTGCTGATTATTTATTGTTTGTTTATTTGTTTGTTTCACTGTTTTATTTTACTTATTTATGTATACTTTATGTCTCCATCTTTAGAAAGTCCTTGTTGTTTACATGTCTGTGGTTATTTGTTGTTTGTTTTCAGGAGGGTCCGTTTGTTTACATGTCTATGGTTGGGACGGTGCAGACATCTGAAGGTCCACTGGCTGAACTCTGTGAGTTCAACTTTCAGCTTCAGATTCTGTTTCTTCATATTTCTACAGCAAAGCTCTGACTACAGACATGTTTGTCTCCACCTGTCTGGCTCTCCACCTGTCTGTCTCCACCTGTCTGTCTCTCTGTAGGGAGGGAGTATGGTAAAGCTGACAGTCGTTGGTTAGTTTCTGATCCAGCAATCGTTTCCATAGAGATTCTGACCGTCGTCCTAGACTCTCTGTTAGCAGTCCTGCTGATACACGCAGTACTGAGAGACAAGTACTACAGGTACTATTACAAGTACTAATACAAGTACTACAGGTACTACAGTTACTACTACAGGTACTACTTCAAGTACTACAGGCAATACTACAGATACTAGGTACAAGTGAGAATGTAGATAGTATAACATGATAACTTTCATGTATTTCACAGACACTTTTTGCAGATCACTCTGAGCGTGTGCGAGCTGTACGGCGGCTGGATGACCTTCTGTCCTGATTGGCTGATTGGCAGTCCTCACCTGAACACATCCAATGGGCTCTATCTGTGGGTCTACCTGGTCTTCTTTAATGGAGTCTGGGTCCTGGTCCCAGTCCTGCTGCTGGTCCAGTCCTGGTTCTCTCTGAGGAGCCTGCACGTGCTCAGAACAGACCATGACATAAATATAGCCAAGAAGATGATGTAGAGACGACTTATCACATGACCACTGATCCCATGAACATTTAAAGGCTCATTCGACACATTTTAGCTCTCAGCTGTTGACTGTGATCAGTTATCAATCTGCTGCATTGATTATTGAACAGAAACTGAAGAGATGTGATCTTTTTACTTCAGATTAAAACCTCTTGGAAAAAAATTCCTAATGTTGTTTTTAATGTGCTGTAATTTGATCAATTATTGGTTCTGTTGATCACACAGACCGCCAGAGTCCATGTGACTCTCCTGCTCAGGTCTCAGTCTGGTTCTTCAGTCAGTTGGTCTCGGTCTGGTCATCAGACCTGATGCTGAGTCCAGATCAGGCAGAAACCAGGATCTGAAAAGGTTCACTACAGTCCTTTACATGATTATCAATAATCATCTTTATTGACACTCAAACATGTTTATTGATTTTATTGATGTTTTTCTTTTAAATCAGATGTTTTACTTTCTCAGTTTCATTAATTGTAAATGATAAATGTTGAAATTGTTTTAGTTTTAATAGTGCCACTCCCCCCCCTTCAACTCCTCTTGATCAGTTTGTTGACAGACATGAACGCCTGTTGGAGGCCAAGTCCCTTCAGAGCACTGCAGGCCTGAATCTCCCATGACCGCTCAGTGTAACTGGGGAGATCCAGGTGGTTTGAGATCTGCTGGGGGGGTTTATATATATATAGAGAGAGAGAGAGAGAGAGAGAGAGAAAGAGAGAGAGGGAGGAAAGACAGAAAATAATGAGAAGCAGAGGAGAAACAGCTCTGTCTAGTGGCTGTTCTCGTGTAACTGAATTCACTATTTGTGTGTTATTTTCTTACTAGGAAGTTTCCTTCCTTCTGTCCTCATTTCCTCCTCCCTTGCCTCTTTATAAACAGAGTTTCTATAGGAAACAGGTTTGTTTTAGAAATCCTTCCTCACACCAGTTTTCTGGACCCCATTGTTATCATGAGTTGTTGAACCAGGTCTGGGTCCGGGTCTTGTTGGTGGTGTGGGTGTCTCTTACCTCTCGTATGGTCATGGAGTTGGGCAGGTCCTTCTTGTTGGCCAGAACCATCAGAGGAACTCCTTGTAGTTTTTCGTCACTCAGGACCTTTTTCAGGGCCTTCTGGGCCTCTGTGATCCGACCCGGATCGCTGCTGTCCACCACGAAGACCAGAGCCTGACAGTCATCCAGATAGTACCTGAAGAAGAAGAAGAAGAAGGTGTCTGGGCTGTTTTTAATTGTCTGTTTGTTTGTTTTGAGTCGTTTACAAATTTACCTCCAGTTGGGTCTCATGCTCTTCTGTCCTCCGACGTCCCACACAGTCAAAGACGTCTTCTTGTCCAGGTCTAGGGTTCCCACATTGAAGCCAATAGTGGGCGACGTTTCCATCACCTACAGAGTCACAGGTGATCATTCACACCTAGTCTGACGGACATTTACAGTTCATAAGTCTAACACACAGTGTCTACCTGTCCAGAGGAGTCTCACCTGTCCTGTCAGCAGCCTGGACAGCAGAGTGGACTTTCCAGCTGAATCCAGACCCATAAGGATAACCTGAACACAGGTGTTCATCAACATGTTAAAGGCCTGTACAGGAACCTGTGTGTTCTACCTATACATAGAAACTAGATGATGTCATTTATGGTGTTCACATGTACAAACAAGACAAATGAACAAAAACAGATAAACAAAAACAAATAAAACATGTTTATAGTCTGAACATCATCAGACACATTTTATTTCCAGATTTACATTTTTTTTAATCTGATAAGTTTCAAGTTTGCTGTGCAGATCAAAGTCTGAAGATACTTAGTTGATGTTTGAGAGTAATTGTGTGGTGATCACCTGACACCTGAACACCAGGTGTATTTTCTCTGATCCACATGTTGCATTTAAATGCTGGTGGTAAACTCAGACATCCGGCTCTTCATGTGGAGAAGCTCTCTGTGTTTACACTGTAATGCTGTGATGTGCCTTTAATGTTTAACCTTAAACTGACTTAACTGTTACAGATGTGGTCATCCATCATGTATCTTTGATCCGGCACAGACCACCTGCTCAGGTATGAGAATCAGGTGACACACCTTCTCAGTCACTCAGTGTTGGAGCCAAGACGGTTTATTGATCAGCTAGACAAGAAATATGATGCATATTTATGGTGTTTTTTGTATTGTTTTTGATGATGAACCTCTGGATTAACTGATGAATGATAATGTGGCAGGTCTCTCCTTCACGGGTGTGTAATTGATTGATTGATTGATTGATTGATTGATTGATTGATTGATTGATTGACTGAACTGAAGGAGCTTTTTTTAACACTGAGTCAGACCAGATAGTGGATCCTTTCCAGTCAGGACTGGATCACCAACTGCAACTGACAGTAACTGTCATTATCAATACATCTGATAGGTGCTTTCTTCAATAACTGACTTATTGATTACAAAACAGTCGATATTCAACAGAAATGCTAGTTAATTTATAATAATTTTCAGTTTGGTTTCATTTGAACATTTTAATGACTCTTTGGAGACTCTCCTGGTTTGACTAAGTTTGTCTGAACAATGTTGTAAATTAATTTTAAAAAACAGCAACAAAGAGCAGAGAGCAGGTGAGACATGTCGGACACCTGTCTGACAGGTGAGAGAAAGGTAGTTGTTGATTTACCTGAGGAGAGGTGGAGGAGTGAGCCTGACCCATCACTCTTCTTTTTATCCAGGAAACTTCTTCTTCTCCTGCTCGTCCTCCTCGGAGTCACTTTGAATAAAAAACAAGTGAATGTGTCTGACCTGAGCTCTGTGTCTGACTGAAACTCAGCTGTCTAACATCTCTCAGGTGTGTACAGGTTCATTCACGCCGTCAGCTGATAGGAGAGCAGCAACCAATCAGAGCAGGTCATGTGACAGTGTGACAGGTCTGACTGCATTTCAGTTGAAGGCAGTTTTAACCCCAAACACTCACATTCAGCTTTGCTGGTTCCTTATGTGAAGCTTCAAACAGAAGCTCAGTGTTGATGATTTACATCCACATTTACATTTACAGCAGCTGTTACCTGAACACTGACAGTACATCAGTGTTTCATTAAACCTGCCTGCAGATGTGCATCAGTATCAACATCTGTCACTCCACACAGATGAAAACTGAGGCGAACATGAAACATGACAAAACTGTCTTTAATTTCACAGTCCAGTAAAATATTTATATAATCAGTCAAAATTATGAAAGAAAAAGCTACTTTGTTAGATATTAACTCCAAATTATGAGAGTAAACTGACATCAGATCAGTTTTTCAAACAAACACAAACTTATATATGTATGTATACACACACACCAAATCTTTATCCCAAGTCTGATTTCTATTTATTTTCTGTCACTATTTGTCAACCAGAATATTTAAGAAACCACAACACCTCATCCTCCAGGCTCAGCGGGGAGGGGGAGGAGTGGTGTCCGGTGAGGAGGGGTCTGTCTCCGGGTATAAAGCCGGCTCTTCACTCCTACTCCCTCCTTCTTCTTCCTCCTCCGACGGCTCCTTCGTAGTCCTCGTCAGTTCTCCTTCGTCATGGGCTTCGGTGACCTGAAAGCACCCTCCGGCCTCAAAGTGCTGAATGACTTCCTGTCGGACCGCAGCTACATAGAGGGGTCAGTATAGTAGAGACGGTAGAAACGATTGTAAACAACAGAAAATAGTAGAAACTCCCGCAGAGATCTTCACTGCAGTCGGTGGCGCCGCCATCTTGGCTACGCGCTGATCTAACGTGGCTAAAAGTTAGCTAACAGTTAGCTGGCAGGCCGTTAGCTGGACAGAGTTTAAATGTTAAAATAAATCGCTGTGAACGTCCATGATCCAGCCAGAGAGAGTGAATTGACTGTGATAAGTTAATGTTTATTTTCTGTTCGGTTGGAGGTGAATAAACATCCACATCCTCTCGTTAGCATGGAACCTCATGGTGCTAACAGGCTAACTAACGGGACGTGTCATGAAGTCTGCAGATCAGGGACTTTTGATTGTAATCAGAGCAAAAAGACTGCTGCACCACGTTTTAATACATGTCAAACACTTTGTTCCTCGTGAACAGACTCATTTTGAAACTTAAAAGCTGAGTAACATTTGTTAATGTCTGTAAAATGTACCTCGTGGTGTTTAAGTAGTGACTATTTTTTAAATCATTAATAGCAGCACAGTATGAAAAAATAAATATTATAAATGAATAGTTAAAACGAATAATTATGATGTTGAAATGAAGTCTGTTGAAGGTTGGTCACATGACGTCATGTACATTTAGAATACTGAACATTTTTAAAGACTTATTTGCATATTAAGCATTTTGTGTTCTGACAGTTTGTTTTGAAAAGCGTGGGAATTCATGGGGGGGGCAGGAAGTGCAGCACTGAGAGAGTGTGTGTGTGTGTGTGTGTGTGTGTGAGATGACTCAGCCAGGTGTGTCAGTACTGTAATCCAATTATGTTCTGTCCTCAGGTATGTCCCCTCTCAGGCCGATGTGGCGGTCTTTGAGGCGATCTCGTCGCTGCCCACGGCCGACCTGTGCCACGCCCTCCGCTGGTACAACCACATCAAGTCTTACAAGGACCAGAAGAACAGGTGAGGACGGTGGTGTCGGGGGGGGGGTTACACACGTGTGTGACCATAATGATGTAAACTTCATCTCCTGTCAGTCTTCCAGGTGTGAAGAAAGCCCTGGGTCAGTACGGCCCTGCAGGTGTGGCTGACGCCACTTCTAGTTCCGGCCCTGCCACTGCCTCAAAGGACGATGACGACGATGACATCGACCTGTTCGGCTCCGACGACGAGGTGAGGTTACAGAGATCAGTGATGTCATTAATGAGATGTGTGACTTCAGCCTTTTAACGTGTGTCCCGATTCTTGTCTTGCAGGAAGACTCGGAGGCAGCCAAGTTGAAGGAGCAGCGTCTGGCAGAGTACGCTGCCAAGAAGTCCAAGAGTACGTCCTCTCCGATCATAACCAATCACCTGATCGATCACAGCACTGATCATTAAACCAACATCTGGCTCAGAAGAGCTGGATGAAAACGTGAACCAGTCGAGTCTCCTAAAACAGAGGTCGTGTAGAGGTTGTGTTCAGCTGCGTTGATGAATCAGAACCAGCTCAGGAGCTGAGTGACCATCAGTTCTCAGCAGTGACAACCATTTTAAATTAACTTCAGTTTAATTTTACTTAAATCTTTAGACTTGTGTTCTGATTGGCCGACTCTCCGTGATGATTATCCAATCACCATCTTTCGGCTGACTGTCTGATGGACATCTTATTTACCTGATGGGAGTCTTCGCCTCTAGTCGGTGACGGTTAAGGTTTAGAGTGATTTCCATGGTAACAAACCTTCCTCTTCTCCAGAGCCCGCCCTCATCGCCAAGTCTTCGATCTTATTGGACGTTAAGCCGTGGGATGACGAGACCGACATGGCCCAGCTGGAGGAGTGTGTTCGCAGTATTCAGATGGACGGGCTGGTCTGGGGACAATGTAAATACTTCACTAATACTACACACTGTACTGCATATGATCCTTCTGCAGTATCTCACACACACACACACACACACACACACACACACACACACACACACACACACACACACACAGGAAAAAATCCAGGACGAGGTGTTAAGTTTCAGAAACTACAGTGACATAACAAGCTACAGATTCATGTGCAGATGTTATACAGATGTTTTAGGTAGACAGATGCTGTAAACCGTGTAGTCAGGAACCAGAGACAATGGATCATTGTTATTGGAAGATTGAATATTGATGAGTAACGGATGTGTCTACAGAGTTGATGATGATCTAACTCACCATCTTTCGGCTGAAAACGTGATGGAAACTTTCTGATCTGAAAACTCTGAGAACAATTTTCTCTTCATTTACATAAGTAGTGAAATTGCAGTATCTATTGATGACAGCACATTGATCAATAAGTGATCTGGTGTGACGTGTTTTTAATATTTTTCCTCTAGCCAAACTGGTCCCGGTAGGTTACGGCATCAAGAAGCTGCAGATCGGCTGCGTGGTTGAAGACGACAAGGTGGTGGAATAGGTTTAACTGTTCTCTCAGCAGATGATTTACACACCATTAGCTTTGTTTTCTTCTTGTTCCTGTCTGATTCGTTTCTTACCTGTTCTCAGGTGGGCACAGACATCCTGGAGGAGCACATCACTGCCTTTGAGGATTACGTTCAGTCGATGGACGTTGCTGCTTTCAACAAGATCTGAAAACACAACAAACATCAAATCATGTTAATAAAAAGCACTTCAACACAAAGTGAAGTTTGTGGTTTTTACATCCAGGTGGTATTACGAGACTATTCATCAGAGTTCATTAACTTTGACATCTTACCTCCTCTGTCCTTTTTGTTTACTACACATTAATTTGAAAAGCTATTAAATTATTCATGTATAAAAATAAAATTAAAAAAACAAGTCTTTTTAACATTTAACTGAAAGACCTGGAAGTGTCATTTCTTCAACTCTGTGTTTAACCTCCTACGGTGTGTTTATTTTATCTCTGTATCTGAAGCTTTAAAGGGCCAGAATATATTAACACTGTTTTCATTGGCTTAGAGCACTACACATCTATAGGAGGAGTGGGTCCTCCTCCATGGAGCCTGCCATGTTTCTACAGTAGCCCAGAATGGAAAAACCAAACACTGGCTCTGGAGAGAGGGGAGAAGATTCTCCTACATGTGGAAAAAGAGGGATATTAGTCAGCATTACACATTTTGACAGCAATAACATTTTATATTAATTGTTGTAACCAAAGGTCAGTCACATTTCAATACACAGTGAAGTTTTAAATATTAAGAAATAAACCACAGAAAACAAATTTCTAGGTTGTTCACTGGCTAAGAATAACAGTTAATGTTAAAAGAAAATGAGTTAAACTTGATATATTTAATGTTCAGTTAAAAGACGAACTGGGTTAAATGGGTAATACATTCAAAATAAATTCTATGACTGGTGGCATCAGCCATCTTCTGTGTTGTGGTCTGCTGGGGTAGTAGCATCTCCACCACTGACAGGTAAAGGCTGAACATACTGATCGAGAAGGCTAGCTCTGTTCTGGGATGCCCCCTGGACCAAGTGGGCAACAGGAGGATGATGGCTAATCTATCATCCCTGTTGGGATGGGGTCTGGGGTCTCCCACCCCATGCAGGACACTGACAGCACTGAGCAGTTCCTTCAGTGTCAGGCTGCTGCACCCACGGTGTGCGAAGGAGAGGTACCGCAGGTCTTTCCTTCCTGCTACTGTCAGACTTTATAACAAACACTGCACTCAGTGACCTTACACACCAAAGGCTGACAATCCACCATGTGCAAGTTATCTGTTGCTACTTTTTGTATTTTGTATCTTGTATATCTAATATTTATTTGTACATATTATATTACATTCTTGGTTCTTGTCGTTTGGCAATTTGTTTTTCTTTCTTTGTATTGTCCACTTTGCTGCTTTGACGCTGGAAATGTCCCCACTGTGGGACTAATAAAGGAATATCTTTAAATTAAACCACTCCTTAAATTATCTTTAAATAGGTACATTATATATTTAACGTTTTGTGGTTGTAGTTCCCGCGCTGACCTGGCAGCGGCAGCACCTCTCTCACAGTTTCCCGCTCTGTTGGGGTTCAAGCAGCAGAAGAAGAGTCAGACCGGAAACTAAACAGAGCGGCGGAGCAGCGCGCGGCGGAAGAAGCATTTAATCTGTGAAAGTAAACAACAACATATAAACAGCTGCAGGTAAACAAAGTCATCGATTATCGATAATTAAATATCCACATCACTAGTCTGAACCAGCAAATCACTTCCTTCGTAGGACTGCTGCTCAACTGACAGGCTAATAGCATGCTAACAGTTAACCTGGTGCTAACGCTAACAGCTGCCGTAACGGCGGGAACACGTCACCAGCAGGGTCACCATGGTTACCGTCTGTTCGGTTAAACTCGGACTTGACCCGGGTTTAATGTGCCGGGTTTAAACTGACAGGTTAGCATTACTAGTTAGCCTCAGAGAATCAGAGCGCGATGTGTACTGGCAGCCAATCAGAGTGCAGGGAGAGATGAGCTGTGATTGGTCAGAGCAGAACAATAAATAAACAACTTCTTATTGAAAGACATTTTAATTATTTAAACATTTAACTGTTAAAAATTAAAGTTTTATGTGAATAAAATAAAGTTTACATCTGAACCAGAAAGAAACTGACGTCACTGTTTTTATAAGAAATTAAAATCCTTTAATCTGGCTTTTTTGGCTCGTTAATGATTATATTTGTTATTTATAAACAATAAAACTGTTGTTCAATAGTCTGATTTTTTAGATTAGTGTTATATTTTATATTGTGGGTTTTATTATACTTCTGTTTCTTTATGTAACAATAAAACATAGCTGTGTCTCTCTGGATTTGACACTTTTAAATGTTTAAATTTAACTTCTTGAATTCTGATTTCAGGGTCATTTTGATTAGAATCAAACACTGTCCATATTTACAATTAACATGATGATATAACTGACATCCTAGTTAATGTAATAGATTTGATATTGTAAAGTAAATCTCTCTCCTCCTCAGGCTCATGGACTCTACACCTGAAACTCTCACATGGTTATGGTTGGTTACAGCATGGAGTGCACTGATTGGACAGATACTTCACTGATTGCATCGCCTCCAGGTGAGAATTCTGTGTGACGATGGTTGATATTTTTATCTGTCAGTGATTTCACTGCCAATAATTATCTCATGTTTGATCATTGATTTCAGATCAGGTTTTTATAGAAATAAATCAGATTCGTCTCAGTCACGGTTCAGTATTTGTCAGGTTTGATGTATTGGGGGAAAAACATGGTGTGAAATCAATTTAACTCTAATAGGATTTGTTTTCATTGATAGACAGAACATTATTCAGAAACTATTTTGATAATTGATAATTGATAATTTTAACATGTCAAGTTTTCTGTTGCTCACAGTAACTTAATCTCTGAAACGAAACATTTGAGACCAACTCACAAACCGTTCACTGGACATTTTATATTAAGCAATCAGTATATTAAAGGATGAAATAAACACCAGATTAATTCATAATAAAAATAATTATTAGTTTCAGCTGTAATGATTATTGTGATAATAAAGTCTACAGTGATATTTTGTCCACAATCATCATCGATATTGAGTTAAAATCAGATTCTCTCAAATCTCGGTTCTTAAACCTTAAAATATTTATGTGATGGAAGAAGGACCTCAATAAGTGATGTGATGTGTTTTAGGTCTCCAATCAGCAGCAGGATGTCAGACTCCTCTGATGAAGGTAAAAACTCGAAACACACACTTCTATTTTTTGATATTTCATTCACTGAATATTGTGTGTGTGTGTGTGTGTGTGTGTGTGTGTGTGTGTGTGTGTGTGTGTGTGTGTGTGTGTGTGCGTGTCTACAGCAGACGACAATGGCAAGACAGGGTCTACCAGCAGGTGAGTCTACCTGTCCATTATTCTCATTATTGGTCAGGGAGGTCAAGAATCCAGATTCGTCCACCAACCAAACCCTGAGATATTTCTGTGGGAGGCTACTCAATAAAAATGTTGATCTTTAAAGAACTGTTAAAAAATTAAAAATGTTGCATCAGTCTTGGCTGCGCAGATTTCCTTTCTCTCTCTGACTCCTGATGCTAACAACAACTTTAATGGTAACTGGTTGACCAGTTTAAATAAACACAGACCCGAAACAGGTGTTCTCTGTAGAAAGGGGTTGTTCGTGTTTGACACTGAGGACTCACAGCTGCACCTGTAGTGTACCTGTAGCACACCTGTTGATGGAATATGGAATATTTAAATATTGATCATTGATCAGTGACTGATTAAAGGTGCTCTCTGACTGACAGGATGTGGACAGAGTCTCAGGCAGGTCCATCCAGGTGTCAGCCCAGCAGACAGGGTTACTGTGGGTACTGCAGAGTCCTGTACAGCAACCTGGACCAGGTACATAAATATACACCTGATTTGGTGGTCAGCACAGGTGTCATATGTATGAAGAGATATTCTACTTCCTGTAGCGTGAGTGAGCTCATGTTTATACACATGTTTATTTCAGTCTGTCACATGAAAATAAATCTCTGATGTTTAATTAAAAAAATGGACGACGATGAGTCACAGTAACAAACTCTGAACTTTTACATTTTTCTGCTGGAAATGATCAGGTCAAATAAACTTGGGTGGAAAGAACCACAACAGAGGATTTGAAGTTATAAAATCGTAGAACACATCATGCATGACAGTGAAGCCTTCAGCCAATCAGAGCAAAGTGATGTCATCACAGACAAACCGCAGCTGCTTTGATCCATGAGGTTTTTAGGGTTTTTTTAAGAAGTTTTTAACCATCATACATCATCTTAAGTCAGCGCTGCATTAAGTCAAATGAATCATGTGACCTGAACTGTTCAATTAGAGTCAGTGACACGTCAACGTCATACTTCTGTCTCAGCACCTGTCCAGTGTCAGACACCTGGACTCAGTCCGGGCGTCCTCCAGAGGCTCCAGCACTGTCTCCTCCGCCAGCAGTAGCCGGACCAGACTGACCCTGCTGGAACGTTTCCTGCAAGATGTCCTGCAGCACCACCCCCACCACTACAGTGACCCCAGGTAACCTGGTGTCTGTCACCTGACCTCAGGCGTTTTAAACACACCTGTTGGTGTTCATAAACCTGTTTTTGTCTCCGTCAGGCCATCACATGGCGACCTCCCATCAGTCTCCGCCCCTCCGATGCCAAGGGCGGAGCTTGATGAACTACGATTCTCTGACAATGACAGTCGGTCACTTGGTACGAGAGAACACTTGCCCAGCTCTGACCAATCAGCCAATCAGCAGGAAGATGATGGTATCCACAGCCAATCAGGAGAGGGAGTCACAGAGGGGGACGTTCATGATAGGCTGTCTGCACCAGTCAGAGAACAGAAGGCCATAGGGACCGCCCCCACAGGGCCCACACAATCACCACATGACCAAGTCCCACCCCTTCAACTACAAACACTGCCCCCACACTCTCATGCTCCACCCTCTGTTCACAGAAAAGCACACAGGAAGACCAACAGGAGAAAAACCAGTGAGTCCTCATCCTCTTCACCTCCCCCCAGGGGCCCAGACCCCAGATCCCCCCACAAAGATCTGAGCCCAGGTCAGGGAACCAGGACCACACTGGGGCCCTGGATCAGCTGGCAGAAGGACAGAAGAGAGGCGTTCTCCTCAGACCACAGCGACCCTCTGGATCAGACCATTGAGGAGGTTCGTCAGAGCTGTAGTCCAACGTCAGTTGTTCACACAAGTTAGCTGATTCCTACAAACCTTTCTATTCATGACCGAAGGTAGTTTGTGTTTCAGAAGATCACAGGTGTTTCATGTTTGTTTTGGACCTCAGGTGATCCAGATGTTCTGTTATGGCGTCACTTCCACTCCCTGCCAGCAGGAGGAGACTGAGAGCTTCCACTTCAGCCTTCCTGTCACCGTGGAAACACAGAGTGATGACTGGGACTCACCTGTGCAGGTACCTGTCAGACAGATGGAGGAGGTCAGTGTGTATAATCTGTACTATAGCTATAACTTTTCTCTGCAGGTGGTTTTACAGCGAGCTCAAACACTCAGTGACACACCTGTCCAGGTGGGTCAGGCAGAGGGGCAGGACCTGGGCCATCTGATGGATGTTCAGGTGGACCTGGAGGACCAGGTGTACTCGTACCAGCTTGACTCTGCCCTCCGCAGTGAGCTTAAAGCAGGGAGCGGGGCCAGGCAGGACCAGGGTTTCTGGACTCTGCCCATAGAGGAGGTCCTACCAGCTCCTGCGCATATCCCAGAATCCTTCAGGGGGAAGACTTGGGCTCAGATCGAACAGGAGGACGAGGAGAAGGTCGACAAACTGGTCCGACAGTTCAGATGTGGGAGGTTTGTCTGTTACTTCGACAGCGAGTCTCTGGCCAGGTAATATAATGAGTCGTATATACACTGATGTATGGACTTCGATATAAAGTTACAAACACTGTGTACTACATATAGACTGTGACATAGATTGTTATCTATAGACTGACATATAGATTGTAACATATAGACTGTGACATATGATATACTGACGTACTGTAATAATAAAATAGACTGTAGTATATCATATACAGTAACATATAGACATATATACAAACACTTGACATACAGTCTACTATAACAAGGCTAAAATATACTTTTGACATATAGTGTAATCTAACACATTTTATTGTTACTATATATTGTAACATAAAATGTTGTCATTCTATAAATTCTATGAACAGAAACTTAAGTAATAACAGGTAATATTACTATAGTCTCATCAACTCTCAACATTAAAATATTCTTTAACATTAACCAAAACAAATAGACAACATTTTAATATTAACACTTTCATTTAATATGTACTTTTATGTATCTATAAAAGTATATATATATACACACACAAGTAGTGAGTATAATATTCATTTACATATAGTGAGACATTCACTTCAATATTAATATACTCTAATATTTAGTCTAACATCTAGTTTTATATTCACATATATCCTAACAAAATATGATAGCTATTAGGGATGGGCACTTGAAGAAATTTCCTTGATCGATCATCGGGAAAATTAACGATCAATTATCAATTCTTTATAAAATCTAATAATATAAAGAAAGCATCTTTTTCCTCATTGAAATCTTTTTTCCAAGAAGAAATTATAGTCCAACAACAATCCTTTTAAACACAGCAGTGAAAGTTTAATAGTTTAACTATTAAACAGAACAAAAAAGATATGCGGCCTCCTAAAGGCAGTGGAGCCTGAAGCTCTGAGCCAAACCTCTTCATAAATAACAAGCCAAAGCTACAGCGCTTATACACGGCGTTGCAATGTTTACAATGAGCTTTGTTATTTTTCAGCTTGAAATGTTCCCACACCAAACTTCGCCCTGCTCTCTTCATGTTTACCTGCAATGCCTACGGCAGCCCGCACGCCAGCAGCTGAGTATTCATTTCTCTCTGTTGACAATTTAAATTGCGCTTCGGCTGGTTGCTGCCATGTAGTGAAATTCATTGCATCGCTTCAAGACACACTACACAACACACCTTCGTTGATACACATTTTAGATCCATCAGATTCCATGTGATCGTCAAAATTCTTCTCGATCATCAATTAATCATGCCCACCTCTAATAGCTATTGTAATGTGTCTAACCTGCATTCTACCATATACTTGAATATAAAACATTTACTTTAATACTAACATGTACTGTAGAATCTGACATTCTGTAAGATATACAAAAGCAACGCCAAAATATAGTTTAGTATTAACATGTACGGCACTATATAACACAGACTTACAGTATGTGTTAATATTCATATAGTTAATTCTGAATAGTATTAACATGTAGTGTGGCGACTAACGTGCTGTATTTGTATGACCTATACATAGGTCTGACTTTTACACGTACATACATACACAGTTGCATGTACTTACATATATGGTCTGTTAGTGTTTGTTATTAGTTATTATGAAACATTTAATCTCACAACCTGCTACAGTTTGGATTAGAGAGATCATTTATCTAAAATCTTACTGAGGTTTGTTTTTGTTTTTCTGGGGATGTCATCAATGTCAGGTATGGGAGGAGGAGCCAAAACAAAAAGGGGCATGGTGACAACAACGAAGTAGAGCCAAATACTAGTGTCCTGCCCTTATTGGACTGTGATGACGATGACTCTGTGTATGAGAAGAGGAGAAGGAGGCGGGGCTTCAGGGTGGCGTCCAGGTGTCAGGTGAGTCAGACAGAGTTCTCAGTTCTTGTTTCAATTGGAAGACAAATGTCTCACCTGTTTTTATTTTGTCAGGTGGTTAAAGTCAGTCACAGCACTCAGACCATTCGATTGGTCATCCCAGCAGTCCGTCAAGCAGCTCCTGAGACCCCGCCCACCAGCATCCCTGCAGCCAATCAAAATGTAGCAGAGAGAACACCTGAGGTGCAGACTTGGCGCTTTCTTCCTCAGTCGTACTCCAACATCATCACACCTGTGCAGCCTCGCACTTCTTTGGTCTACCTGCTCTGCTCCCCCTCAGGCCCCGCCCCCTCCTGCACACTAGCACTAGGCTCCGCCCCCAAACGTTCCAGGAAGAAGAGGCGTCCACTGGACTTGCAGGGGCTAAAGGTCAAATACAAACGACTTCCTGTCAGGTTTTATGACCCCGGCACCAACCGTATCCTGAAGAACCCCCCCAAAGGCTTCCTGAGGGGCCGAGGCCCCACCCCCTCAGGCCCGCCACCGCCCTGTGTCCGTCAGCTGTTTCGAAGTCTGAGTCCCGACCTGAACAGCGACAGAACACCAGGGGAGGGGGCCGCAGGGCCGTCCAGAATCAAAGGTCATACCTCAGCAGACCCCCCCTTCAGCCACGCCAGCAGCTTCCTCCTGAGCACACTCAGTAGGGACTCAGAACAGACTGATAAACAGGACACAGTCAGGAGGAGGGTTAGGACATCTAAAGCCCCGCCCCCGCCCCCTCCACCTCACAGCAGGTCAGAGCGGGGGAGAGGGGGGAGGAAGGAGGGGACACGCCCCCCACCCTCCAAGAGAAGAAACAGGGCTCAAGCCACGCCCCCTCAGCCCAGGAGAGAAGGCCTACGACGCTCAGGGTCCGCCGTACTGACCCCGACCCCTCCTCACTCACCCTCAACCCGCCGGGGGAGGGCCCGGAGGGGGCGGGCCTGCGAGAGAGGGAGAAGGTAGCAGGATACTTGTCCATGAAGCAGGTTACACCTCATTTCACCTTCCAGCCTCATTTATAAAATCAAAGATTCATTGGTTGTGTATCAATCAGAGTTTTCCATGATTTGTAAAAATGGTTTGGACCATTAAAAGTGATTGATGTGATTGATCAGTAATATGTATCAGTTTATAAATGAGGCTGATGAAATCATCTGATCGATCATTTTACATTTGTGTGATGACACGGTGACAAGTGTCGTTTAAACTTTAATTACTAAATCATTTTAATTAAGTCTTTAATTATGAAAAACATTGATTTAAAATGTTTGTGTCATAATGATAATTGATTGATAATAAGATATTCCTTTCATCATGACAATAGAAAAAACATTGATTATGATTTACATCAAATATAAAAAATATCAATAAATCAGATTTAGAATTTAATTCTTGTCATGAAAATAAAAATGAAATTGAATTATTTTTAAAAACAACATCATGTTCACACAAATTGAAAATCAGACTTGATCTTATCAAATGATTTTGTGTGTTTGTGACAGTGAACACACCTGGAGGTGATGTGTCAAGTGTGGTACCACCTACCAGGTGTTGATGTCATGTTTTTGTCTCATGTCTGAACTTTTTTACCTTTATTAAATATCACTTAGTTCATGTTGAATAAACAGATTTTATTACCCGAGTATGACTCACCTGGTCAGTGTGCGTTTGTTCTCATAGCATCCACCAGGCAGTGTACACAGTCTCCCACCTGGTCTGCAGCATCCAGAAGCTCCACCCTCTTCCTCTCACCTGGAAAGATTGAAAACTTTCATTTCAAATGTTATTTGTTATCTGTTTAAAAAAAAGTTTTCAGTCAGGTGTTTGTGCACCTGGCAACATGAAAAGGTGTTTCTGACAGGTGAGTTTAACACCGACACAACCACAGAGACTTCTGTCTGTCACACCTGTGTGTCTCACCTTTCTGTCTCTCCACCTGTCTGTCTGTCTGTCTGTGTGTCTCACCTTTCTGTCTCTCCCTCCACCTGTCTGTCTCCATGACAGTCTTCAGTCTGTCTACAGTTTCCTGCAGCAGCTCCTCTGGACTACACATCCCACAATCCTCCTCTTCCTCCTCCTCTTCTCCTTGAGACAGACAGGTGTCTACGTTCTGTAGCCCCGCCTCCTCTGGTCTGTCCTCTTGTCCTATTGGCCGGCAGAGACACATGTCACCTGCAAACCCTTCCTCCTCACAACAGACATCATGTGACAGAGGAGTGCCCTGGTGGATTGTGGGAGATGGAGTTTGTTGTTCGTCCTCACTCCACTCGTCCTTCATCAACACTTCCTCCTCCTCCTCCTCCTCAGTGTTTCTCTGTGTGTCAGAAGTTGGTGTGACATCACCTCTTTCCATGTCGATGCTGTGTAGCGTGCTGTTGGCATGTCGTTGAGCCTGACAGAAAAAAATCTAGTTCAGGAGAGAAGTCAACTACAACTTCCAGGGTGCATTTCAGTAACAAACAATCAGTCACAGCAGTTCATGTGACAGTGAAACCTGATAAAACATCCAGCAATTAAATTAATTAAAAATATGAATCTATTAAATGAATTAGTTAACTTCCTGATCAGAAGTCAGGGTGAGACCAGGGCAGTGACCTCAGACACAAAACACTCCAACTAGACATCAGGATCTGTCAGGGTCTGTCAGGATCAACAACCTGAGGTGATTGAGACCTTCAACTTTTATTTTAAAAGAAAATATGTTGTCATTCTGCCAGCTGATGAGCTTTTTAAAAAACACAGCAACAGCAGCTGAGGCTCATGGGTAGTGTAGTATTTAAAGCTGGAGGCAGGTAGTCGATCCAACAGCCTGAAGAATTCAAAGTGAAGCAGACACTAGGTGGCAGCACGAAACCAGGGTCAGTTACAGTTAAAAAATTTAATTTGAAAACGTGACAGATATTTTCTCTCCCTCTCTCCCACACACATAAATATAACCAGTCTGTACAGACACTGAGGTCATTATAAGAAAAACGGACATTTTGTTTGATGGTCACTGATAAAATAAGAAATTGTTGAGCTCCTCTGGATCATGTGACTTCCATTTTACCTGACTGACTGTGACTCCAGCCTGAAACACCTGTGTGTTATTTACCTGTGTGAGCATGCCCTGCAGACGCAGGTTGTGTTGTCTCAGTGTTTCCATGGTAACCTCAATCTCCGAGCACCTGTCCTCCAGGATGCCCTGCTCTGATTGTACGGTGAGCCGCCATGCCTTCATCTCCTGCTTGAGCAGCCTGGCGACAAAAAGACAAAGATGATCCAGACTTTAAACCTAGACCTGGTCCTAGTCCTGGTCTTCAGACTCACCATTTGTCTCGGTGCAGGTTCCTGACCTCAGTCAGCACAGCCGACGCATTCAACTGATCAACAACAACAAGACAGCACACACATTATATACAACCTGAACATTCAAAACCATGAGGTCAACAACCCCTATGAGATCAGAGGTCACCTGCTGAGTCAGCATCTCCTCATCAGTCTGCACAACTTTAGACAAGGACAATGAGCTAGGAGGAGGTCGCACTGAGGCATCATGGGAAGCATCTCTGTTGGAGGATGGACTGTGACAGACAGCTGAGTCAGCCAATCGTGTAGAGACATCAGAAGGGGGTGGAGCACTGAGAAACAAACTAGTTAATGAGCGTGTTTCCTGCATTTAAAACAAGACTTTAACAAGTTACTCTAGTAAAAACAAAAGGTGTTTAACAACGTATTTAATTAACATAATGTTTCATTAAAAAGGTTAAAGGGTCAATTTAAAAAAGTAAGCTTTTAATAAGTGTGTTTAATTGAAAATGCGTCTTCCTGTGAAATGTTTCGACACTGATTGCACACCTGGCTCACCTGTCCTGAGTCTCCCCTGGCTCCGCCCATATCAGGACCCTCCTCCTGTCAGGCTCTCTCTGAGTGTATCGCCGTGGCAACAGGGTGTGACGAGCGCTGTGCACTAACAAGCAAAGAGTCTCCCTCCAGGTGGGCTGATGGAGATGCAAACTAAAGGTTACAAACTGATGGATCTTTACCTTTTGGGGGAGGGGGGGGGGGCGTTACCTGTGTATTTGTACCTGTTTGTTTTACCTGGATGTTTATACCTGAGTGCAGAACTCATTTTCCTGATCTTTCTGTAGCTGTGTCTTTCTGTTTTTACCTGTCTGTGATCTCACCTGTATCCGACTTACCTGTGTGCAGAACTCAAGAACTGGATGGTGGGTTTTGTGTTTCCTCGTGTGTCTCTCTCTCAGGAAGCAGCTCTGACACACGTGGACGTTCACACACTTCATACAGCGATACCTGCACATACACACACACACACACACACACACACAACACCCACCACACACACACACACACACACACACACACACACACACGATCCATCAAACAGTGGGTCATGCTGCCCTCTAGTTTGTCTTACAGGATCATCTGATACATCGCTCAGGTGTATGAAGCTAGTTAACCCTCAGTAGAAACTAGCTGACCTCAGTAGAATCCAGTAGAAACCAATAGAAGTCTTACCGGAGGCCAGAGATGGGGAAGGTCTTGCAGGTGTGGCAGCGGACTGTGTGACTGACGTTCTGACTGACGGACAGCCGGTACAGAGTGGGTAACCATAGCAACAGATGTGGCTCAGTCTGCAGCCATGACAAAACATGTTCTTCACTTGCCATAGAGGTCAACACCTGTAAACACACAGTCAGATTGTCGCCATGACGACCACCAATTGCCTGCAGCCCAGTGTTTTTCTTTGTGTTCTCACCCCGTTAAAACACGACCTCACCGCTGCCTCCACGCTGCCAAAAACTACTTCCTCCTGCACCGCCGCTGGAACCTGAACACATGCATATGTTGGAGAGAGACAGAGGAGGAGAGAGTCATGCTGGAAAATGTAGTTAAATGTTTTTAGTCTTTATGGGGTTTACCTGGCTGAGGTCCTGCAGTAAAGCCCTGAGTCCAGACCTGCTGACGGATCCTGAGCTGTTGTCTGAAACCCTCATCAGAGCTGCAGCAGAGTAAAGAGTGTACTTTATACTGAAGGAAAAATCATCCTAACATGTATTTTATTCTGAAAGTCCATCTCAGCTTTTAAACTTCCTCTCAGATAAATCAATAAAATAAATCCCATCAATGAAAACATAGTATTTAGTAAACAAAAATGTATTTCTCTCTTTTTAACTACAACACCGACATCATCCAGTTTCTAATTTTTATGAAACAGAAATATAAAATATTCTTTTTTATAAATCCTGTAAAAAAAAAAAAAGAAAAAAGAAAAAAAGAAAAAAGCAAAGCAACCATGTGTTGAATGAGGTGTTTCTCAGCGGTCAAATTTAGAGCCATTGTTGTTCCTCATTTACATGAACAATCTTCTTAATGGCTGTAAACTGACGTTATGTACAGATGACAAAGAAATCTTCATATCCACACAATGACATTGTCAGTAATTAGCTGTGTGTTCATCAGGGCTCAGTCCTTTACATTTTACATGTTAGTGATATATAATCTGTAATATATATATATATAAACACAGTCTTACCTTTCCTCAGGCCTTCTCACCTGTGTTTTAAACTAGCAAGCCCTCAATAGATATTAGTTAACCCTCAGTAGAATCTAGTTGGCCCTCAGTAGATAACCTGTATATAATGGAGTATAAATGGTCTTACCTGTTCTCAGGGCGTCTCACCTGTGTATTTTTCCAGCAGACTGTCAGAGGACAGAGCGATCAGAGCCGTCTGAAGAGATGCAGCAGGTACCGAACCCACCTGAGTCCTGGAACAGAAACACACCTGTACAGATACACTGACAGTGTTACTGCAGCCTGTTTAACTCACCTGTGTGAACTCTGACCTGTCATATAGTCTGAACATCACACTGCACGTCTCCTCTGGAGCCCGCACGGTCACATGACCTGGCACTTCCTGTGACACGCCGTGAAACATCCTGTTAAGAGTCCAGGTCACTTCCTCCCTGTTCAGCCCCACATCCTGCCGCTGAGTCCCGCCCACTGAAATGACAGCCGCCGTAATGTGTCGAACGGACACAACGTGCACTGAAAACACAAACACACAGCAAGCTCATGGTTAAATTAGATTAGATTATCTAATGAATTACAGAAGGACTTCCTGGAGGACAAATTTTTCATCTCATGTAGGAAGATAACTGCAGTTCAACTGTACGTAGGATCAAAGACTCTAAATTAAACTGAGACAGATTTACTATTTAAGGACAAACTATATGTTGTTGTTAAATTTGCAGGAGCTGAAGTAACATGTTGTTGTCAGTCAAGTACATGTAAGAGAAACATTATATCATCTACAACAATAGCAAACAGCAGAATGATATACTATAGTATTAAGTGATAGTAATAATATGGAAAGACTCACTATGACAGAGTTTCTGCAGAGACAGAAGCTTCATGGCGGCTCTGTAAACAGGCAGACGGATTTCATTCAGCCCCTCTGTACAGGAAACAGGAAATAAACATCCATCAAGCTTTAATGTGTTTCTGCTGAAGGTCAACTGTTGGTGGCAGTTCATCTATAAGTTAACGGAGAGGAGCTTACCGATGCTGTTCAGGTCCATGATGAGGTTCACGTCAGTCTGAAAACACACATCATCATCAGGTAAGTATTATTTTGGTTGAACACTCACTGATACTCACTGTGTTTTTTATTTACAGACAGTTTCTGAATCAGTGAACGCGGGTGATCTGATGGTTCTTTCTCAAAGTGCTGAAGCTTTCAGGAAACTTTAAAGGTTTTGTAGATGGATTTTATTCTGATTGAATATAAACCATGTTTCTGAGTGGGCAGGTGACTTCACTGCTCCAGGGTCAGGTTTCTTTATTTCAGAGTGTCACATCCACACAGTTACAGTTACAATACACACTTACAGACCTGATCAATCCTCCTCTCAATAACTGAAGCAGACAGGATGTCCCCTTTCTGTTTCACCTGCATCCACCTGATTCTTGAAAGGTTTCTCAAACTCAGGAGCTGCAGGGACAAGAGCAGAACAGATCAATTTCTTTACATGAGTGAAAGCAGCTTCACAGGATGGAGACAGGACCACAGTGTTTTACTACAATGTTTTCATTACATTGTTTTTACTAGTGTTTTTACTCTAAAGTTCTGACAAAAGAGATGCTTCAGTTCTTTTCTAGATCTTTATCCTCAGCCTGAACATGTCCACCAGAATAAACTCCAGCAGTGGAAACACGTCAGTTAGTTCAGTAGACACAGACTCAGACAGTAGAAACAGACTCAGTAGAAACAGACTGACCTTGTTACGACTGTTGCAATGTAGAAACCAAACGTGTGCTGCTGGAGAGACAAAGTGAATGAATCATGAATGAAGGTTTCATTTATCACCGCAGCTGCTTCTCACCTGTCAGCTCACCTGCTGCCTGTGGACCAATCAGCAGCCACCAGAGAGCTGACATGGGACCAGGAGCTGACTCTAGGTCTGTGTTAATGATCTGACTGGTGACACATTTTGTAGTTTGAATGGTCTGATCACATTTGAGGTGAGACACAGTAACATCATGACACCCTGCTTCTTCTTGTTCAGTTAATCTGTGAACTTCATCAGATCAGAAATCCTTAATCCGTAACAAATACACAAGTCTAGACAAAAAACACACTGAACCTTGACCTGGATGTGGGCCATGGAGACTAAATAACTCCCTGTTACAAATGGAAGACTTCAAAATTAAGATAAGATAAATTGTTAAAAAATATCTAGAAATCAATGATACAGAGGGGCTTGAACCGGTTACTGTGGGAGGGAGCAGAACTGAGGTCGGAACTGACATCTTTGCTTCGTATAAGAAAAGTCAGAGAGGGAAAAAAAATTAAGGAATCCATAAGACATCCTGTTACCAGGGGCAGCTGCTTTGGTTTGCACTCAGTCTGTGCCCTCTGATGCTTGGATCCCCAGGACTCTGGTTCCGCCTTTGGGATTTGTAGCTGGGCACACACGTGTCTCCTGAATGGTGAGGTGACTCGTTCTGCAGTGCACGGTGACATATCACACACTCTCATGGACGTTGTGTAGGAACTAGGACTTAAAGGCATGTTCCTCCTCCAGAACTGGTGCATTGTGTCACTGAAGGTTCATGTTAATTTTACTTTGAACTTTAGGGGTAGGTAAGAAGAGCTGGTTTTTAAATTGCCACTGTGGGTCCAGTGCACTGGCAACAGCAACATAAGCCATTCATCAAAAAGAGGATCAGTGAACAGTGACCCCTGCAGTCTGGGAGTGAACCTGTTCAGATGCTCCAATGTCTCTTTAGGATGGAGATCTGGGGGAAGCCAGAAATCATGCCTATACAGAAAAGACAGACATAGGATATGTATACATAAATATATCTATACACACACACACACACACACACACACACACACACACACACACACACACACACAGGGAGGAAAACTCTCAACAAGTGAAAAGGCTTCTAGATATTCACATGCCTCATAAAGACATTAACAGAGATACCTCCACACACATGAATCACTCTCACATGAGTGCTATTAATTAGGTCCACATTTCATAAAGCACCAATGACACATTAGAAGAGAGAGGATGACATTTTATTTCCAAGCATCCATTCACCCTGAAGTCAGAAGGTCAAAGGGTCATTTCTTACTCACTGGTTTGTATCAATGGAGCTGAGAGATGTTGGACTTCCACAAGAACAGGTAGGAAGAAATGTATCAAAACCATTTCCAAAACACGTCATGTTAAAGCTCCATTTTGTCCTCTTCTCCTGTTTTTTGATTTAAGTGTTAGAAGATATAGCTCTAGTAACAACAGGTCATTGAGCCAATCAGAAGAGAGGTTAGAGTATCTACTGATGATGTTTAAATTTGATTATGACATGATTATTTGGCGAAACATTCACCTTCAGTTTTCCTTTTCCTCTCTGTCTGAGAGGATGATGATGATGTTGGTTCAGAGAAGGCTGACTGAGAGGCTGATTTAAATGAATGTTTCATGTGAGTGAGCTGAGTGGCCTGATGATGAAAAACAAGCAGCCGCTGTAGTGGAGCTGTGAACACTGTGTTGTTGTATATGTCTGTTGGCTGCTGACCTCCTCTGCTCTTTGTTTCTCTTCAAACTGAAGCTCATTGTCTGTTTCTGGGTCGTTCGAGGTCCAAACACTGGAGCTTTTCTTCTTCTGCACTGAGATAAACGACAACACACAGTGCCTGTCATCCACCACCATCATCACATCATCACATCAGCTCAGAGGTTGGCATGGTTTCACTGACCCAGACCAACAGCCTGCAGCCAGGAGCTCTGAGAGCAGGTTTTCAGCTAAATGCTAACATTAGCACAACAACATGCTAACGTTTAAAGTGTTAACATGCTAACATCTGCTAATGAGCAAATAACTAGTTAGTTATAATTAGTTCTGCAGGGAGCTGGTCACCACAGAGACCCAAGGACACAAAACCACCACAAAGACTCAAAACCACCACAGAGACACAAAACCACCACAGAGACACGAAACAACCACAAAGACGCAAAACCACCACAGAGGCTCAAAACCACCACAAAGACTCAAAACCTCTGCAGAGCCCCAAAACCACCAGAGACTCAAAACCACCACATAGAGATACAAAACCACCACAAAGACTCAAAACCACCATAGAGACACAAAACCACCACAGAGACACGAAACAACCACAAAGACGCAAAACCACCACAGACACTCAAAATCACCACATGGAGACACAAAACAACCACAAAGACTCAAAACCACCACAGAGGCTCAAAACCACCACAAAGACTCAAAACCTCTGCAGAGCCCCAAAACCACCAGAGACTCAAAACCACCACATAGAGACACAAAACCACCACAAAGACTCAAAACCACCACAGAGACTCAAAACTACCACAAAGACTCAAAACCACCACATAGCGACACAAATCCACCACAAAGAGACAAAAAAACCTCTACAGAGACTCAAAACCACCACAGAGACTCAAAACCACCACATAGAGACACAAAACCACCACAAAGACTCAAAACCTCTACAGAGACCCAAAACCACCACATAGAGACACAAAATCACCACAAAGAGACAAAAAACCTCTACAGAGACTCAAAACCACCACAAAGAATCAAAACCACCACAGAGCCTCAAAACCACCACAAAGACTCAAAACCTCTACAGAGACTCAAAACCACCACATAGAGACACAAAACCACCACAAAGAGACAAAAAACCTCTACAGAGACTAAAAAACCACCACAAAATCTCAAAACCACCACAGAGACTCAAAACCACCAAAAAGACTCAAAACCACCACAGAGACTCAAAACCGCCACATAGAGGCACAAAACCACCACAAAGACTCAAAACAACCACAGAGACTCAAAACCACCACATAGAGGCACAAAACCACCACAGAGACTCAAAACCTCTACAGAGACTCAAAACCACCACATAAGGACACAAAACAACCACAAAGACTCAAAACCACCAGAGACTCAAAACCACCACAGAGATTCCCAGTAAAATGGATGACATTGTGTTATTTAATGTTCAGTGTGAAAATTAAAGTAAAAACATAAAAACATTGAAACAAATTACTTTAAAATGTGTACACTTAGGCTCCACCCAGTGGGCATGGCCTCTTTGCTCCACTCAGCCTCCAGTCAGAATCAGAGTCAGCACTCCAGTTCCCCTCATCAATAACAACAACAGTCCTGCTGAACTGCAGTTACTGCTGCTGCTGGGTGAGTACACACTGTACTCCACGGTTTGTCATGTGGTCACTGAAAGACACTTTTGTCAGAGACATTTGTTGAATGTTTTTGTCTCATGGTCTTTGTGCTGCTGTGGACTGACTAATTACAGAGGAGTGTATGAGCTGTGCTGAAGTAAAAATGAAGAGCTCCCTGGGGATCTGTCTGGTGATCTGCTCTGCTCTGATCGGACTGGGTACGTTTGATTTTTTTGTTCGAGTGTTTTTTAAATCTGAATTTTTTTTTTATTTGATTGATTCATACTCTTGATTTGAAAAACAGCATTAGAAAAAAATATATAAAAAAACAATAATACAATTTGACATGTTAGTTAGTGGGATATCACAAACCCAAACATTTTATATATATGTATACATATACAAGCCTTTTAGGAGAGATATGTAGTATCAAACTGAAACTAAAATTTATTCATTAACTTGTGTAATTATTTGCTTAAAGTTTAAGTCTAATTGTGTCTAAATTTTTGGCACCAACTGACAGTCTCACCATTGTAATGTCTGTGTGGGCAGCCACTAAAACAGTTTAATATTTCTGCTGTACATGTCTGAAGCAGCTGGGACAGATGTTTTTAAGTGCTCACATCTGTAACCTCTGCATCTTTCTTGCTCTGGGTCAAGATTCGAATCAGGAAGTAACGTACAGAGGTTACAGGACTACAGTCTGGGTTCATTTGTCACACTGTAGCAGAGACCAGCAGAGACTCCAGGATGACACTGCTTACAGCCCAAAAAAAATCAACACATAGAGGATTATATAACAAAAGCATCTAAAATGTTAATCAGTGAGCTTCGGAGCTGCTGGTGGGTGATTTTGTTACCTTTTTACAGACCCACGCTAGCTGTTTCCCCCCGTTTCTAGTCTCTAGGCTAAACTGAGTTAGCTGTATCGGGGTTCCCACAGCCCTATGTTCCCACATTTCTAAGAATGTTTTGAAAATTAGGCCCTATTTTCCCACAGTCTTATATGTTCCCATAAGCCCATGTCCACACTAACCCGGGTAATATTTATCCGGTTAGCCCTTCCGTCCACATTAGAACCGTGAATTCCGAAACTGAAAACGATGCTTTACAAAAACGATCGCTGAGGTGGATAAATGTGAAGACGCCATGGAACGTGGATGCAAAGCGTTCTGAAAACGATTAGTGTGGATGGAGATCGTTTTCATTGTGAATGTGCATTTTTATAATTATCCGGGTTAATGTGGACAAGGCCTTTTCTCAAAAGGAAACCCTATGGTCCCATATTTCTTAACATAGGACTGTGGGAACATAGACACGCTCCCGCTGTATCCATGTTTTTCCAGTCTCTATGCTAAGCTAAATTAGCTGCATGCCTATGTTTCCAGTCTCTATGCTAAGATAAATTACCTGTGTTCCTGTGTTTTCAGTCTCTAAGCTAAGCTTAGCTTACTAGCTGCTGGCTGTAGCTTCATTAAAGACATGAGAGTGGGATGTTTACTTCACCAATGCCACAGATGTGGACCAGACTGAAACAAACCTTTTCATGACAGCAGCAGCAGTAAATCTCTAAACTCTGTTTCTGTCACATGATTTTTTGCTGAAAGTCTCTCTCTACCATCTTCACCTTCATCCTTACTGTCTGAATAAGTTTTAGGGATAATTAAAAAGGATGATGTAGAATCTGTATTTACCTGCCTCAGTGTTGTTCACATTCCTGGTTCAGAGCCTGGACTGTAGCTGAAGTCAGGGGAGAGGCAGGAACTTCAGCCTTGAGGATTTGTGACATTTATTTACTGACAAGTGGCCTAAAGTTCACAAACTTCACACTGCTACATTCACAGCTACACTGCTAACTGCTAACTAGGAAGCTAACTCTGCTTCGGTTGCCTCTCTCTCTCTCTCCACGTAAACAACCCATGTACTGATCTATTCCTGAAAGCAGCTGCTCTACTCCTGTAATAATATTCTGTCTCTAACGTACAGCGGAGTCACAGACAGCTTGGTAAACTGACTTTAGCTAAAGCTAATCACCCGTCAAAGATCCAGGATTATACTCAATGCACAACCTCTGAATCAAGCTGCTATCCTCTCCGCCTGACAAGCTCCACTTTGTCAACGTGATATGGTCACACCCACAAAAATGACAGAAACTATACTTACAATGGCTGGAAGTCAAGCTAGATACAGAGACAATACCCTGCTGCCACCACAAGAGGGCAGTAAATGACAAGGGTTAGGGTTAGGATTATGAATGAAACAGGGATCAGATCCTTAAAGAGACAGGAACTGTTCTGAGATCAGATGTGAGGAGAGATCACTTCACTTCAGTATTGATCCGATTGATTCTGTTTTCAGCTTCAACTGTTCCCGATGGCACAACACTGCTGTAAACACAATAAACACACTGGTGGGTTAAAGGTTGAAAGATGTTGTTTGGAGGAGACAAACAAACCTGTACAGGACTCTCCATCAGTTTCTGTTTTCACTGCTGCCTTTGGTTTGTGAGATCAGAACATGAACATGAACCAGAACTGAAACAATTGATAAAAACCTCCTGTGATATTATTATAGTTGATCCCATTTAATCAGATAGTAGATTTTCAGTGAAGCACCATCATTAAATCTGTGTAAAATTTGGATATAAATACACTGAGAAGTGATAGTATTAGTTTTAGTATTAGTAGTATTAGTATTAGTAGTATAAATTAGTATTAATTAGTATTAGTAGTATAAATTAGTATTAGTAGTATAAATTAGAATTGGTAGTAATGAAGAGTGCTTTCTGTGTTCCAGGATCGGCCATTCGGTGTTACAGTTGTAAGGATTATACAGCCAGCTGCTCCAAACAACGAGACTGTAGCTATGACGACGCCTGTCTCACACTCAACGAGAGAGGTGCCTTTACCTGTACACCTGCATACATGTACACCTGCACACTTGTACACCTGTACACCTGCACATCTGTACACCTGTACCCATACTTTTACCATAACCATAGAAAATACTGATTTCTGATTGGCCAAAGATCTCCATTGTTCTTTATTGCCAAACACTGACTGTCAGGAGCTGCTGTGAGCTGCCTCCAGGTTTACAGGATACTGAAGGATCCAGATCAGTCCGGACTGTCTTTGTCCTGTTTGTCCTGCAGGTGGGATGACCTACCGTCAGTGTCTGAAGTATTCAGACTGTGAGTACAGCCGCCTGGCCCAGATGTTCCCCCAGGTACAAAACACTTCCTCTATACTCACCATATTTAGTCAGTGATTGCTGTTGAAACAAACTGACTGCTTCCTGCTTCATCAGTGTTGTTGAATATCTGGGACGAAGCTCAGACCACTGTGGAGACAGGAGACGTTCAAGGGAAATATCCTGATCTGTATCAACTCTCTGAGAAGCAACAAGCAGCTGAACTCCCCCAACCTTCTCCTCTGAGCTGTGACTCAATGAAACGAAATATTACTGACAGATAAACATGCAACATGATCAACATGATCAACCAGATAAACATGCAGCAGGAGGACGATACTGTAGTTTCTTAAACACATCAGCTCCAGTGTGTTTAAACGACATAGACAAACTTGCAAGACCTGCAGGGATCCTGTGTCCAGGTCAGGCAGAGCAGGCAAGTGCCCAGGGGCCCCAGACCTCCAGGGGCCATTAAACCCCAGGCTTAATCTGCATCATTTGGGTCTAGATAATCTGATTAATCAAACAAATTAGTGGGAGCATTAGAATTACAACAGTTAAGTAATAAGTCACGGCTGATCAATTTTCTATTATCAATCACTTTCAGGTGTCCAGTTTCACCTTCAAGTGCTGCAACTCTGACCTGTGTAACTCCGCGCCCTCCTCTGCAGCGAGCTCTCTGATTGGTCTGCTGGCCTCTGTGGTCGTCATGTGGTGGTGCGTCCACTGAAGAGTCAACAGTCATGTTCCTGCAGTGCTGCAGCGCCCCCCAGTGTCTGCAAACACACAGCGCACATAACACTCGCAGCTTCTCCAATTGACACTCATTCACCACATTCATATTCATCCATTCATCCCAGTCAGTCATTCATCACGGTTCAGTTTGGATCAAACAGGCAGAAGACCGACTTCACGTTTCAGATATTTTTCATGTGACATAACAAATGTTTAGATTTTATCTCGACAGTGTGACGGTTCAGGAACCTGAGGGGCGGAGCTTACATGGTTTGACCTCACTGATTGGTCAAACACAAACACCGCAGAGATTTTATTATGTGAAAGCAAGACTGCTCACACTCATGGACTCAGTACAGCTGCCACAGCTTGACATTTATTTTGAAAAGAATCTCTACATAACTTCCTGGCTCCAGTTCCCATGATGCATCACTGTCATTACGTAAATGTCCTCAGATGATAGAGTGAAACTAAAGCAGGAGAAACGGTCCAATCAGAGCTGAATGTGTGGATTACCTGCAAACATCAGGCAGGTGAAGAGAGGCCATGCCCACATCCACATGAGGTCTACAGGTGGTTTCAGCAGTCTGAGTCCGTCTGTGTGAACAGGAAGTGAGTGAACGAGTGAGTCAACATCAGCAGCTGATTGTGTCATGAGTCAAAAATAAATAACAAACTGTTTCATCCGTCTAACAGACCTGCTGTTCAAGGTTCTTCATTAACAGAACCTCCGGTTCCTCTGGTTCCTGTGGTTCCTGTGGTTCCTGTTTGGTGACAGAACAAGAAAGTTTCCTCTTTAACTCTGTTTGAAACGACTGACTTGAAACCAGCTTTACGACACTGCCTGCAAACAACCATGATTTTAATAAAGTTTTACAAACAGGAAACAGACTCAGACGGATTTGATTTTTAAATCTTTTAAAGGAAATGTATTTATAGTCAATTGAACAGTGAGACTGAATCTACTGAAGCTGTTTAATAAACTTCATTAAATAATTCAAAACCTCCTCAATAAAAAGAAACAACCTGCTCTGATCATTTTAAAGAGTTAAACCAGAGGTTTGTAGTTCTCTATAGAATCTTAAAAACTCTGTCATGGGAATAAATAAATAAATAAATAAATAAAAATGAAAAGTAAAAACATGTTTTCAGACATCTTACAGAAATTTCATTTTCATTTTCTGAACTGAGTCTGTAAGAAGAGAAACATGAAGACTGATTTTTCCTGATGGGACCTGATGGGACCTGAAGGCAGCAGCAGTGTGAAGCGTTCGACAGCAGCACCACCTGCAGACTGTCAGGTGAACTACACTAACTCCAACCTTGAAGGGAGCTTCTATGGACCAATAAAATCTACTTCGTAAAAATAAAAGTCTGTTAAATTTGGATTTGTGTTTTTAAATGTTTGATTGTTTCACTTGTTTAAGAAATAACACGAATAAAAACTAAATAATTATCACAAGATCAGGATTTATGGAAATAATTCAACAAATGTGACCAAGACTGAAAAGTTCAGTTTGGTGATCTTTATACTGCAGGTTAATTTTTTTCAGTGCAGTGGTCTTTTTATTGTTACAGTATTATTTTTAATTGTAGTTTTTTTTGTTGCTGTTTTTTTACAGTTTTTTTTTTTTTTTTTTTTTTTTTAAATTTTTTTTTTTTTTTTTTTTTTTTTACAGTGCAGTGTTTTTCGTTGTGGCAGTATTTTTTATACAGTGTAGTCAAGTATTTTTACCGTATACTGTGACAACAATGTGTTACAGTGTAATTCATTGTCTAACAGGAGAGTTTCCAGGAAACGCCCGGTACACTGTAAAACACTGTAAACACTGTAAAATATAAACACTGCTCAGCTGTTCCGAGTCTCTGACGTCACTTTGTCAAGTGTTTTACGAAAAACAAAAAATACAGGAAACTGACGGATTCATGTTCAAAATAAAAGCACTAAACTGACTGAAGTCACACATGAACAATAAAAACAACACATTTTTACTGACTGTACACCCCTCTGTTCTTTACATGTGTTTACAGCTTTACATTTTAGTTTCTTTAAATTAATATCCTAGCTCATCTATTTTTTGTCTGTTATTTCCTCTGAAATCTCCAGTACGATGCTTTTATTGTGAAATGAGCGACAGGAAGTGGTCTCTGTGTGTTTTTCTACCTTAACGCAGGGCAGTTGCAGGTTGGTCGCTGAACAGCTAAACAGGATGAAACTTTGATCCAATATAAAACGATAAAAAATCTGCTGCTGCTGACGTTATCATGGCTCTGAAGGTAAGTCCGTTTACCTGTTACCTGACGGTGACCTCTGACCTCCCACCTGCTGCGGGATTACATCACAGAGCAGATAGCGCTGCATGAAGCTCATAGAGAAACGAGTGAATTCAGAGACAGAAAAGGCGAAGTTTAAAGAGCAGCGACTGTGATTCAAATAAAATCCAGATATTCTAAAACTTCTGGAGGAGGATTAAAGGTTTTCTCATGAGAGAAAAATACGAAAATAAGTTAGAAAAACTCTGTTTAATTATAAACATGCACAAAAATCATGTAAAACTCAACATGAGTCAAGGAAATCTAAAGATGTCAGAGGAGGAAAAGTCTGTTTTCTACTGTAGAATTTAAAGTCTTGTTATTAAAAGGATTGTTATTAATTTTCTAAAGAAAGAATCAAAGACTATGAAAGATGTGAAACAACTCACTCCTGCAGACATGTATATAAATGTTATTTATATATAATAGAGATATTAGAATTCCTCTCTGTGGGTTTTTAAACAACAAAAGAGCAGGAGGTCGCTTATTCACAATGTACAGAAATTATATAAACATCCTATAGGCTAGAGTCTGTTAGGAAACAATCTTATGGGATAACTAAGTAAGAAAAACGGCAAACATGGTATTTTTAATTTACAGTTTTCTACAAATATATATAGATACTAGAACTACAACAGAAACTAACAAAGCAAACATGTTCAGAAATGTGTAGGAGCTTGATGGGACAGTTAGAAAATATGATATAATATAAATATTAATATATAATTACAGTTTTCTACGCCAGGCTTGTTACAAATATAATGAGATGAGAGGAAGGATGGCATGATTCTCTCAGGAGAGAAAAACAACAACAAAGTACAGAAAGCTGCTGTTTGATAGTACAAACAGAAATCATGTAAATGTCTGCAGGAGTCTGGTATGGACAGCCGAGAGCGTTCAAGAGAACAAACAATGACTGACTGTTTCACACAGAAACGTCCTGCAGCTGTTGACAGAGGAGGAAGTCACAGTTTGTAGTTCCACTGATAACCAGACCTTCCTCTGAGACACAGTGCTGAGCTCAGCGTGAGGAGCATCATCAACATGACACTCAACAACTCCATGTTTTCACAGTAGAAGTCAGAGAGCGGCAAGTTTGAGTCTGTGCTGTGTTTCAGGCTCAGGTTCTGTACAACTTCACGGCTGAACCAGGAAACAACGAGCTGTCGGTCAGAGAGGGAGAGACACTCACTGTGCTCAGCCAGGTACGAGCTCACAGATGTGTTATCTACACATTCATACATGGTATTTACACAGTAAACAGGACACACTTTGTCATGATGAGTGTATCTGTCTGTGCAGACTGTGGGTAGAGGCTGGATCGAAGTCCAGAACTCCAGCGGACGAACTGGACTGGTACCAGAGGGATATTTACAGGTGAGTTCAGGTGAGAGTTCATTCCACGTCCTGTTGGAGCCAGTTCACGTTTCCACTGTCACTGAGCTCCTGCAGGATCGTAGGATCAATCCCTCCAGGATTGTTGCGGCTGAAATAACTGATTTCACTGCAGCTTTTCTTAAAAGTTGTGAAGAAAGTTGCAAAGTTTTTAGATGTTTCTACATGATTTTTTTGCAATGAAACTGCAGGAGACAATAAAAATTTTCAGAAATTGTCTTTTTTTGTATAATTCATTGGAAATGGAAGGCAACCAGTGAGAATAAATCCAGGTCAGTGCAGGTGTGGACCCAGTCATCAAGAGATTCTGCTCCTCTGCTCTGTCTTCATCACAGGTAGAGCTGATCTTTAGAATCACCTCATCAATTGATCCATACATAATGTAGAACTGAAGGTCAGTCTGCTCCCAAAGGTCTGGAGAAGGACCACTGGAAGAGTCAGTCCTGTACTACTTTCCTACAGAAAAGTAGGGGAGACTCAAAACCAATAGAATCTCAAAACCACCTGAGAGATGAAAACCCTCAATTTCTGTGTCTCTTACGAGTAAAGGAGCAAACTGTCTGCATACATAAAGATGCAGAGATTCAAAGATGCAGAACAACAGTGATCCACGACAGTTCCCTGTGGGAAGCCATGACATAGATCTGAGTCAGACATGAAAACACCGGGCACACAGAGCACTGACGGTGAGCTGGTCCTCCTCTTCCTCCTCTTCATGTGTGTTTCAGGTTGGAAATGTCGGCAGTGGTGAAGGGGGTGGGGCTTATGTCTCTCACAGTACAGGAGGGTGGGATAGTCATGGATACACGCACACACAAGGTAAATGTTATTCACTCATGTTAAAAGGTTGTTGGCAGATTATTGAAATATTTTAAGATTAATTTTTTATAATTTATTTGATCTGTTTAATAAGATCAAAGTCCTGTCTCCATCAGCTGTTGACGACGAGGACGGCGAGTGGGACGATGACTGGGATGATCAGTCAGTGGGCGGTTATCACGGTAATAATCAGCTGGATGGGGAGGGTGGAGCTTCAGGACAAAGTACCCACGGACCCTCCATGAAGATCTCCCTGAACAAGTGAATGAACTTTCACAATATACATCAGATTTATAGTAGATCCCAGTAGATCCCAGCAGAACCCAGTAGATCCCAGTAGGTCTCAGTGATCCTGTGTGTTCCCAGGTTTCCGTTCTCCAAAGGTCCGAGTCCAGAAGTCTTCTTATTGGCCAAACCACCAGCTGACAGCAGAGACCGACTTCCTGTCTATGTGAGTAATCACCTTTATTGATAATTCTACCACACTCGTTGTCTGTGCTCTGATTGGCTCCTGCTCATTGTCCAATCAGATGGGAGAGGTGGGTCCGGTCTGGTTGTACCCGTCATCCTCTCTGGACTGTGTGATCGCTGATCCCAAGAAAGAATCCAAACTGTACGGACTGAAGAGCTTCATCGAGTACCAGCTCACCCCCAGTGTACTACACAATACTACACAGTACTACACTGTACTACACTGTACTACACACTGTACTACACAGTACTGCACACTGTACTACAAAGTACTACACTGCGCTACACAGTACTACAACTAACCCTAACTACACAAAACCACTCTGTACTAAACAGTACTACATGGTGCTACATAGTAATACCCACAGTGCTACATAGTACTATACAGTACTACACTGTACAACACAGTATTACCTAGTATGACACAGTACTACACGCTGTACTACACTGTACTACACAATACTACACAATACTACACTGCACTACACACTGTACTACACAGTAGTACATGGTGCTACACAGTAATACTTACAGTACTACACAGTAGTATGTAGCAGTACATGTAGTACTCACTCTCTTACCCTCCGTCTTCCTGCAGACAACTAACAGACCTGTAAATCATCGCTACAAGCATTTTGATTGGCTGTACGAGCGTCTTCTGGAGAAGTTCGGATCAGCGCTGCCCATCCCCCCACTGCCTGACAAACAGGTCACAGGTGAGCTATCACCATGACATCCACACCTGTACGAGCCTGACACCTGTATGACAAGCAGCTGGATTTGAATAGATCACAGTAGAAGTCATTAGAGATGACATTAGATGACAGTAGGTGTTAGTAGGTGTCGGTAGGTGACAGTAGGTGACAAAAGGTGACAGTAGGTGATAGTAGATATCAGTAGATGACATTACAACCCACACCTTGCTCTAGTGTTGTTCCTGTGCTTTCAGGCAGGTTTGAGGAGGACTTCATCAGGATGAGGATGGAGCATTTACAGGCCTGGATGAGTCGAATGTGTCGTCATCCCGTCGTGTCTCAGAGCGACGTCTTTCAGCTCTTCCTCACCTACAGAGATGAGAAGGTGAAGTCCCACCCTGACTGTGTATACATACACACATATATATACATATATATACACATACACATACATATATATATATATATATATAGACACACACACACATGTTCAGCCAATCAGCTGTGAGGAGGTTTGTCAGTTTTGTCCTGATTAGCTGAAGCAGTGTTTTGATGTTTCAGGAGTGGAAGGCGGGGAAGAGGAGGACGGAGAGAGACGAGGCGGTGGGACCCATGATCTTCACTCTGATTGAATCTGAAGCTGCAGAGCTTGATGCTGCTCAGGTGTAAGTCTCAGTCCTTTGACTTCCTCTGCCCTGGGTGTGGTCTGTCAGGCAGCACCGTCTGTCTCAAACCTTTTACAGATCAATACAGACAGATGTGCAGAGAGGTGGAAGGACCTGCTGAGCTCATTCATCATAGTCACTTACAACTGTGTTTGTGTCACAGTGTGTACTAACGTGTGTGTTTTCTGTGTGTGGTAATGTTTAGTGAACAGAGGTGTGAGCAGTACAGTCAATTCACAAAGTCAATGGATGACGGAGTCCGAGAGCTGCTGAACGTTGGACATGCACACTGGAAACGCTGCACCGGACGTCAGTATATACACTTTACATATATATATTTATATATATATATATATATATATACACTTACATACTGTTCATGTATATACACACACTTACTGGAAATGCTGCACTAGACGTCGGCGTATATACACTTTATATACTGTATGTGTATATGTATGTATGTATATATATTACATATATAATGTATATATAATTTCCATATATAGTATATATATATATGCATACACTAGTGTATTCATGAGTGTGTGACTGTGTGCAGCGCTTCCTAAAGAGTACAAGCGGATTGGTCGAGCCTTCAGAAACCTTTCAAATGTTTTCAACAGCAGCAAATATCCAGGTGAGGAAATAAGGAGACAAGGAGACACATTTTAAAGGTCTGAAACTGTCCCTGATGGTGTGTTCAGTGACGCTCTGAAATCTGAGCACTTTAAATGTGAGGTTTGGTCATTTCTCATGTGCAGCAGCCTCATTTTAAATCTCAGATGTCAGTGTCCTTGAACGCACCAACAGCATCAGGACCGTGACACATTTTATACAGTGGTTTATTTCTGTTTCAGGAGAAGAGACGTTAACAAACGCTATGACAGTTGCTGGAGAAACCTATGAGGAGATTGCTGTGATCGTCGCACAGCAGGTCACACACACACACACACACACACACACACACACACACACATATATACACAGTACTGTTAAACAACTCATGCAGTACTCCCTACTGTCTGTACTTTAAATTATAAATAAATAAATTACTTTTAATTATAATTTCTATATAAATATATTTTTTATCTGACCTCTGATGACCTCTGGTGACCTCTGCAGCCTCAGAAGGATCTTCACTTCCTGTTGGAGACAAACAGCGAGTACAAAGGTTTACTGAGCTGTTTCCCAGAGATCATCGCTGTACACAAGGTACTGCAGTACTACACACTAGAGTACTACACACTGGAGTACTACACTCTACAGTGCTACACACTGCAGTACAACACACTACAGTACTGCACACTGCAGTACTACAGTGTAGTATCCCAGTTTTTCTATTTTTTTTTTAAACATAAATATATATTTATATAAACATATATAAATATGTATTTATGTATAACATTTAAAAATACAAACTTTTATAGACATAAATATCTATAACATAAATATTTATAAACATTAATAAATATAAAATATAAGTTTTATTTTTGTGTTTAACTTTAAGCCTGAAACAGGGAAGTGTCCATCACCTGTCTGTTTACTGTTATCAGAAGGTGTTGATGCTTCAGATGAGCTGTGATCATGTCATTAAGGGGTGTGGTCTCACCTGTGTGGTTCAGGCTGCAGTGGAGAAGGTGAAAGAAGCGGATCGTCTGGTTTCTGCAGGAAAAATCAACAACAACGACAGGAAGTGGATGAACCAACGAATCAGCTGCATGAGCTACTCACTGCAGGGTAACAGAACACACACTACTACACACAGTACTACACAATACTACTATACAACAATACACAACTCTACTATACAATACTGTACAATAGTACGCAACAACACTACACAACATAAACAACAACACACTACTATACAACACAACAGAGGACATTTGTCTCCAAAGTCTCCTGTGACAGAAACACAAACACACAAACACACACACACACACACACACACACACACACACACACACACACACACACACACACACACACACACACACACACACACGGTATGTAACCCGACCCCTGTGTCCTTCCAGCTGAGATGAATCATTTCCATAGTAACCGTATCTATGACTACAACAGAGTGATGCAGCTTTACCTGGAACAACAGGTGACCTTCTACCAGCAGGTGAGCAGGCGGGGGAGGGGGTGGGGGTGGGGTGGGTGTGCAGATGTGTGATGTCATCTCCTCTCTGCTCTCTGATTGGTCAGATTGCTGATAAGCTGAGAGCAGCTCTGAGCCAGTTCACCACACTGTGAGGACAATGACATCACAGCCTGATGATGTCACAGCCCAATGAGGTCACAGCCCAATGACATCATCCATTACACATTTAACAAAATAAAATGTTTTCAAACTGATTTGAAAAACTTTCAAACTTTATTTAAATGTTTCTCTGGTTGATGAACGAGCATGAACTTAATTCTTCTTCTTCTGCCTTAATTCAGTCGTTACATCTTTATTGTTTATGTTAATATTGATATTGAACTCTTTAATGATTCTTTTATCATAAGTGTCATATTTTATTATGCAGTGAACTGCTGAATAAACTTTATTTTTATGTATAAATTAATTTAATTTGTTTCACACTAAACTGAAATTAAAATTTAGTCATGAAAAATGTATTTTATATCTTTATTATTATTACTGAAGTCACTTAATAAAGAAAGATATTCAGTAAATATAATGATTTTTTTTTTGTTTTGTTTTTTTTTTTTTTAATTCTGTTTCTTTTGTTTTTAATCTAAAGTCATTTTTGACTGTGGATCAGCTGCAGGAGGTCTCACTCTTATCCAAACTAGTGGGACGGACTGTCAGACAGGAAAGTGTCTTTCCCTCTGTCCTGCTGAGTGAGCAGAGTTTTTCTGAAACTTCTCCTCTGTCAGGGTCAAAGGTCAAGGACAGGAAGAGGAGAAGCCTCTTCCTTTTCTCTCAATAACACTACCAACATGAACAAGCCTGACACGCGGTAACTGCCCCCTGCTGGTCAACAACTGCAATACAGGCAAGAAAAAACCTCCATGGCACTGTGGTTACCATGACAACGGTTTCCCCAAAACATTCACGGAAATGTAATCATACAATACGTAATTATATTATTCTGTTCATTTATCTCTCACTAAACTCCATTTAAAATCCCGTTCATTTATGTGTGTGATCGTTTATTAACACAATCAATCAATATTGTGATAATTTATTTTAAGGTAAACACAAGAAACTTGTGCTACAGAAAATGGACCAGACTCAGTGAATAGCTCCCTAAGCTTAACATCCTAAGTCCTATGATAACTATTAATTTAGCTATACAGACTATGAGCAGTGATAACTAATATGTCTTTGGGGTCATCAGGTGGGGACCTCCTTTCACCAGTGTTTCATCTAGTTGGTCCCACGACGCCTCCAGGAGGCTAGACAGTGATCACTGGTGTCCCAGAGTCACTCCCCTAATCTTGCCTATGCTACCACAAACATCACTATCATCAACTAGGACAAAACACACCAGCAGATTCAGCAAACAAAAACTCCCCTAAACAGTTCTGTTCTGTTGTGTAGGACTAGATGTTTTTTTTTTTTTTTTTTCCCCAGATAGTGGCGGCCGGTTTGAATGAGGGAGGTAGAGTCAGGGAGAGATGCCTTGTTGGGCTAAACTCTCCCCCGCCGGATTAGGCTGTGCTCTACCTCCCCCTACTCCCCCACTCTCCAAGACAATACAACTCACCTAAAACAAACAAACTCACCTAAACAGTCAAAGACACACTACAAACCAATTCAAAACAATACAAACAAACAATACAGGCCACCTCACCTGGACTAACTGCATGGTCTCAAAGAGGCTCACACAGGCCACACCCCCCACTTAAAAACACTTCCTCTTCCTGGATTTCTTCCTTGCTTCTCCTAAGAGTCTGTCTATCCTAAGTGCTCCCCCTGCTGGGCCCCCAGCTACCATTATTTCTTCTCATCCAAATCCACTGACTGGATCTTACTGCCTCATCTGACATGTCCTTTACTATTTTCCTCACACTCTGTCCACTTCCTCCTAACTCCCTCACCAAAGAGACAACAGACCTTGCTACAAATCCTCTACATCCTACTTCCACTGGACAAATCCTAACTTTCCATCCTCGCTGCTCTGCTTCTGCCCCTAACTCTACATACCTGAGCTTTTTCCTTTCATATGCTTCTTCAACTGAAGCCTCCCACGGAACAGTCAGCTCTATGAAATATACTTTCATTCTACTCCTAGACCACAAGACTATGTCAGGCCTTAGCTTTGTACTGGCTATTTCCTGGGGAACAACAAGCTTTCCTCCTAAATCTACCTGCATTTCCCAATCACAAGCATCCTCTAAGCTGCCTTGCCTCCTTGCTGTCTTACTAACTTTCTCTCCCTCTTGAACAAACTTGATTGCAACTTTCTTTATTTTAGGCCCTCCTAAATTTGCCTGCCTCCATAAATCTTCAATTCCTGCAGCTAAGCTTTTTAAAACCTTGTTATGTCACCACGTATACTGGCCTTGCGACAGACTAACCTTATAGCCTGACAAAATGTGCTTTAAAGTTGCAGTACCTGAACACAATGAACATAGCGGGTCTCCATTTACCCAGAGTTTTAGGTTCTGGGGAGTTGGCAATACATCATATGTTGCCCCTATCAAAAATCTAATACTACTTTCCTCCATACTCCACAGCTCTTTCCAGCTAAGCCTTTTCTTGTCTACACCTTCCCAATTCAACCACTGTCCCTGCTTAGCCTGGGCCACTGCCTTTGCACCCCTTAATATTTCCTCCTGTCTACGAACCTGCTCCACAACTAGCTTTCTCTTCTCTTTGGGACCTGCTCTACTCCACACCGGTTTGCCTGGGTCAAGCCCCAAGCCTCCCCGGCCTATTTGGACATTACCCACAATCTCTGTATGCCTGAGCGTTGCTTCCGCCTCCTGCACTGCCATTCTTGGATTCCATTTTCTCCCCTTCATTGGGTTTGGAACCACCTTACTAACTACCACATCTTTGCTCCCAGATAACAGGAGCTCTGTCCTAACCTTAGTACATTTAAACTCCTCCACTAGACTAGTTACTGGGAGCTGAATTATGCCTTTCCCATACAGTGCCACCGTACTTAAACATCTAGGAACACCTAGCCACTTCCTAATGTAAAAGCTAACTAATCTTTCCATTTTTTCTGCAGCAGATAATGGAATCTCATATACAGACAGTGGCCACATCAACCTGGGAAATAACCCGAACTGCAGACACCACAACTTCAACTTTCCTGGAAGCCCTGATTTATCTATTCTATCCAGTCCCTCAGCAACATCTTTCCGAAACTGCACTACCTGTTCTCCGTCATTCAAGTCTGCCTTGTACCACCTACCTAGACTCTTTACTGATTTTTCCCTAATTATTGGAATCTCCTCTTCGTCTATTACAAACTTCCTATCACTTAACTTCCCTCTACTTATTGAGATACTTCTAGACTTACTAGGCTTGATTTTCATACTAGCCCACTTTAAGTTTTTATTAAGTCTCTCAAGTACTCTTTTCATACATGGCACCGTTGTAGTTATCAACGTCATGTCATCCATGTAGGCCCTAATTGGTGTAAGGCGCATCCCATCCTGCCGCCTCTCTCCACCTACAACCCACTTAGAAGCTCTAATGATTACCTCCATCGCCATTGTGAATGCCAATGGAGAAATCGTGCACCCTGCCATAATGCCTATTTCTAGCCTCTGCCACCCTGTCGTAAAGCCTGCTGTACTTAAGCATAGTCTAATGTCTTGGAAATACGACCTTACTAAATTAACCACTACTCCAGGCACTCTAAAATAATCAAATGCCTCCCAAATAAGGCTATGTGGCACTGAACCAAACGCATTTGCTAAATCCAAAAATATGACATGCAAGTCTCTTTTCTCTGTCTTGGCTGCCTGAATCTGATGCCAAATCATGCTAGTGTGCTCTAAACACCCTGCGAAACCTGGTATTCCTGCCTTCTGTACTGCAGTATCTATTAAGCTATTCCTTTCTAAATAACTAGCTAATCTCCGTGCGACTATGCTAAAGAAGATCTTCCCCTCCACATTTAGGAGAGAGATCATTCGAAACTGACTCAGGTCTGAGGATTCCTTCTCCTTTGGAATAAAAACACCTCCTGCCCTACGCCATGCTCTGGGAATAACCTGTTTCTCCCAAACTATTCTTAATTGCCTCCACAAAAACTTTAGGATATCAGGTGCGCTTTTATAAACCCGGTAGGGGACTCCATTTGGCCCTGGGGCCGAAGAAGCCTTTGCACGCCTGACTACCTCCTCAACCTCCTTCCACCTGGGTGGTCTAACATCCATCTCATGATCTATCTTTCCTAATGGTGGCATGTCAGGTGGAAGGCCTACTACTCTATTCTGCTCAAAATCTGAATACGTGTTTCTTAGATACTTTTCTACTTCTGACTTTGTTGCCTTAAGCTGCCCTCCCTTTTCCTGGTTAAACAATCCTTTAACAAACTTGAAAGGGTCCCTGTAAAACGCTGTCCTTACATATTCTTTCTTCTTTCTCTTTTTCCTAAGATATTCAGCCCTTCTAAGTACTGCTAGCCTGCCTCTCAAATCTTCTTGCAACACATTAATCCCCCCCCTTCCTCTGTTGCCCTTTTCCACTGCTTTCTTAATTGTCTTCTTTCCTTAACTAATTTCTCCATTTCCCTTTGCCGTCTAGACTTAACTAACTGTACTCTTTCAAACCTCTTTCTGTCTTGCACCCCAAATCTTTCTGCACCATAGGAGTAAATTATATCTCCCATCTTCTCTAGTCTATCGCTTGCATTTCCTCCTAGTCTGGTTAAAATTACTGAATAATCTCTATTGACTGACTCCCATTCTTTCTTGCTATTTGCCCTCGGCCATTTAACTCTAGTTTTCTGCTCCATATTTTTCTCTCTGACTGGCCTGGTCACCTCAATATCAGCTGCATCCCCTCTTGTAGTCTCCTCTTCCCCCTCTGTAGCTGTGTTATTGATATCCTTCGAACTGTGGTTTTCTACCTGTCGCTGGACTTCATCCGACTTATTCGATTGACTTCTTAAAAAGTATCGATCGATGCGGCCACACTGCCTTTCCTTTGCAACACATCTCTTTCTTCCCTGATGCATTCTAAGGCCTCTAACTGACGTTACTTTCTGCCAGCCACAAGTACAAATCTGGAGCTTATTTCCCTCTAGGCTAACATTTTTACCCTCTCCAGCTACGCTCACGTCACCCTGAGAACTATTCTGCCCAGCTCTAGTCCTGGAGAATAGGTCCGTGCCCCTATCCTTCACTGAGTCGCATGTCCAACTCATAGTCATGTCCGTTCCAGTGTCTGTTGCCATATAGTCTGCCTGTGAGTCATCTTCCACCCCGCTCTCGCTGACCCTTGGGGTATTTTCCTTATGTTCGACGTAGCTTATGCTGGCTGTGACAAAGATGCTAGGCCTCACCACTGCTAACATGGATTGCTAGCCCATGGCAGCACCCTTGGGGTCTTTGCCTCCTGTCAGCTGTCTATCCAGGCTGTCACATGGTCTTTCCCTTGTTGTCAACTGCCCTATTCACAGCTGTCACTAGCTAGGCTAGTTTTGAATTTAAGGTAAACCCAAGAAACTTGTTCTACAGAAAATGGACCAGACTCAGTGAATAGCTCCCTAAGCTTAACATCCTAAGTCCTATGATAACTATTAATTTAGCTATACAGACTAATGAGCAGTGGTAACTAACATGTCTTTGGGGTCATCAGGTGGGAACCTCCTTTCACCAGTGTTTCGTCTAGTTGGTCCCACGACGCCTCCAGGAGGCTAGACAGTGATCACTGGTGTCCCAGAGTCACTTCCCTAATGCCAGCCATCACTGCTCCTCACACCACAACTATTTTCTCCTTTATCTTGCCTATGCTACCACAAACAACACTATCATCAACTAGGACAAAACACACTAGCAGATTCAGCAAACAAAAACTCCCCTAAACAGTTCTGTTCTGTTGTGTAGAACTAGGTGTTTTTTTGTTTTTTTTTCCCAGAAAGTGGTGGCTAGTTTGAATGAGGGAGGTAGAGTCAGGGAGAGATGCCTTTTTGGGCTAAACTCTCCCCCGCCGGATTTGGCTGTGCTCTACCTCCCTCTACTCCCCCACTCTCCAAGACAATGACATTGTGGCGTTACAGCGGATAGAGTTGATACCAAACTTCATTCACACCATACATAGTAACTAGAATGTGTTTTTATTTAAGCAGTTTTTCAAATGTTCATTACAATTATTGTAATTACATTACATTGGTTTTAGTTTTCTTGAGAATTTAATTAAAATTCTTTAATTCACTGAATCATTCGTTAAACTAATATTTCATCGTGCAGTTAGACAGGTCCAAACCCCACACTAAACTCTGTTTGAAATACTTTATCATTATTATTATTATTATTATTATTACGGTCTTTGATAAATTTAACTTCTGATATTTCATAGTGGAATTACAGAGGCAGCGTTCTTTACACCAAACTCCATTTAAAAATCTTGTATTTTATTGTAGCTAAATGTTTTTGGAGCCATCAATAATCAACGACGTCTTCATTAATTATCCATTCCACTGCACTGAATGTTGCGATAGTTTCACTGCATCACTGTAGATTTACAGGAGAACTTCACACCAAACTCTCCCCGCTCTCCCCGGTGGGTGACGTGTTTACATGAAGACCAACAGATGCCTGAAGGCCTGCCGCTGCTCGTCGGTGTCTGCTGGGGAATTCGTCTGGGATTATTTGAGGATTTCTACTGAGACATAAAAGCTCTCAAGTTGTTTCCTATAGAGTTCCTGAGTTAATTGTCGGAGGAAAAGAACGTAAACTACCTACATTTTGAATGGAGTTTGGTCAGACCGCCGTACCAGAGTTTTACACATGAAAACAAACAGTTTAAATGTGTTGTGACCGTTTTTCTTTCATGAGGCTCTGGTACGTTTCACCTGTTGTTCGGTTAAATACCTGAATGTCGGCGTCGGCAGCAGCAGGAGACCGGAAGGGAAATGATGTGATGTTCATGTCTCAACTGCAGTCATTAAACACTGATTATGTCCAGGTGTGTCTCCCAGTCCTCTGCTGCCACTTGGTGGCTGATGAGTGAACTGTAGTGTCTCGTGATGCAGCGGATAATTAGATCAAATATCATGACACAGAAAACACAACTTTTATTGTGTCGATCTAAATATACCTTAAGAATAAAAGACAAGTTTCTATCACTTATTCATTAGTGATTATTATTATTATTATTATCATTATTATTAAAGCTACAAAATCATTTCTTTTTGTTTTTGAAGATTTTCTAACAAACTAAATTCAAACACTGACGTTAACTTCACTACTTCTTCTTTGTTTTCTTCTTCTGGTTTTTATCCTTTTTGCTTGTTTTCTTCCTCCCTCCTTCTCCTTCTCCTCTTCCTCCTTCTGCTCCTTCCTTGGTTCTGGTGGCTCGAGCCTTCCTCCTGCTGAGCGGCATGTGAATGAACCAAACCTGGACAAACAGGATGTTTAGCACAACTTAAATCTGAACATTTAATGTGACGATTTCATAAAAGAGACACAGCACTCTACACACACACACACACATTTAATTTTATTTTACAAATTTGAGATTTATTTATAAATCTGATCCGAAATCTGAAGTGCAGTTTTATTTTGTAGTGTGTAACGGTGAAAACAACACTTCCTGCTGGTGAACTCTGTTTATCAATGTGCATTTGATTTATAGGATTTTATCTATTTTAGTAGCTGAATAATAAACGTCAGAGTAAAGATTCATCAGCTGTTTAAAAAAATGATACTGATATAAAAATAATAATTTATATAAATATATTCATGTGAAAAAGTGCAGTTTTATTTTGGAACGATGTGTAACGATGAAGAAAACACTTCCTGTTGGTGAACTCCATTGTGGTGGAGCAGCCAGAGTTTCCTGACCTCTCGGTCAGTCTTCATGGTCTTCTTGTAGAAAGTTTTCTCTGCATCTTCAATCCAGATCACAGAGGGCTGCAGCTCACCTGCCACCTGACACACACGGACCAGTCAGAGAGCAGCACTGAGGGTGATGTCACACACACCTGTTTATCACCTGACCAGGGTTTCCAGGCCTGTGGTCTCACCTTGAAGACCAGGTGCAGCAGGTAGGCCGTCCCTCCCCTGCCGGGATACCTGTGGCTCAGGTGGGCGGGGCTCAGGTGGAACAGGTGAGCTCCGGTCTCGGTGCAGACCGCCTGAACCAGCATCTTCTTCCCAACTCCGGACGGACCAGTGAGCAGCAGAGTCTTCGCCACTGGGAACTTCTCCAGTACCACCTGGGACCCTGAGGGAAAACAAGGTATTGACAGCTTATTGAGCAGGTATTGACAGTGTATTGATTAGATATTGATAAGTTATTGACTGACCCAGTGGCAGCACAGTGTACAGAGCGATGAGCTGTCTGACGTCAGACAGAGACGGCATCGGTTCAATGTTCACCTGTCGGAGAGTTGAGGCCAGGTAACTGAACTCACATGTAGGAGACACATGTTGATGTCGTATGATGATGATGTCATGTAAAGGTCGTGACATCACATGTTCAACACGTCGATTTGTTACCAATAAATTCAGAAAGCCTGACATTCTGCTGTTTGATGAGGAAACTGTTCAGGATCAACTCCTCACACAGAGACTGCAGAGACCTGCAAACACAGACAGCAGCCAATCAGAGACCAGGACACAGAGACGGCAGCCAATCACAGACCAGGACACACAGACATCAGCCAATCATAGACCAGGACACAGAGAAGAACCAATCAGAGACCAGGACACAGAGACAGCAGCCAATCAGAGACCAAGACACAGAGACAGCAGCCAATCACATCCTCCACCAGGTAAACTCACCTGTCTGCTGTCAGCAGACAGGTTTTAAAACTCATACTGGAGTTTTAAAACATCAGTCATTGTTCTGTTACAAGCAAGTATAATGTGATCTTTACTGTATGTGCACCTGTCATACTGTTTTTTCTTACGGCTACATTCAACTGAGGTTTACCACATTTGCACTAAGTATACATGTGAATTACAACTGTAAAAATGCATTTTGTTCTCTCTCAACATCATTCAGAAAACAAAAGTAACAAGGATCTTGCAGACAAGACACAAAGAAAGCAAATAAGTAGGTCCACTTGGTAATACTCTGGTTTTCTCTAGAATTCAGAAACGCTATTGTTTGAAAAAAAAAACAAATACAAATACAAATACTTTTCTTGAGGCCAAAAAAACGAACAGAATCTCCATATATATTACTGTAGGGACTATAGTCAATGCAAGGCACCACAGGAGATTATTAGCAATTAGCTGATAGTCACATTAGACGTCTGCTAAGTTATTATTAAGCTAGCGGCTAGTGGCTACGGCTAATAATAAAACGTCTCACATTAATGTGAGAGCAAGGCAGTAAATGTTATCAGTCCTGCCCATCTGTAACGTTACTAGACAGTGTTCATTTAACAGTATAACACAATTATTTGTGTCTGAAAAGTGTTATATTTCTCTTAAAGTCCCAGATTGAAGCTGAAAAAAAGTCGACCAGCACCTCACCATAAACAGCAGCAGCCTACCCTCCCAACTCTGTTTGATCAGCAACGAAAATATGGTGCCAAGTCACCAGAAGCACAGAAAATAAACAGGGCTGTAGCTGAATACATTTGCATGTCATATATATATATTCACACCTTGCTGTTGGGTTTTTTTTTTTGCACTAACTCAGACAACCTAAAAGTAGTGTTGTCATTGATGTTATTGTTTGTATTGTTCTAATCTTTATTTAAAATAATTTTATGCATGTTCATTTTTTGTCATTTTTTCTCCCCATGGTATCGAAAATGCTATCGAGTATCGAGTATTTTCCTGGGTATCAATATCAAATTTTAAATTCTAGTATCGTGACAACCCTAACTTAGATAGGTCAAGAGATTTACTTCGATTAACTGAACAGTTTCCTCACTGTCTTACTTTTTACACTGTAAAAATACAACACTAGAAACTAGAAAATGAGACTAGTATAAATACTACCACAGAAAATGGCAACCAGAGGATACACTATAAAAAATATTAACCATGGCAACCAGAGGATACATTGTAAAAAATATTAACCATGACAACAAGGTGATGCACTGTAAAAACTGACACGTCCTCAGTAAATAATTGTTGTGCTCAGATTTAAAGGGACAGTAACACTAACTGACCTGCAGTCTGACTTCCTGTTCCACTTCCTGTCTCCTCCCCTCTCTGAGCAGCTGAACATCAACAGCTAGATGACAGTCGTCACGGCAACACCACACATCTGGACATACACAGAAAGAGGAAGTGTCAGAACTAAGATTTAGTTCTATTAATTATTAATTATTAATCTTAAAATATTTTTATTTATTTAATATCAAATATTAAACTTCAATGAAACAGTAACATTTATGGTTTTATTGATGTAGAGGATGAGGATTAAGGTGTGTCAGGGTCAGAGGTGAAGTGCAGCTGTAAAACTGAACCAAAATACCTCAAACTAACACAACAACAAAGTCTGGTCTCTGTAGACCCAGACCTGGTCCTGGTCAACAGAGACCACAAACACTTCACCTCCTCCTGCAGGAGCTCAGACAGGAAGCAGAGTCATCATCAGCATCATCAGTGACTTATTATAATGTGTTCATTCTATCATTAGGTTTGTTGCCTCGGTGTTGCCATGACAACGTCACTCTAAACTCACCTGTGTAGATTCTGTGTCCTTCAGAAACATCTGGGAGGAAACAGCTGGATGGGTCCGTCCCACACGTGTCGTCCTGCAGGACAGAGACAGTTTGACTTCAGATGAGACCACTTTGATCTGGATCAGAGAGGATCCTCTTCTCTTTACCTCAGTCTCCTTTGTCTTCTTCTTCTCTTTCTTCTTCTTCTTCTCTGTCTGTTCTGTCTTTCTCTTCTTCTTCTCTCTCTCCAGCTCAGCTGAGAACATGAGCCTCGTCTGTTGAACACAGTCGTGATGTTCAGAGGCAGCAGAGTAGACATCACATGTCCTGCCACCTGTCCTCTCACCTGTTCTCTCACCTGTCCTCACATCTGTCCTCCTACCTGTCCTCCCACCTGTTCTCTCACCTGTCCTCCCACCTGTCCTCACACCTGTCCTCACATCTGTCCTCCTACCTGTCCTCCCACCTGTTCTCTCACCTGTCCTCCCACCTGTCTTCACACCTGTCCTCCTACCTGTTCTCTCACCTGTCCTCCCACCTGTCCTCCCACCTGTTCTCCTACCTGTTCTCCCACCTGTCCTCCTACCTGTTCAGGTGTTTTCTGAGTGAACAAAGAAGCTGATCTGCCATCAGGATCCTGCAGGTCTGGAAAGTCTGGAAACTTCCCGGTGACGTCTCTGGAGACCAGGTTCCAGTTCGACACGTGAAACAAACAAATACATAACACATATTTACACTCTGTAAATCAATCAAACAATCAATCCGATTCTGACAATAAAGATCTCTCAGACACGTTGGTCAGAGACCAGCAGAGACCTGCAGAGACCAGTAGAGACCAGCACCAACCAGCAGGGACCAGTAGAGACCAGCAGAGACCAACAGAGACCAGAGACCAACAGAGACCAGCAGAGACCAGCAGACACCAGCCGAGACCAGAGACCAACAGAGACCAGCAGAGACCAACAAAGACCAGCAGAGACCAGCAGAAACCAACAGAGACCAACAAAGACCAGCAGAGACCAGTAGAGACCAACAGAGACCAGCAGAGACCCGTAGAGACCAGCAGAGACCAGCAAAGACCAGAGACCAGCAGAGACCAACAGAGACCAACAAAGACCAGTAGAGACCAAAGACCAACAGAGACCAGCAGGGTCTACTACAGACAGAGGAACTAGGATCAAAGCGGTCTGATACTTGAGGTTCTGGTCTGACCTGCACTCCGAGAACTACTGTCGGATCTGATCCCGCAGACTTTCCTTCATGTCGGTTCCCTCTCAGACACGTTGGTCAGAGACCAGCAGAGACCAGCAGTGACCAGTAGAGAGAGACCAACAGAGACCAGCAGAGACCAGCAGAGACCAACAGAGACCACCAGAGACCAGAGAATAACAGAGACCAGCAGAGACCAACAAAGACCAGCAAAGACCAACAAAGACCAGCAGAGACCAACAGAGACCAGAGACCAGAGACAACGAAGACCAGCAGAGACCAGTAGAGATCAACAGAGACCAGCAGAGACCAACAGAGACCAGCACAGACCAGCAAAGACCAGTAGAGACCAACAGAGTCCAGCAGAGACCAGCAGAGACCAGCAGGGTCTACTACAGACAGAGGAACCAGGATCAAAGCGGTCTGCTACTTGAGGTTCTGGTCTGACCTGCACTCGGAGAACCACTGTTGGATCTGATCCCGCAGACTTTCCTTCATGTCAGTTCCCTCCATGTCGAGAACAGAGCACTTCACACTGAGCTGGACTCTCTGGTACTCCTCCTCATTCTGGTCCTGGATCAGCCTGAGACCCGCTGAGAACTGTTGGGCCCGCAACTGGTGTGGACTGGGACCAGGAGGCTCTGCTGGGATCTGAGGAACCACAAGAACTATGAGGAACCAGAGGAACCAGGAGACCTACAGGAACTGGAAGAAATGGAAGAACTGGAGGAGGAACCAGAGTTAACATTTTCATAAAACATAAAAATTAAATTCATAAAACAATCGGAAAATATAATGAAGATAAAATAAAAATGCACATTTAACAACAAATGAAATGAGATTAAATAAAACATAAAAAATGAAACAGAGTAATTTAATTAAATATAAACTTGTTACCATCCCCAGAAACATCATCTCCTCCGTTTGTTCTTGCGCCGTCTGTTTCCTCTGAACGTGACCTCTCCACACCTGAAACACAGTCCTGTCTCCATGACAACAACCTGCCTCACACCAACATCACATCCGTCAAGTGTTTATTGATTATTGATGATATTTTCTCCACGTTTTCATTTTTATTATTATTAATAACAATAATCTTGTAAATGATGTATAATTAACTCTGTGTTTAGAGCAGAGACTCCTCAGGTGTTCATCAAGTGAACTCAGGTGAACTCAAGTGAATCAATTATCAGTTTCCATGAATCCTTCATGATCCACCTGATGAAACCTGACACCTGAAATCCAGGTCACAGGTTTGGGGTGAGGAGTTACCCTCACCTGAGCTCACCTGTCTGATTTAAAGGAACATGACACTCCAGCAGGTGGCGCTCTGGGTCCTGAGTCACAGTCTCTACCCGTCAAATGGGTTCAGGTTTGTGTGTCTCCAGGTGTGTCTCTTAACGCCTCTCTCTGATTGGTTGAGCTCCGTCACAAATTAAGCTCTGATTCGTCCCTGCCAAGCGCGCTCAGACACCTGCAGGAGTCGGACCACCTCCTCCAGACTCATGTCCTGGACCGAGGAAGTCCGGACCAGAGCCCAGACTGTCTGTTTGTGTTTCTGTTCTCTGAGGAAACACCGAGGGAGGGGCATCTCCAAGTCCTTCTGTACACACACACACACATACACACACACACAAACACACACATTGAACGTGGATCAGGTCTGATCTGGTTTCTGTCAGATTAAACGTGGATCAGGTCTGATGTGTTCTGGACTCACTGGGGTCATCTTCAGGTCCGGCAGCAGGTCGTCAAAGAAGTTGAACTCAGACAGATTCAGATCCACCATCTGAGCCTTGAGCTCCAGGAGTCGACCCATCAGCCCATCCAGGACCGTCCGGACCGCCCTCCTCCTCTGGGGCTGGACCAGCTGTTTGTAGACCTCCTCTAGACTGCGGAAGATTTGCAGGTACTTCAGGTAGAGGACAGCCCAGTCCTGGAAGACCTGCAGCCGGTCTCTCTGAGGACCAGGAAGAGCTGCAGGGACTTCGTCCTGAAAAAGGTCCTGGAGGGCGCTGTGAGCCACAGCCCACTTCCTGTTAGAGGAGCTGAGGACCAGAAGACAGAGACCAGTACCAGTCAAGTTCTGGACTCAGATCCTCCTCTCTGATTCGGGAGAATCTGCTGTCAGGATCAGAATCCAGATCACACGGACCTCAGGGACCAGCTACGATCAGGTCTCAGAGTCCATATTTACATTCAGACGGTTTGTAGCATCAGAGACACAAGAGGAAGTTTAACCTTGATACAATGCATGCTGGGCAGTGTTAATAAGCATTAATTAGATGAGTGCATAAAATGATGTGTTGGACGTTCAGTCGCCAAACCTTATTTAAAAAAGTCTGACAGGTGTCAGTCTCTCTCTGTATGTCTCTCTGTCACTGCATGTCTCTCGCTCTGTTTTTGTGAATGAAGTCTGACTGTTGTCATGGAAACACCAACACAGCCTCTCAGCCTAGGTTTGAAACATTCAGGTGATGCTGGGTTTAATCAGGTGAGCAAGGATAGATCAATGCTTACCTGAATGACATCATCGCCTGCCACCTGTGGGACCTCAGGAGCGGAACACGTCAGATTTGATGGTTTTTCTTCTTGTTTCTGTGCAGCGGAGCGTAGCAACCGAATGCCACGCTGCGCAAGCGCACCGATAGTCTTCGTATCGGATTTATGAAAGAATGATAGGTGAAGGAGGAGGAGGAGGAAGAAGGTGCAGAAGAGGAATCCGACCGTCAGAGGAGCGAGAGAGAGAGAGAGAGAGAGAGAGAGAGAGAGAGAGAGAGAGAGAGAGAGAGAGTTTTTGCTCCCTCTCGCACTCTGAAACAGTCAGATGAACTGAGGAGTGTGTGTGTGTGTGTCTGTGTGTGTGTGTGTTGTTTGTGGGTTAAATGGTTTCTGTCCTGCAGCTGAAACGTCATAAATCAGAGCGGGACTCCTCCTCCTCCTTGCTGGTCATTAAACTGCTAAGTGAAGGGGGACTCCCTCAGACCGCCTCAGACCCGGACTCCCTCAGACCTGGACTCCCTCAGATCGTCCGCTGGAGGAACTGGACTCCACTCTGGACCCAGACTTAAACTGGGACTAACCAGTGCAGGACAAAAATAAGACGACGACCTTCCAGTTGAACGTGTAAGTCCTTTTTAATGCGATTTGACTCCATCTTTCATCGTCCGACAGGTACCGAGTGGTTCCGACTTTGACCGACACTCCGCTTAAAAAGGTGTCGTTTTTAGATTATTGACTCTCAAGCCAATAAATTACTTTGTAAGTAAGCGTATTAAATATTATTACCAACCACTGATGCTTTCTGTTGTATTCGGCAGACATGTCACACCAGACTTCACTTCATTTTACTGAAATCTCTACTTCTATCAACAGATTTCTGTTGGTCCCAGCTCCGCTCTCACGTCTGAATAACAGCGAACCAGGTTGTGAAAGTGGAGTTTATATGCAGCACCGTGCTGTGATGATGAACGAAACCTGAGCCGAAGTGAAAACTGTGTCATGTTTGTTCCAGAGAAGTCTTAATACATGTGTTTTCAGCTGTTAGCGCTTGTCTTTAAGCACATTAACCTTAATTTGAATATTTTATAACGGAGCTCCACATTGTTCATAAAGGTTGACATTAGTTCATGTTCTACTTTATTGTGTAATTTCTTTGACACATTAGTAAATAATAAGTTACTAATAATCATCTTATTTTCTCAGCTCTGTCGCAGACTCCCTTTAACATGTCTTGTTCTTTAGAGTTTAGACGTGTCCTCCTCCGTAGGAAAACTTAAATATTATTAGTAATGGTTTGTGTCTTATCGTGTATTCTGCTTAAATTAGACCCATCTTACTTCACTTTATCCCAGTGGCTGAGCTCTGGTCCTGCAGACTCACTCTGGAGTCTTGTTGTTACTGGGCACTGATTTATGGTTCTTCAAGTGGCACACGGCGGCGGATTCTGTGATTTGCGCCAATAACCTGGTTGAAAAGTGACGTTTCATGTGTGTGATGGTTCATGAAACCTGAGCCGAAGTGAAGAGCGTGTGCTGTTTGTTCTTTAACTTCTCAGGTTTTGAGTTTTGACAGTTTGAACTGTGTCCAGAAGGAAAGAATCTTTAAACTGAGAGATTTTACAGCGGAGTTCTGCGAGTCTTTCATGGCGGCCTGTCGGTGTTGTTGATGCTGAGGCGCGGGCAGAGGTCAGGCCGTGTATGTCACTTGAAGTGCTCTCTGGTGGTTTATGGCATTTTACTGGTGACTTCAGGAGCCTCTCTGCTGGTGTCTCGGGTCAACAGAGGTCTTATCTGACAAACTGGGTTAACATTGAATGGGAGCTGTGGTCCCAGTGTGTGAGAGAGAGCTCATTAACATGAACCTGAAAACCTGCAGCACTAAGTGTTGTATTTAAAAACAAATCACTTCCACTGTATTTAAATATTTAAACCTAACGTTTTACCTGATAAAGTTTTAAACTCTTTTTTTCTTTTTTTAAACTCTTGTATCATTGTTTCAGCTCCACAGTAAACTTTTATTTTGAAGGTCGTGACCTTTCAGTGTGAAGTGCCCTGTGGAGTTTTCATTTTAATGTGAAGGAGCAGTAAAAGGCTGAGTGCTCCTCCTCCTCTTCTTCTTCTCCTCCAGCTGTCTGTCTGATGGCTCAGGTCTCTTCTTCTTCTTCTCTGGTTTTTATCTGTTGTAAAGAAGTAGAGCCAATAATCTGATGTTTGATCAGCAGACGTCAGGATGATCAGAAATGTAATTCATGAAGGGTTTATAACTCAGGTTTGATATTCAAAACTTTTGACTGTTGGAGACAAATTATAAGATACATAAGGAATTAGAGATGAGATGTAGATTTTTAGTTTTAATGTGAAGTTTTGATGTGAAGGTTTAATGTGAAGGTTTAATATGGAGTCTGGTGAGAACAGATCATTGTTCATTGGAACATCTGTCTGTTATGACAGGAAATGATCAATAACATTGATTGATAGATATCTGCAGCGTCTTGACTTTGTTATTGTGCACTTAGTGATGTCATCAGGCTTTAGAATATGAAGAATTATTATGGGATGTTGAAGGTGACACAGATGGGTCTTTGTGAACATGGAGTAGATTTATGTTGTCACGGTGACGTGAACACTGCAGCTGTGTCAGCTCTGATCACACTGAGGTTATTGATCATTGACGACCACAGAGACGTTATTGTCCCATCACTGTCTGAGTTCATGTCCAACCACCTGTCCTCTCACTGTGTCAGTGTGAGGGCTGAGGTCAAAGGTTACAGGTCATCACCTGGTGGTGAAATTAAAAATATCTGACTCTTCTTTGTTTCAGAAACCTCCACAGGACCAGAGATCAGCGATCAATAATCAATACAGCTGCAGGGACTGATCGATCTTCTGCTGTTCTCCAGGTTCAACATCCTTATCATGAGTCTGACCTCCAATGACCTCACCGAGCTCATGGAGCTGTGGGAGGAGTTAAACCTGACGGCGGCTGACCACCACAACCTGTCCCACGTGGAGACTGTGCTGTGTTCAGGCGCCATCAGCCATGGCGCCTTCCTCCACGTCCTCTCTGTCCTATACGTCTTCATCTTCCTGGTGGGCGTCGCCGCCAACGCCCCGGTGGTCTGGTTGAACCTGCGCTCTGACAGGAACCGCCAAGAGACGCATCTGTACATCCTAAACCTGGCCGTGGCCGACCTGTGCGTCGTGGCCACACTGCCAGTGTGGGTGGCGTCGCTGCTGCAAGGCGGGCAGTGGCCGTTCGGCGAGGCCGTGTGTAAACTCAGCCACCTGGTCTTCAGCGTCAACCTCTTCAGCAGCATCTTCTTCCTCTCCTGCATGAGCGTTGATCGTTACCTTTCCATCAGGCTGCTGGCCGACGCCCCCATCAGCCGCAGGAAGAAGCTGCTGCGGCGGCTGGTCTGTGTTCTGGTCTGGCTGCTGGCGCTGGCGGCCTCTGCCCCCGACACCTACTTCCTCCAGGCGGTCAAGTCATTGCACCATGAGGGCGCTGTCTGTCGGCCGGTTTATCCACCCGGCAACCCGAGAGACTGGATGGTCGGCGTCCAGCTCAGCTTCATCATCCTCGGCTTTGCCGTCCCCTTCCCCGTCATTGCCGTCTTCTACCTGCTGCTGGCAGGGGCCGTCCCTCCCAGCTCAGACCGGGAGCGCTGTGTCATTCTGGCCTACATCGTGGTGTTCCTCGTGTGCTGGCTGCCGCTCCACGCCGTTCTTGTGCTGGACACACTGTCTCTGCTCCATGTCCTGCCCTTCAGCTGCCAGCTGGAGAACTTCCTGGACGTGGCGCTGCACCTGACACAGTGTCTGTCTCTGGTCCACTGCTGCGTCAACCCCGTCCTCTACAATGTCCTCAACAGGAACTACAACTACGACCTCATGAAGGCCTTCATCTTCAGGTACTCCACCAGGACGGGGCTCGCCAGGCTCGTCCACGCCTCCGAGAGCGAGTACTCGGCGGGGACGATGGACAACATGCCAATGTGAACTCGTGTGAAGACCCAGAAACCTCCTGTCCAGTCCGTCCATGTCTCATGGACTGAGGACTCTGTGGACACGATGGACAGTGTCCCAGTTTGAACCAAGGACATCTGAAGATGTCTTGTACCTGCCTGTGGGACCAGGTGATATTCTGCTACATCCTGGTCTTCCTGGAAATCTGGATCACAAAGACTGATGTAAATATTTGATGTTATATTCTGCGAATATATTTTTATCATCTTTTATAATTGATTGTTTTTTCTATTTGCTCAATCATGTACAGGAAGTTTAATTGGTAAAGGCTAAAATCAAGGTCATTCAGTGATGCGCAGGCAGGACGACACCTCATATAATAATAATGATAATATAATCTAATAATAATGATGATAATATTATTATTATTATTGATAATTCATTGATACATTTCTCCATCACTGAGCCTTGAGACTTTCAAGGATCATAAACATGACTTCATCCTGAGTCTGAGTCCTGACACATTTCATCTGTGACTCAGACAAACATGGAGACACGTTGTCTACCTGTGCAGCTGCTTCTTCAGGACTGTGTTTACCTGTGTGTGGTCATCAGCTGCAGGTGTGACGGCCTCAATCACAGAGCTGTGAGGTGACAGAGAGGTGCCACTCTGACTCCCAGAACACACACCAGGCTGTCAGAGGACGTGAGTTTACCTGCAGACAGAGAGGACAAGGGGGGGGGGGGTCTTCTGCTTATTAACAAATATATGCATAAATATTTAATCTATAATTAACAAACTTTAATGTTTCATGTTTCTGAAACCTTGTGTGTGATGTAGAGATCAGGACTCTGATCGATGTAAGCACCCCCCCATGCTTTAATGAATGGGGTCCAGCAGGATTACAGAGAGCTTAAAATACACACAGAGACCCCAATCTGGACTCAGAGCTGCATTGCCATGACAACCAGACCAGCTCAGGGCCTCTGAAAGCCTTCCATGAGAGACGGGTATTAAAAATCTGCTCTCAGCATTGAACTATGGGTAACCATGGCAACAGTACTGGCCCGTGGAAACCCTTCACATGTCCCCAAAAGCTCTTCAAGGCCCTGCTGTAGCTCCTCGTGCACCTGGAAGGACCCTTGAACCTTCCCCAGGACCCTTGGTATCTCCTGAAGAACCACATGGACATCTTCAAGGCTCTTTGGAAGAACCTCAAGGACCCCCAGAACCTCTTTAAGTTCCTCAAGCACTCAACAACAACAATCTGCCTGAGGATCCCTGCACGTGTCTCAGGACCACCAGAACACTTCCCTCCCATGGACCCTGGAAGAGCCTGAGGATGACTGAAGGGACCCCAGGAAACTCTTCAAGGACCCTCTGTCTGACAAAAGCTAATGAAAATATGAAATATAAAAAAATCTACTTCAATCAGAAAAACCTGCTGCTTTTATTTACATGTCTGTTTTAGTCTGTTTTAGACTCTAGACTGGGTCTCTGGCTTTTCACCGAACTCTTCTGATGATCCATTAAAGAGCTCCCACCAGCTCTAACCAGTTCCCACCCTCTCCAGCCAGCTCCCACCAGCTCCCACCATCTCCCTCCAGCTCCCACCAGCTCCCACCCTCTCCAGCCAGCTTCCTCCAGCTCCCACCCTCTCCAGCCAGCTCCCACCATCTCCCTCCAGCTCCCTCCAGCTCCCACCATCTCCCTCCAGCTCCCACCCTCTCCAGCCATCTCCCTCCAGCTCCCACCAGCTCCCACCCTCTCCAGCCAGCTTCCTCCAGCTCCCACCCTCTCCAGCCAGCTCCCACCATCTCCCTCCAGCTCCCTCCAGCTCCCACCATCTCCCTCCAGCTCCCACTGAGCCCCTGCTCTCTGTGTCTCTTTGTATCTTTGTGACGGGAGAGTTTGAGTTCAGGCTGTGGAATGTATGAAGTGAATGAGGGTCCTCACAAGTATACAAGTACAAACGTGTGTGTGTGTGTCTGTGTCAGAGTTCAAAGGATTCATTCACTCACACTCACTCTGTCATTATCCTGCACTGTGAGTTACTGACAGCACACACCTGCTAACACTTCCTGGAACTTCTTCAAGGATCCTTCCAAACCCATAAAGACACAGAGAAGCTTTCCAAGAACTGATTTTTTTTACCTGGATTCATTCACAAACACAAACTAATGTTGCATGAGTTTAATATAGTGCTTCAAAGATGTCACCTCAATGACATTAACACCCGTCACACTGATCAATACAACCCTCATTTGATCACCCACATCCTAATCAATAGGATAGATAAAGAAGTTAGAAGAATGTCCCACCTGCAGCTCCGCCTCCTCTCACTGATGACATATCATACACACCATTAAAAATGAACTAATCCAAAGTCCCACCTGGAGATGAAGAGTTTGTATTGATTATTGATCGATATTGATGATATTGACTTGTTATCTATGTGAAAGTTTGCAGTGCTGCTCACCACAGCAACAACTCATACATTCAGACACAAGTGTTACAGATTTCACCTGTTTTTATATGAAGAGTTTGATTTCAAAACTGTTGACACACACACTTCTACCTGAATGTGTCCTCATGAACACACACACACACACACACACACACACACACACACACACACACACACACACACACACACACACACACACACACACACACACACACACCACACACTTCTACCTGAGTGTGTCCTCATGAACACACACACACACACACACACAGACACACACACCACACACTTCTACCTGTGTAAAATGAAGTATTGATAAAAGCTATTTTACAGGATCAACATGTTGTTTTGGAGCCAAACTCTTCACGTGTTCATTCATTCATTCATTTAGCGATGATTAATGACGGACATGAATATTCAGACATTTACAAGCTGGTGATTTTACATCCATGAAAAGTCAGAAAAACAAACTTTATCTGGAATATTCCTGATTCAGGTGTGTGGACACAGATGGCCACGCCCCTTCTGTTACCTGAACATGATGATAACACGGTTATGGGGAGGGCTGCACATTGGTTCTTTGTTGGTTTAACTCATGTCAGGTGTTCAGTATGAAGTGAGTCCCACTGATGTGACAGTCTCATTCAGGAAACAGTCGGATCGTCCAACACCAGCCACAAACTCCTCACACACAACACACTGGAGAAGAGAAACATGAGCCAACGAGACAAGAAACCATGAAGAAACTAAACTAAATGAACTCAGCTGCTGCCGCTCGAGGTTGGTCTGGTCTGGCCCGGTCTGATGCGGTCGCTCTGCTGCAGTCCAGTCTCGGAGGGAGGCGGCGGCCCTGAGTATCGATGAGACACAATGTCACAGATGGAGGAGCTGAATATCGATCAGGCAGATGTAGTGTTTGTTCTAATGCACCCTGACAGCCAGGCGGGTGGGGTTTACCACATCAGGCTGATCCTCACCTAAAGGTCCATTTGGTAGCTGTGGATCACATCACATGACCTTCTTCGACAACATGGAAATATTTACATTCTGTGACAGAGTTCAGGTGAGGATTTCTTCACCTGCGTCAAAGACAAACTTTAATCGTGGTCACACCATCCCGTGTGGTGACTCCACCGGTACACTCCAGACATGACCAGCTGACGGACTTATGGTTTCGCCTGCCTCAGTTAACTCCACCCGCCTGGTGCTGCATGTAGAGTGAAATCAAGCGCTTCCAAAAACGTTGTGTTCGGATCTGATTGTCTCTGTCAGGGTGGAGATGAAAACATGGCATAGACGGTCCACTGCAGGATCAGGACTCTCTGGAGGATGACATCCCCAGGACAGGGCGTCACTGCTGGGCAAGCAGGGCACTCCGGTTGGCCTTCATCTTCTCCAGACGTTTGGACAGGTGACTGTTACTGACCTCCAGCTCGTCGACCCGGTCCAGAGCCGAGCGGAGCTGCAGTGAGACACAGGAACACGTCACAGGTGATGTCCATCAAACACAAGACATCAAGAAAAATATCAAGACTAAAAGGATCTGAATACTTCACTACCTCATCAAACAAGTGAAAAATCAAAGAGTTAATAATTAAATAATAATACAAAACGTTACAAATGAAATTTTAGTTTCATAAATAACATAAAAATGAAGGATTTAAAGCCGACATTTAGTATATAAACATGAAAATAAATATGTGGAGAGTCGCTACCTCTCTCTGCAGTTTTCTCTTCTCCACCTTAAGCTCGTCTTCGATCTTCTCGGCACTCTCCGACGCCGACTTGTAGCGAGTCACCTGACCTTCCAGACGGATGATCTGATACAACAGGGTAGGAGGAATGTTACTGACCTTTTAGCAACATCACACTTTTCTGTCTGTGTAGCCCAAACTACTGATGGGCTTTATCAAAGACTTAAAAAATCATAAAATTATTGTGATACAGATTGAGATTGAGAGACAGATATGGAAACAAGCGACAACCCAGTCCAATCGTGATAAACTTTACAATGAGAAACAACAACAACATTGAATGGAGCTGAATCTAAAATGTATATGCAGATGATGCTGTTTTTTCCCACATTGTCTGACCTTTAACAAATGACAAAGTAAATTAAGAATATGTTACGTTTTGTTCCAGAGCAGTAACTTCCTGTTCTGACTTCACCAGTTTGAACTTCAGATCACTGATTTGTCTGTTGGTATCTCCTATAGAAATAAATGAGACAATACCACAGAAAAAGAAAAATTGTTATCAGGTAGAAAGTCGGATTTAGAGATTTTCATGTTCTCATTTCACTGAAACGATCACATGATGAAAGAAGAGAAAGTTTAAAGATGAAGAAGTTGAAACAAAGACATAGTAAATGAAGATTAAGATGAGACATCCAGATGAAAAAGAAGAGGTCTCACTCTGCAGGTCCAGAAGATGAGAGTCCATCCCATTCTCCAGATCGTCCTCCTCTGGATTCTGGACTCCGTCGGTCCCATTCCTCTGTCTCTGATCCAGCTGAGACTTCAGCAGCCTGACCTGTACACAAACACAGGAACAATTCATTTAATAAATTATAGTTTCATATGTTTACAGGTATTTAAATATGTAGTTTACTTGTGTCACCTGATCCTGTAAACTCTCTCTCTCCTCAAACACTTTCTTCAGCCGCAGCTCTGAAACACAACAAATAACGTAATATTAGATTTATATTATACTGTATCGAAATGTATATTATATTTACATTATGCGTAAATTCTAAATCCAAATAAATAAAAATAAAAATCCGAGCAGGATGTGACAGTAACAAGCCAACCAACTTTAATATGCACAAAATCAATTGAGAATAATCTGAGGATGAATTGATAATAATAATAATGATGATTAATTTATAAGATAAGAAACTTTAATTTGGATGCTTTCTGCATATGTACGTGTTGTTGATAAATTACTTAATGAAGCTTTAAGATGAATTCATTTCAGGAATATAATTACACACAAAAATTAAAATTAATATATTGTGTTATTGTTATTTCATTCAGTGGCTTCACCTTCATCATTTCAACAAATACTAAAGAAACAGGATAATAAACTAAAACATATGAGGGACATGAATAAAACTGCTTACCCTTGTACAAGCTTAGAGTTGGCTTTATATACACACACACATACATATACATACAATATAAATGAACTGCCAACAATCACATGATTCAACTAACATCATTTTATTTGTTTGTTTGACGTTCAAAGAAAAGATGTTTTATTTAAATCTTATTATCATCTTATTTCATTTGCATGTTTGTAGAACTTTATTAACACTCATTGATCAATAAAAGTTTCTGGTGAATCTATGAAATCTTGCAGTCAGGTTTGTGCTCGTCTTTCCTGTTGTCCAAACTGAATCCATTCAGGTACCTCATGCTGCTTGGCGTTGACGCTGGTTGACGTTCTTGTGCGTCCTCATCAGCCTCTTCGCAGCTGTCCATGTTTTCCACCGACGTCTCCTCCACGTCATCGGCGTCTGATCCAGGTGACACTTTGCTTCGTCGATCGTCTACTACCCTCCCCTCCTCTAAGCTCATCACTGTCAGCTCCGGAACAGCCATGGCCTTGATTTCAGCTGCAGTTATCTCTATGAGCCGTCTGATCTTTGAACTTTGATCAACAGGAGAGTTCCTCCATATTGGTCCATGTCTTTTGAGTTGCGTGTCCTTTGGATCTTCCACAGGAAACACTAGGCAACTTTGACTTGGACCAACGATCTGTCTTTGCTCATGTGTTTTATCATCGACTTCTGCCACATGACTGTCAACAACATCTATCCCTTCTAGTTTCTTTGGATTGGTCGATTCACCTACCAAAGGCTGGTCTGAAGCAGACGCCACTGCTCTGGTCTTTACAGGTTCAGCAAAGTAGGACTCAACAAAAACAAAATCCTCGGAGCAGCTTGTCATCTCTGAATCATGTTCACTTTGGTTTTCCTCTGAATTCTCCGCAGACTTTTCTTCTAGCAATGACTCAACCACTTCCAGCTCAGCGTGACATGTGCTAGATACGACCCTGAAGTTCTTTCCTGTAGCTGCTCGGTCATGTTCCTCTCTAAGATCCTGGATGTCTTCACAAACTTTACTTCTGGAAATAGATGAGACCACAAAAACATGGTAAGTTTGTCCCTCCAGAAATGGTACTTCCAGCGCCCCTGGGACTGAACTGTCTTTTAGGGTTGATGCACTTGCTCCCACGTCTTCAGGATCTTCTGGGGTTCTCGCTCCTTCAGGTAAGTCCTTCACAGGCAGCTCACTCTTTGAGGTGTGTTTCTTTTGGCTCAGTGATGCTTGGTCAGCTCCATCCTGCTGATTCAGTACATTTCCTGCGACCTTCTTCAGTGTCTCCTCCAGTTCTGAAATCCACCGGTTCAGAGATTCTGGGATTTCTGGAACGATTCTCGAGATCTCAGCCACAAAACTTTGATTTTCAGCAAACCCTCTGAGGATGGTCTGAACAGTCTTTTCCTTCAACAGCTCACTGGGGACAAATGGTGACACAGCTGAAGACCTGAGTGGTTTTGTTGGGTCTTTACATTTGGAACGTTCTGAGGAAATGTCTTCCTGAAGCTGAGCGGCTTCTTCGTCATGAATCCTTTGCTTCTTGACTTCAAGTTTACTCAGTCTTCCTCCAGTGATCGCCTTCTCTGCTGGTAGAAATGCATCACGCTCTGAGGTTTTCAGTTTGGTTTCAGAGGCCTTGGCTTCATGTAGGGTTCTCCTCCAATCCTCAGACACTGTGTGTTGTTGGTGTTTAAAACTTTGAGAAGTCAGACCTGTGAATACAAGCGTCTCATTCTCTGACAAATCTGTGAAAAATTTCGTATCTTCATTTTCAAGACTTTGTCCATCAACCTCTGACAACTTCTCCACACATTCATCTTTGTTGAAGCTGTCTGCTGACGTTGACGGATTAATCTCCTTTATTTTATTTTCCTTTATGCACAAAGCTGAACTATCAGCTACTAGTTTGCTGTGTGAACATTCTCCATCTCTGCTTGTTTTTCCATCTTTCTGGAAACTTTGATCAACAGACAAACACTTGAGTGTGAAATGTCCTTCAGAAGCAGAAGTCACATTTCCTCCTCCTGGTTTTTGTTTGTTGAGAGTCAGAGAGTTTTGTTTCCCAGCAGCAAAGAGACTCAACACAATCGCCTTGTTGTCAAGGATCATGTCTTTTATGGGTCGAGGTGGGACAAGTCTTGATTTAAGGACTTTTTCAGGTGAAGCTCTGCGAACAGGTGAAACCACCTGCTCACATGTGGCCTGACCTTCAGGTTGAGTTCCTGTCAGATTGGTTTGAATGTTGCAGGTTTTGTCATCGAAGGAGCGCCTGTTTTCCATCACATGGACATCCTGGAGTGACACTGCAGATGTATCCGCTCTCACATCCCTCCCTTCTGGGCTTTTGTCAGCTTTGGTTCTGCCTTTCAAAGCTTGATCTTCCATCATGAACCGGGCTGCTCCAGCTCCTGGTTGGGTTTGTTTCGTTTGTACCGTCCTCACATCCCCATCCTGCCTGGTTCTACATTTCTGTGGTGGTTTACTTGCATGTTTGTTTCTACCTGGATGTTTGTTTGCTCTGTCTCGTGTGTCTCTGCTCAGTTTGTCTGTCCCCTTCACTTGTTTTAAAGTGGAGTGTTTGGTGTTGGAGTCGACACTCAGTGACTGGGAGCATTTAGAAATGTTCCAGCTGTTGTTCTTCATGTCGTCCTGTGGATGTTTGCTGCCCTCTGCTGGCTGCCGCTCAACAGCTTTCCCTGAAAGATCATGAAGAAGACATTGGAGGACCAAACAGAATTCACTGGTTATAGATAAAATCAAAGAGTAAAGATGCTGGGAATCAACCCGAGACGCCTCAGTGAGAGATGAAGTGAAGAGATGAAGAGTTCCTGTTCCAGACGACGAGTTAGCAGGTAAAATCCAACCCGAGCAGGAAAATGATTTCACCTTTTCATCATTAAAAAAAGACTCGTGCATTAGTTAGACACATTCAAACATGCACATCATGCACTTTATCCCACAGTGAGACACAGTCGTTAGTAAAACTGACATGAAACATTTATCAAAGTTGATTTATTCTTGTTTTAAATCACTGTGTTTATGTTGTGGAAGTCCAGCTCAATCAAGTCAGAAAAATATAGATTAAATATTAGAAAACAGTTTTTTTACATTGGTATCTGAAAATTTTCACATTTCTTTAAAATCTAAACTCCGTAGTTCACTCCTTTTCTTATTCATTTATTATCTCACGAAATGTGTTAATTCATAATTAACTCTTGATTACAAAGTCTGAATTCTGACAAACATAATTATAATTTTTACTTTGTAAATCATTTTGATTATAAAAAGTCAAAATGATGAATAAAGTCCATCTAGATTAAAATGTCTTACACAGCTGACTAATAATTCATCAATCTGAATCTCATAAACTTGATGCAGTAAATTAAAAGTGTCTCATTTCAAATTAAATCTAAAAGTCACAGGTTTTTTTGTTTTTATTTATATCTATTTTTAGATTTCCTGTTGACAGAGGATTTCCACTGTAATACAATAACCAGATGATTCAGTGAAATTAAAGCTGTGTCTCAGGTTGAACCAATTCTTACCCAGCATGCTCTCTCTGCCGCCATGAAGCGGCTCCTCTGCCAATCGGGAGTCAGATTGTTCACTGACATCACTCTCAACCTCGCCCTGTCCCGCCTCCCCGTTGGTGGAGACATCAGGTGAGACAATGACGCCGTGTTTCTGTTGGAGAGGAAATCATCATATAATTGATCAGGTCATGAGCTCCAATCAGTCTCATTGATCAGTTTGATCCGTGATCTGATGACATCCTCCGACATCCTCCTCTGAATACCTTCAGTAAATCACGCAGTCGGATCACTTCCTGTCTGAGTCGTTCTCGTTCCATCTGAACCATGTCGGAGATTTCCCTCTGCCTCTCTAACGCCTGACCAAGGCGGCAAGGGAAGGAAGAAAGGACGTAAAGAGGAAAGGAAGAAAGGACAGGTGGAGTTAGTGAAGGAAAGGAAAGTGGAAATATTCTGAAATATTAGAGAAGTCGAGGAGTTTCAGTCTCAGAAACATTTCTCAGAGGCACAACTCTTGATTTCATATTTAAAAATGATATTTTTTAAATTTTGAATTGACAAACTGAATGTTCTGATTGAAGAGATTGATCGGAGGTTGATCAGGTTTGTGTTGGACCGTTTTATAATGTGACTTAGTGTTTTCTGTCTCATGTGTTTGTCTGGAGCGCCTGCTATTTAAAATGTAACCTTGTACAATGAGATAATGTATGTATAATGCATAGTTTAACACAGAGCTGAAGTTCCATGAAGCTCAGCTCAGACTCCGTTAATATATTAATATTAAGGTTGATCAGAAATGTCCTGTGAAGATGACTGTGCCTCTGGAGATGTTGTGAAGAGTGAATGTGTCGTACCAAGATCTTCTTCTCCTTCCACTGCAGAGCTTCCTGCAGATCACACACCTCCTGACAGTAACTGCTGCTCTTCACACGCAGCTCCGACACCTCCTGTCCACCGAGGAGGACACACGTTCAGAGACAGAGTGTTAATAATACACCTCCTGTCCATGTCTCATGACCATAAGGAAGGCCATGAGATATATACTCAAGAGGAAGAGGAAGAGGAAGAGGAGGAAGAGGAGGAGGAGGAAGAAGAGGAGGAGGAGGAGGAAGTCCACCTCTGTTTCCTGTTAAAGGATGAATCTGTGTTTTTCTTTATCTGAGAGAGAGAGAGAGAGAGAGAGAGAGAGAGAGAGAGAGAGAGAGAGAGAGTGTGTGTGTGTGTGTGTGTGTGTATGAGACTGACCGTCAGCAGCTCCTCCATCTGTTTCAAAGTCTCTTTCATCTCTTTGAACTGGAACTGAAGAACCTTGTGAGCCTGACGCTCCCGCTCCAACTCCTGACACACACACAGAATAATTATCAATATCATGTGATACAGAAAATATTGATCCACTGTCCTTCATGAAACAAAGCTTTTATTGCGAAAGTGTGTTCTGTGACCTCTGACCTTTGTGGTGTGGTCACAGTGTCGTCGAGCCTCCCACAGCTCCTCCTCCATGTCGCTAAGCTCCTCCCTCAGAGTGTCCACCTGATACATCAGAGTCGACTTGTCGTTGTGAAGCTGAGCATTAGAGACCATCGCTTTACGGTACCTGTCCTCCGCCTCCACCAGGGAGTCCTGAACACACAGACATCATTATTATTCATTATTAATAATTAATTTCATTCATTAGACCAACCAGGGAGTCCTGATGATAAATATAATTATTATTATTTTAATTTCTTGTATATATAATATTTTATTATATAATTATATAATAATAAACAAGAATATAATTTTATCTATTATATTAATTAATTATTAGTATGATCAACTGCTTTCATATTTATTTAACATTTTATGTCTCAAATATTCATTTAATTCACCGTGATGTTGAATTTCACAGAGTTCATCACTTGGTCCAGTTTATTATAATAATTAGTTATTGATTATAATAATTAGTTATTAAATCTAATAATTAGATTCAATCATTATAATAATTATAATAATTGTAATGAGGACCTTGATTTCTCTGATGGACGCCTCTGTTTCCACAGAGAACGACGTGTCACAGCTTCCTCTGCGAGATGAAGCTCCGCCCAGAGACGCCAATGTGGCGGCTGACAGAGTCGAGGCCGTCCTCGAGCCCTGAAAGGAAGAGTAGCGGCATCTTCATCATCACACCATCTTCATCTTCATCACATCATTGTCATCACACCATATTCATCACACCATCTTCATCTTCATCACATCATCGTCATCACACCATCTTCATCATACCATCTTCATCACATCATCATCATCGTCATTACATCATCATCATCACACCATCGTCATCACACCATCTTCATCACATCATCACATCATCATCACACCCTCTTCATCACATCATCATCACACCATCTTTATCATCATCACATCATCGTCATCACATCATCACACCATCCTCAGCACACCATCTTCATCACATCATCACATCATCATCACACCCTCTTCATCACATCATCATCATCACACCATCTTTATCACATCATCATCATCACACCCTCTTCATCACATCATCGTCATCACATCATCACACCCTCTTCATCACATCATCATCATCACACCATCTTCATCACACCATCTTTATCACATCATCATCATCACTCCATCTTCATCACATCATCATCATCACACCATCTTCATCACACCATCTTTATCACATCATCATCACACCCTCTTCATCACATCATAATCACATCATCATCATCACACCATCTTCATCACATCATCATCATACCATCTTCATCACATCATCGTCATCACACCATCTTCATCATCATCACATCATGGTCATCACACCATCTTCATTACACCATCATCACACCATCTTCATCACATCATCGTCATCACACCATCTTCATCACACCATCATCACACCATCTTCATCATAACATCATCATCACAACATCATCATCACACCATCATCATCGTCATCACACCATCTTCATCACACAGTCTTCATCACATCATCGTCATCACACCATCTTCATCACATGATCTTAATCACATCATCATCATCACACCATCTTCATCACATCATCGTCATCAGACCATCTTCATCACATCATCGTCATCACACCATCTTCATCACATCATCATCACATCACATCATCATCATCACAACATCTTCATCACATCATCATCATTACATCATCATCATCACACCATCATCATTACATCATCATCGCACCATCTTCATCACATAAAATTGCAGAATCATCAAAATTAACAAATCTTACAAAAGTTTAAATTAAATTAAACATTTAAATGAAATTGAATTTAAATTAAATGACAAAATAATCCTAACCTTAAAATAAATTAAATGCATTTTACAAAAACTATATTCAAATCAAATTCACTGGATTACAGAAATAATTTGAATTAAAAAAAATTAATTTACAAAACTAAATGAACCAATTCACAGATTTAACAGTAACTTTACAAAATTAACAACATAAAATTTTAATCAAAACAACTATTTAAGTGAACTTACTTTATCCAGGAAATCTCTGTCAGGTCTCTCCTCCACCTGGACACACACACACGCACACACACACACACACACACACACGCACACGCGCATACACACACACACACACACACACACACACACACACACTTGATTGATGCTTTGTTACCATGGTGACCCTGCTACTAACAGAAACTGTGAGGATGTTCACTGTGGTTTAAATGGATTCTAACAAACTTTATTGTTCGAAAAGAAGAGTTAAAGAGGAGAACCAGAGAGGAGAACTAGAGAGGAGAACCAGAGGAGACCAGAGAGGAGAACCAGAGAGGAGAACCAGAGGAGAACTAGAGAGGAGAACCAGAGGAGACCAGAGAGGAGAATCAGAGAGGAGAACAAGAGGAGAACTAGAGAGGAGAATCAGAGAGGAGAACCAGAGGAGAACTAGAAAGGAGAACAAGAGGAGAACCAGAGAGGAGAACCAGAGGAGAACTAGAGAGGAGAACTAGAGAGGAGAACCAGAGGAGACCAGAGGAGAACTAGAAAGGAGAACCAGAGGAGAACTAGAAAGGAGAACAAGAGGAGACCAGAGAGGAGAACCAGAGGAGACCAGAGAGGAGAACCAGAGGAGAACTAGAAACAAACATCCTAGGAGACCAGAGAGGAGAACCAGAGGAGACCAGAGAGGAGAACCAGAGGAGAACTAGAAAGGAGAACCAGAGGAGAACCAGAGAGGAGAGGGGCAGACGGACACACAGACACCCAGAGATAAGAGCTCACCACTGGGCTTGCACGAGCAGAACTGGCCCTAGAGGAAGCTCGAGAGCTGGAGCCCAGAAACCCACTGTAGTCTGAAGGCTGAGGAGGGGAGGGGTGGGGGGTGGCGGGGGGGGGGATATTAGTTGATTAGTTGAAAAGATTATTAATCAGAAACTTATTGGTAAGTGATGGATTATTTTTCGGTTGTACAAAGCAAACAGGTGTCACTCTGGACATTTTATAAACTAATAATCAATAATAAACAGTTGTTAAATGGATTGATTGATACAGATGTGACACTGTTTTATCTACTGCACTTTACTCCATACATCTACTTATTGATCTACGTCTGTCAGTTTTCATCTATTGATCTACTGACTACAACAAAGACAGGAAATGATGTCAGAGACTGACCCTGTGGCGGAGAGTGCGAGGAGCTTCAGAGTACATCACTGAGGGCTACAGGTGAGAACAACCAAACTCCATTTAAGACTGTACTGCCTGTCACAGCTGGTAACAGAGGTTACCAAGGTAACAGAGGTTACCTAGGTAACAATTCATCTCTTAATTTTTTATTGCTTTATATTTTTATCTCTCTCCTCCTGATTCACGAGTGATTTTCATATTTCATCATCTGTTTCTTATCTTCAGTTAACAGGAGCACAGATGTGAACTCCAGCTGTTATTGATTATTGATCAGGTGCAGTCTGATCATCTGTGTGTGTTAACCCTTTGGCCTGTTATCCTCCCACTGCAGTGAGCAGTGACTGAACCACAGCCTGACAACCTGCTGTATATTTTTATTATTATTATTATTATTATTATTATTATTATTATTATTATTATTATTATTATTATATTACAGCACATTATAGATATTATATTATTATACACATCTACACACTTCAGCTTGTTTAATTCACCAGCATCAAATAAAACAGTCGAACAGATATAAAACTTTATTAACTTTATTATTTTACCATTAAAGTAATTATAACCTAATATTAGTTTTATGTAACAGCTTCAGGGGAGTGGTCTCTAGAGGTCTGTGCAGGTTCTCAGTCTCAGGTGAGTGGAGGGAAACTGCACCTGTGACTGACAGGTGAGGACACCATCCCTCCACTCCTTCGTTACAGTCAGAGCTCTAACCAACCAGGTGACATCAGTGGCCATGGAAACGAGCTCACAGAGGTTAAACACCTGGTCTCCTCAGACTCTGGGGTCAGAGGTCGAGTTTCCCTCTTCTCACCTGTCTCTGCACAGTATTTCATCTGTTCAGTTTAAACGATTAAATCTGTGTCAGCCGATGTTAATTAATAATCTGCTCTGTCCTGTGGTTAATTAACTTCTATATGTTTTCATGAATAACAGACATTAAACAACCGGTCTGCTGACTGAGACCAAATCCATGTAGTGATGTGGACTCACCCTGAGGCTGCCGCGGCTCCCCACAGACATCCTCTCCTCATCATCTGAGATCTGAAAACACACCACACAACATCAGAGACCAGGTCCACATCCTCAGAACCTGATCCAGACCCTGATCCAGATCCATATCCTGATCCTGATCCAGACCCAGAGCCAGATCCTGATCCAGATCCAGATCCAGACCTTGATCCTGATCCAGATCCTGATCCAGACCCTGATCCAGACCCAGCAGGTTTTTGCTCTGTATTTAACCTTCAGTACGTTAACTAGACTGAGATCAGATTTACAGGAGGGGGCTGATGTGGTGACACCTGTGGTCACTGGTGGTAACTGCAGGTGTGTTCTCATCACAGAGAGCACACCTGTAATCATAGGTGAGACTGACACAAGAAGCACAGGAAGAGGAACTAAGAGACTGAAGCAAACAGGAAGTAGAAGGTACAGACCGAAGCGTGTCTCCTCGAGAGGCGGGAGTACCGCTCACTGTCCTCCTGAAACGCCACGAAGAAGAAAGACAACAGGAAGAGGTTAAAGAGCTCAGACTGCAGAAGAAGATAGACAGCTACTGATGACAACTGTCTGATGTCAGAGAAGAAGAAGAAGAAGAGGAAGAAGAAGCAGAAGAAAATGAAGAAGAAGAAGAAGGACAGTTACTGATGACGACTGTCTAATGTCAGAGAAGAAAAAGAAGAAGAAGCGGAAGAAGAAGCAGAAGAAGAAGAAGAACAGGAGGAAGGACAGTTACTGATGACGACTGTCTAATGTCAGAGAAAACCACAAAGGCTGCTGGGTACAGAGGAAACCTGACAGTCAGAGAGCAGGGACAAATCACACCTGCATATAAAACTACAGTCACATAAACAGGCTGTATAAAAAAAAGTAAACAGGCAGTAAACAGGCTGTAAATTAAACAGTAAACAGGCATTAAACAGGCTGTAAATTAAACAGTAAACAGGCAGTAAACAGGCTGTAAATTAAACAGTAAACAGGTACTAAACAAAAGAGTACAGTCAGTAAACAGGCTGTAAATTAAACAGTAAACAGGTAGTAAACAAAAGAGTAAACAGGCAGTAAAGCAGACTGTGATGAACTGTGATCAGCTCTCAGACATGGATTAAACCAGCTGTTAATCCCAGTGTGAGTCTGTTTGAGCGCAGAACAACAACAACAACAACAACAACAACAAACATCCTGCTGCCATGACACATGAAAACCTCACAACTCCTCCTGTTTTACATGGAGTTTAAATGGAGCTTTGAGATGTGTTATTGGGTAAACTGGTTAAACTGGGTCAGATGGTCTGATTGACAGATGGGTTTTGTTCTTAATAATAATGTGACATTTGATTATTAGTATGATCCTGTATTATAATGTTATAATGACACTGTGTGAATGTTTTTGTTAAATGAGGTAACATAACATGAGGTTTGGTTCTACATTATTTTAGATGATAATACGTGTATGAAGATATATATTACATTGTGCTGTATTATAAACTAAATCTATATCTGTTCTATTCTCTTATATTCTATCTATTCTAGGGTTGTCACGATACTACAACTTCAAACTCGATACGATACCCAGGAAAATACTTGATACTCGATTCCATTTTCGATACCATGGGGAGAAAAAAATGACCCTAACCCTTTTTTAAATAAAGATTAGAAACAATACAAGCAATAACATCAATGACAACACTACTTTTAGGTTGTCTGAGGTAGTGGAAAAAAAACAACAGTAACCGTACTGTAAGGTGTGTATATATATGACATGCAAATGTATTCAGCTACAGCCCTGTTTATTTTCTGTGCTTCTGGTGACTTGGCACCATATTTTCGTTGCTGATCAAACAGAGTTGGGAGGGTAGGCTGACGCTGTTTCTGTCGAGTTGCTGGTCGACTTTTTTTCAGCTTCAATCTGGGACTTTAAGAGAAATATAACACTTTTCAGACACAAATAATTGTGTTATTAACGTTACAGATGGGCAGGACTGATAACATTTGCTGCCTTGCTCCCACATTAATGTGTCGTTTTATTATTAGCCATAGCCGCTAGCCGCTAGCTTTTGCTTTTTTCATTGTCAACTAAAACAGGTTGTGAAGTTCCTTCAGCAGCAGCACTCACCATGTTAATTTAGCTTTATGCTGGAGACACCAGCTCAGTGTTGTGAACGTCAACTAGCGTTCATGTGTTCAGCTGCTAGTGGGGGGAGGGGGTGTGTGCCTGTCTGTCTGCAGTGCTGCTGTATGAAGCTGCGGTCAACTGGAGGAGGTGAAGACAGAACTGTTGTATCGATGCTGTTGCAAATGAGTATCTGATTAAAGTCACTCATTTTTACAATGATTAGTATCTGAGTATCGATTTTTTTTGACAAACCTAATCTATTCTATCTATATCTATGATAAACTACATTATATAATGTCACAGTTTGTTACTGTGGCTGTTACATGTTTAACACTGGAATGACTTTTGGAGATACAAGGTTCTCATGGGTCAGACAGCTGCCAGAGTCCTACCATCCACTGCTCAATGTGACCCCACTTATTATCCAGACCATAATACTTCTGCGGGGGGGGGGCAGAGAAAGAGAGGGGGAAGGGGAGTAAAAATGAAGTTAAAATGAAAGAACAAGATGAAAAAGATAAAAGCATGAAAACTTCAGGTGTGTTTGTTTTCATCTTCTGGCCGCGGCAGGCAGGTGGGGCTTAATGCATCAGGTAAACTGACCTCAGAGATCAGAGTAAACCCCACCTGGCTGGAGCACCCAGAGCAGTAACACAGTGAGTATTTAAGGTGGAATGGAGGAGTTAGTCGTACCTTGTGGCTGTGGAACAGCTACAGGAGGCAGGAGGAGCAACAAGAGGAGAGACAGGAGGTCAGAGGTCACAGGTCAGTGATGAACACATGAATAAACAGACTGCAGCTCACGGTTGGTCATCTTTGTTTACACTTTACACACAAATCATATTTAACACATTCAACTGTAATAACTACAAACTGTATTACTATAAACTGTAATAACTACAAGCTGTAATAACTACAAACTGTAATAACTACAAACTGTAATAACGTCAAACGGTATTACTATAAACTGTAATAACGACAAGCTGTAATAACTACAAACTGTAATAACTTCAAACCGTATTACTATAAACTGTAATAACTACAAGTTTTAATAACTAAACTGTAATAACTTCAAACGGTTTTACTATAAACTGTAATAACTACAAACTGTAATAACTTCAAATGGTATTACTATAAACTGTAATAACTACAAGTTGTAATAACTAAACTGTAATAACTTCAAACGGTTTTACTATAAACTGTAATAACTACAAACTGTAATAACTAAACTGTAATAACTTCAAACGGTATACTATAAACCGTAATAACTACAACTTGTAATAACTAAACTGTAATAACTACAAACTGTAATAACTTCAAACAGTTTTACTATAAACTGTAATAACTAAACTGTAATAACTAAACTGTAATAACTATACTATAATAACTATAAACTATAATACCTATAAACTGTTATAACTACAAACCATAATAACTACAAACTAATTACTGTAAGAACTACAAATTGTAATAACTATAAACTATAACTACTTTTAGTTTCAGAGCTACAAAGTCATATTAGTAATTTCACTTATTTCATTATAAATACATATATAATATATAATATCATTAAAAAGGCTTTACTAGAGGCCAATTATCTTAATTTCATTATTGTTGTTGTTGTTTATGTTTTATTTAATAAGGAAACGTAACACTGACAGAATTACTGTTAATTTAACTTTGCTGTAATGAGATGTTGTTGTTACAAGAAGGAAAGTTAATTGTTTTACAGAGAAATGTTAATGAGACAGTTTCTCCATATAAAATCAAACTAAATTGATTATTGTGAAAAATTTAAACTGTTGCTATAAAATAACTTAAATGATCAGGCTGCTGCAGCATCAGTTATATTCAGTCTGAGCTGGTGAAATGTTAATAAAGATAGTTTAAATAAAGTTACTCACCACACTGGGAGCAGACATCATAAGATCCAAACATCAGTAAACCAGCAGCTGACTGACTGTGACTCATGATTAAAGCTGATTCACACTCACTATTACCTCACAAACAGTGTGACTTTTGACCCCAGGGTCAGGTAAAAGCACCTTGAGCTGCTCAGGTTTTCTAATGTTGAGGTGTCGACAAACTCTTCACCTGTAAAACTACAGAACTCTTAATATCATTCTTTATCTTTCTTCTTCTGGAACTACAATTCCTATAATGCTCCTGTCTGTCATTGGAGTTCTGCAGCCTGGACCTTTATTGTGAAGGGACATCAGAGATCATGACATACACAGGAAGTCCTGATCAGTCCTCAGTCCTGATCCGGCTCACTGCTTTGGGTTTAAGGACTTGTTGTTATGACAACAGCTGCAGCTTCTGTAATGAGGAACCATATTTCAGAATAAAAGCCCACTGACCTCCTTCTGTTGTCTCTCCAGCTCCTTCATCCTGATCTCCCGGGCCTCGGCCCTCGCTGCTCGCTTCGCCGCCAGCCTCGCCTCCGCCTGACACACACATCAACACGTCGTTGATCATTACCAATAATCAGTCAGCATTCTTTAACCCTTATAGGTGGTGCTTCACAGAAAAAGAAAAACTGCATCTTAATAATAATTAATATTTTCTCTACATTTGATATGAAACATGAAAGAAAATTAACAAAATAAAAGTCCAGTGCAGCCTATTCCTAATCTGATCAATACGCATTGATCTCATCATGGACTGTCATTGTTTCACACAGACCCTCCACCCCCCACACACATACAGACACTCACACTTCACTGATCCTCTGTGTTTACAGATTATTTAGAAACTAATGAAAATCGTTTTAGTTTTATTTTGTATTTTTTAATATTCATGGACTTAATTATCCTTTTTTTCTCTTTTTTATACATATTTTCAAATGTTTTTAAAAAACTTAAAAATAAATAATATTTTGTAGGAAAAAAAAGAAGTAAAAATGAAAAATAAGTTTCTGTGTCTGGTTTCTCAGGTGAGTTCAGTCGGAGTTTCCTCCAGCAGGGGGCATGTCTCTCTGTTCACACAGGAGGAATGTGGACCATCCACCTGAGACACTCCCTCCATCACCATGACAACAACACACCCTGATACCTGAATACTTGCTGATGACACACCTGTGCTCACCTGACACACCTGCACAAATTCAGTCTTTACAAGTTTATTTAATGTCCAGTTTAAATGTACACATTTTCACCAAGAAAATATTTATATAAACATTTTTTTTTAACTATTTTTCCTGCTTTTATTGTTAAAACTCCTCTAAATGTATTTTATTTGTTTGTTTATAAATACAGATATAAAAACACATAAATACAAACAAATATTGTACATTTTTATTTGTAACTGTTTGTCTCAAAAGTCACCAATTTCATTTATATATTTTTGTTCTTTATTTTTTCTTTAATCAAAACATTTATTTAACATATTAAGGCCTACATACATATATATATATATATATCTATATATATACCTATATATATAATATATACACACACACACAAGCTCATAGAGAGCTGTGGTAAAATAAACTGTGTATAAACTGACTGGTGGTCTGATCCAGATGATGTAGAGATCTGTGCAGATTAATGTTTGTGCTGCTGCTCAGGATTAAAGGATGGAGGTCACTCAAACACACACCAGACTCCATTTAAAAATGACTTTATTTAATCCGTTAATATTGTTTTTATATTACATTTACTTATATTCTACTTTGTTTGTTTGAATTTTCTTTAGGTTTGTGTCTCTGTTTCTTTATTATTATTATTTTATTTATTGTCAAAGTAAATTTAGGTTTGTTTGAGCTTTACATTTTGTTTGTTTGTTGATATAATATTGTGTACATGTTTGTTGTGTGTGTTCTGGTTATAACTTGTCTTGTCATGGTTGTTTCTGTGTGTGTTTGATCTTGTCGTCCACATCTCTGCATGTTTCCATCAAACTGGTTTCACTGGTTCAGTGTGACCAAACCAGTTTGAAGTCAGTTTGTTCACCAGCTGAAGGAAACTGAGATCAGCTGTTTTACCTGCAGATCTCACCTGAACCCTTCAACAGCTCAACACTGAGACTTTAAAGACAGACATGAGGTCAGAGGTCAGAGCTGAACTGTCAATGATTGACCTTCAAACTATCATCAGACAGAAACCTAAAGTCAAGCAGCAGATCCTCTCATGACGTTTCAATTCATCCATTCACAGAATAAATAAATAAATTTCTCCAGATAATTAATTCATTAACGAGGTTTCAGACACACACTGTGTTTCCATCCTCCTGTGTGAACGAGCCTTTTCTAACATCATCATCTGACACTTTTTCACTTGTCATTATCACTCATGTTAAAATCATTTCAATTCATTTTCCCTCATAGACTTCACTCATCATCATTAACAGTAACAATAATAATACTAATAATAATAATACACAGTGACTAGACTCTGTACTCAGCGGATCCACCTCAGATCCTCTCAGGTTCAGGTGTAAACACATCTGGACTGTGGTAGACAGATGTTTGAGGTTTTCATTATTGTTTCGAGTCACTGAGTGAAACTGATGAGGAAATGATTTTGACCAGATTAACAGAAAGAATGTAACGTCACTCTGACATCACTTCCTGTCTCTTGAGTCTCACTGCATCAGTAACCACAGAAGAAGAAGAGCTTCACATTCCAGCTTCCGTATGTAGGTCGACCACAACAATGACTGCAGCAGAGATTCGGCCTGAACATAAAGACTCTTCTGTTTCAAGAGCAGAGACGTCTGATTAATGACCATCATCATCATCATCATCATCATCATCATCACTGTCATCATCGTGCAATACAGAGGACCAGCTCTGACTCTGGGTCACATTTTCAAACATTATATTGTGCTTTTATTTTATTAGTCAACAACCTCAGGAAGAGCTCATGTTATTGTTGTTATTATTATTATCATTATTATTATTATTATTATTATTATTATTATGTCATTATTTTCTACTTTACTCATTTGACTGTTTATCAAAAGAATAATTTATAATACTGTAACATATAAAAAGAATACAATGTAAAACATTTAACAAAAAGATTGTATGAAAAGAAAAACTTTTAATAATTAAATAAAATTTGATGAAATGAAAAGTGATATTTCTTTTATTTTGTAAATTTATTCTTTTATTTTCAAAAAAAATCATTTTAATTTCATAAATGTTTGCATTTTATTATTATTATTATTATCATTATTTGGAAAAAAACAATATAGGGAGGGATCATGGTAGTTGTTGTCTTCACCACCAGTGGTTCAGGAGGTTTTTATTGGAGCTGAATTCTCCTCTCCACAACAAACAGATCAGCTGATTAAAACCAGTAAATATAAATAAGAATAAAGTCTGAACCAGTAAAAGTGAATAAAACATGTTCATGTTAAATTCCGTGTTTCTCTAACACAGCTCAATGAACACAGGACGTCTCTGAGCTGCTGCTTTCTCTAGTAAATGAATATCCAGATGTCTGAATAAGAAATAAATAAAAAACTTGATACAGTGCAAATATTCAGTGAAAAAGGTGAATCTTCAAAATGTGACATAGAACTGGAGAAAACGTTTAGACTTTTTGATGTGGAAAAGTTACAAATTATAACTTTGATTTTCGAACTTTTTACTTCTCATTTAATATGTATGTATTATTTATTTAGGGGGGAGGCGGGGTGGCCGTGGGGTCCCGGGCCCCGAACAGGTGAGTCCGACAGTGTCTGTGAAAACATCACCGGATGATATATGAATGTTCCGCCGCTCTAAGATCACTTAACTGCGGGTTGTTCCGCAGTATGACTATGACTGATCTGACCTCCACTGCTGTGATGAATTCTCACTCATATTAAATCAATAAAATATCAAGAGATCGATAAGGAGCCTCACCTCCCGTGCGATCTGGTTGAGGGCATCATCCTCGGCGGTCAGCTTCTCCCGGTTCGGGATCCTTTTCCTGCCCGGTCCCTGAGTGCCCATCGTCTGGGGAACTGTCACAGAGGTCTCCGTCAATCCGACACGCAGAGTCACGTTCAAAAGAGACGGGAAACTCAGTGAAGCTGTTTGACTGTTGAAGTCTGAATCCTCGGATGATATCCGGCGGTCAGCTGCTCTCGGTTCTGGATCCTGGTCTTGTCAGGTACTCAAGTCCTCATCGTTCGGGCTGAGTGCCGAATTACCCACCGAGGTCTCCTTTGATCCAGAACAAACGGACCTGATAGGCAGAGTAAGAAAAATAAAAAATAAATACGTTTCAGTTTAAAACCCGGTGTTTTACCGATGCTATCCGGTGGTCAGCTCCTCCCGGTTCTGGATCCTGAAGTCTACATCGCTCAGGAGGTATTTATACACATACCGAATAATACACAAAGGTCTCCTGTAGTCCAGACCGACGGGACTCGATGTTCAGACCCGGGAAAATACTAAATGAAGCTCTCTGGGATTAAAACAGACGTTTTCCTGACGCTATTCGGCGGTCAGAGGACGTCCAGAGCAGCCGCGGGCCGAGCTGCCGCCGTTGTTCATCCTGTTTTCGCTAGCTATCGTTAGCTAGCTGTCAAAGTCACTACCGGAAAACCGGAGGGGAAAACACGTTAAAAACACCGGTCGTTGCTGCGGTTGCCTGTTGCCGCCGTTTACATCCGCCAGTGAGGAGAAAGCAGTCACCGCAGCGTCGTTAAAACCGCCGGTAAGCTCGTTAATCCGCTATTGTCAGCAGCCGCTGCGAACATTTGAAGCTCGTTGGAAAGACGCGGGTCTTCTTACCCGCAGGTCCCTGAAGTACACAGCAGCGACGGTGTCAGGTGAGCCGCAGGTGGGCCGGTACCGGTCCGTAAACACATCCCGATATGACACCACAATGTACAGCGGAGGGAGGATGCTTTTATTGTGGTGGGAAGGATGTTCACAGCGTCAAGTTACACACATTTACATACATAAAGGGAGTTAAGGTTTTCAAAATAAAACGAGGATAATCGAAGAATTGTTTTGTTCTTTTAAACATTATTTTAGTTTATGGAAAAAGTTCAGTTGTTACATGTTAAGGTATTTATAAATAAGAATCTTTAAAGTAAAGGTCCGATTTAGTTATTAAAACTGTTTCAAAAAATATCAACAATAATACCAATAATGAGTATATTTTATGTAAATAATATTTTAATTAATTAAATGTATATGGCATAAATAAAAAAAATTAAATTGTTGAAATATAACAAAAAACAATATATATATAATCTCATAACTAAGTATAATATAATGTTGAAATATAATATTGTATATAATTACATGTAGTTGATAATAAATCATACAAACAATGCATAAAGCTATATGTTTGTACATTAGAGGGTCAATACCTCAGTATCAATAACTGATAATCACACAGCTGATCTTATAGTTTATTGATCAGAAGCCAAAAACTGACAGAGGGTAACACTTATCACATGTTCTTATTATAATCAATACAGTATTGACTTTAATCTATAATCAATAAATCAAAGAAACTAAACATTTAAATCTCCTAAACAATATTTCCAAACATCACAGATTATTAATACTGATCACTCATACTGACTGTCAGTCAATCATTATCAATGTTTATTTATTCAGCAATTAGAAACGACACTAGAAAAATGTTTCTAATTAGTTTCTGCTGATTGTTGATTAAATTTCACTGACATTTTACAGGAACAGATAAAATTCTTTCACTCATTTAACTCAGATTTCTTTTTGTTTTATTCTAATATTTATTTTTATTAATTTTCTTATTTAATGTCATATGTGTTTAAAATATAGAGTTTCTCAGTTTAAACTTTTGTAGTTTTATTTTTGTTTAAAGGAGCTACATGTTCTCAGTCCATCAGGAGAGGATGAAGAGGACGATGGCCATCATCATCATCATCACCTGCTGCTGCCATGTTTGTGGTCAGAGAAAACTCATAAAGCTATGGAGTTAGTTATTTTTAAAATGCCTTTTCAAATAGTTTTTCAAATTCTATTATGTATTCATGAATTAATAAATGCACCTATTTATAAATAGTTTATTTCATGAATGTTTTATGCTGTTTTTGTAAATCCATTTTTAAATCTGAAATATTTATTTATTAATTAATCATTCATTTATAAATTCTTTTTGTAATTCCTGTTTATAATGTCTATTAAAATATGAAATTAAGGAAATGCTTTATTACTTTTCCTGTGACGTCCCTGCTCCTCCATATATAGCAACTTCTAGTAAAGTTAAGACTGTGATTTTTAATAGTTTTTTTTTATTGGTTGATATAATGTTTGTGTGAGATTTTATATTTAATTTTTATGCTGTTTACATTTATCCTATTTATCTTTTATCTTGTCATTTTACTCTTTATACTTTTGCTCTTCTTTTATCTATTTTCAATTTTTTCTAAATGTTTTCTATTTAAAAAATGTCTTCTTGTGTGTGATTGCTAATGTGACAAATGAATTATAATAAATCTTTGACTCTTTGAGGAAACATCTGAAACTGTAGAACATAAACTGACTTCTGTAAATGATGTTTGTGTTTCTAAATAAATATTAATCAATATGTTTGATTAAGTTTCAAGTTAACTCTTCTCTCTCCAGGTGGGATGGTTGAAAGCACCAGAAAAGCTTAGTAAGCTGACTTGTTTTAGTAAGCTGTGTGTTTTTTCGAGACCTGTATTATTATCATTATTATTATTATTGTTGTTGTTGTTGTTGTTTTACAACAGGTTCATTAAACATTTTAGAGATGATGGATTGTGGCTTCTGTTCTGTGCTTCATGTTTTTAAAGTTCTACAGTCTGTTCTAAAGTTTTACACAATTAAAGGTCACAACATGTTTCTATTGGTCTCAGGCTGTTGTTGTCTGGTTCTCTGGTTGGTTCTCTGGTTCTTAGGTTCTCTGGTTGGTTCTCTGGTTCTTAGGTTCTCAGGTTGTTTTTGTCTGGTTCTCTGGTTGGTTCTCTGGTTCTCGGGTTGTTTTTGTCTGGTTCTCTGGTTGGTTCTCTGGGTGGTTCTCTGGTTCTCAGGTAGGTTCTCTGGTTCTCTGGTTGGTTCTCTGGTTGGTTCTCTGGTTCTCCAGTTGGTTCTCTGGTTGGTTCTCAGGTTGGTTCTCTGGTTCTCAGGTGCTTTTCTGGTTCAGTACATGTTTGATTTCCACTGAGCTCCGTTAGTTTCTAGAACAAAATAAATCACATTAAATATTAAATATAATAATTAAATGAAGTCATGTATTAAAACCTGCAGCGATTCATTTAGATAAATAAAATCACTTTAATCACATGGATGAAACTTGATACATTTTATAATAAACATAAACAGCTGTTGAAGACAAACATAAACAAAGCGGAGGGGAGGAGTCAGGCGGTGTTGGGGTCTTACTGGTGAAATCCTGTGTGGACTTCTTCCTCTGATGAGATCCACCGACCTGCGGAGACACGTCACAGGTTCAAACTGACTGAACACGGCATAATTTCCTGCCACAAACCTTCTCATGTGATTATAGAAAAACAATAATCATATATAATAGATCAAATAAACGCAGGTTATTATTGTCAATAAAATCAGACCTTCTTCTTGGAGCCAGTGGCGCTCAGAGCAGCGATCTTACTCTCGATGTCAGACACCTGGAAAACACAAACTGTAATTCATTAACCAAATCTAAACTTGCTGAGACTCAAGCACAGAAGAAGAGACAGATTCTGTGGTCCAGGTGTGGGTCTGGACCGGACCCACCTCGCTCTCAGCGCTCTGGACTCTGGCGGCCGTCAGTGCCACCACGTCCTCCAGCTCCGACAGCTCTGAGTCCGTGGTCCCTCCGAAGCGGTTCTTGGCGCTCTGCTCCAGTTTGCGAAGCTTGGACTCCAGTTCGTAGGACTGACCGGCAGCGATGTACACCTGGACAGGTGAGAGGACAGACTCACCTGTGTGACACACCTTCAGACCGCTGACAGTGATGGTGACAGGGCTGAGTATCACACACTGGTTCTCTAGTGGACTAACTAAGACCAGAATCCACTCAGCTGATCCAGGTCACTGGTTCTGACCCGGGTTTGAAAACAGTTTGTATTGTGCAGCTGTTGCATCATGGGAAAAAGACATGTATGTCATGACCTTTTCAGTAACTAGTGAGGGTCTGCAGATCTGATAAGACCAGGGCCAGAACTCCAGCTGGACTCTGATGGAACCAGAACCAGGCAGTATGTTTCACCCAGATACGCTGATACCCAGCCCTGTGGTGAGCTGGGGGAGGGGGGGTGTCAAGCCAGTCCAGACATTTGTCATGCTTCAGACGAGGCGGGGGGGGGGGGGGGGGGGGGTGGCCTTAGTTTGACCTTCAGACAAAGAGATTGGGGGGGGGCGTGCAGTTGATGTTTGAAGCTTACATTTTCCTCAAGTTCCCTGAAAGCATCATCAGCTTGCTTTAGGTCAGAGCCCACAGAGTGTGAGCGCTCGCTGGGCTCTGATAGGCCGAGCTCGACCAGCGCCTTTTCTGTGGCATTAATGGTTCTCAGGACCTCAGTGGTGAGGTCACAGAGGGCGGCGGCTGTCGATCTCTGAAAGCCATGAGGAGGACAGATGTTAGCAGCTGGAACACATAACCTGGTCCTGCAGCAGCTGCCGGCCTGGAGTCTGGACAGGGTGGAAGGTGTGAGGGGTGGGGGTGGGGGGTGGAGGCTCAGGGTCAGTGCTCAGTGCTGCCTTCAAGGTCTCTACGGCAGCAGAGCTTCAGTGATGTCATTACTTATAAAAAGTTTATTATTGACATGTAGTGATCAATCAGCAGCTGTAATGAACACATGGTTCATTGTAAATATTTTAAATATATATATATATTATTGTACTACATACTGTATATTATATATTGTTTATTATATATTATATATTATATATTATTGGTGGTGGACACAGATCCAGACTTAGCTGGCCCTCCAGAAACCAGAGACACATTTAGAAACCAATGTCCATCTAATGAGAACAGGAGAGCCACTGGGGGTCAAAACACCTTAAGTCTTCTGCTTTCCTTGAAATGTTCACTGAAGTATTGAACTGTAAAAGACCTTAGTGACCAAACTAAGGGGAAAACTAATGGTGGATCAGAGAGAGAAAACAATTGCATTTTATGACTGAAGCTGAAAGTTTCAGCAGATGATCTTCACACCTGAAGTTTTACTTCAGATATGGAGGCAGTTTGTTTCTGACCTCTGCTGACCTTCAGAGGTCATTGACCTCAGCATTACATTCCTCCTTTACTTTATAACCATGTTTATCTTTGTTCTAATAAAGATTATTATTTGCTGCTGTAGTCATGTAACATTGTTTTTATTAGAGCACCAGCTGCAGACACTCCCCCCCGCCCCCCATTTCAAGATGTTAATGTAACTACAGCTTGGACTCATTAGTCCAGGGGGGTCCTCACCTGTCTCCTCTCTAGTGTCTGGTCCCTTGTCTCTGGTCTCTGGTCTCTGGTATCTGGTCCCTTGTCCCTTGTCCCTTGTCTCTGGTCTCTGGTCTCTGGTCTCTGGTCTCTGGTCTCTTGTCTCTTGTCTCTTGTCTCTTGTCTCTTGTCTCTTGTCTCTTGTCTCATGTCTCATGTCTCATGTCTCATGTCTCATGTCTCTGGTCCCTTGTCTCTTGTCTCTTGTCTCTTGTCTCATGTCTTATGTCTCATGTCTCTGGTCCCTGGTCTCTGGTCTCTGGTCCCTTGTCCCTTGTCTCTTGTCTCTTGTCTCTGGGCTCTGGGCTCTGGTCTCTGGGGTCTAGGCAGGCAGCTGCTGACAGTCTGTTAGTCAGGAGGCAGTCATGCAGTCTGAATCTACTTCAGTCCAGATCCGGACTGATCCAGACTCTTTGAGACTCTAAAGAGCTCAGAGCCACAGGATCAATATTGACCATGATATCAGATCTTGTTATGATCATCAGTTATTAACGTTTCAATAATAATAATAATTATAATGATAATAATAATCTTTTCTGATAACATCTCTGTTGGTAGAATTTTATGTTGGAGCTCTTTGTCCTGAATATGAACATTTTAAATAATATTATTATTGTTTATTATTATTATTATTATTATTATTATTATTATTATTATTATTATTATTATTATTATATGATCAGTTGCATATATTGTACATTATTGTTGTATACAGTATATTATATATTATCATTGTATATTATTATTGTATATATCACACAGTAGTGATGTGTGTGACCTGTTGTCGGGGGGAAGCTGAGCCATGCTGTGAATTCATCACAAACAGGAACCTGGACATTTACAAAACATGAAGAAGCAGCAAGATCAGAGAGAGAGTCTGAGACCTGGTCTCAGAACCAGGTTCAGGTCCTCAGTAAACCAGGACTCAGTACAGTTGACGAGACAGCGGTTCTGACCCAGTCCTACCTTCTGGGCCTCAGTCGGCATCTCGTCGCTGGACGAGCTCAGGTCTTTGTCCTTCAGAGAGTCCAGAGTGACCACCGGACCCCGGACTCCAGCCAGACCTTTACCCAGAGAGAAAGACTTCTTCTCGTCCTCCGAGGACAGACCCTTATCACTCAGGTTTCCCGCCAACTCACTGAGCTTTCTCCTCAGCTTCTCCTCCTCGTTCTGAGTGGACGGAGTGGACTCCTGGAGACAGACAGAGGACATGAAGGACAGACAGAGGACATGAAGCTCAGGGCAGACAGAGGACACTGTCTCACCTCATCAGCAGGCGTCATCTTCTCCTCCAGGCGGCTCAGCAGACTTTCGATGGCCGACATGCGTTTGTTCAGCTCGTTGATCTAAGAGCAGAAGAAATAAAGGGGACAATTCAGAGATGTCCGCCAGGTCTAAATCTAAATGTCCTGCTTGTGTCTGTGTTTGTGTCTGTGTCTGTATCTGTGTCTGTGCTTGTTTGTGTCAGTGTTTGTGTTTGTGTCTGTGCTTATTTGTGTCTGTGTCTGTGCTTATTTGTGTCAGTGTTTGTGTTTGTGTCTGTGTCTGTGTTTGTGTTTGTGTTTGTGTCTGTGTCTGTGTCTATGTCTATGTCTATGTTTGTTTATGTTTGTGTTTGTGTCTGTGTCTGTGTCTGTGTTTGTGTCTGTGTCTGTGTCTGTGTCTATGTCTATGTCTGTGTTTGTTTATGTTTGTGTCTGTGTTTGTGTCTCCATGTGTTTGTGTTTGTGTTTGTGTTTGTATCTGTGTTTGTGTTTGTGTCTGTGTCTGTATGTGTTTGTGTCTGTGTCTGTGTGTGTTTGTGTTTGTGTCTGTGTGTTTTTGATTGTGTTTGTGTCTGTTTGTGTCCGTGTGTCTGTTTGTGTTTGTGTTTGTGTCTGTGTTTGTCTATGTTTATGTCTGTGTTTGTGTGTGTTTGTGTCTGTATCTGTGTGTGTTTGTGTCTGTGTGTGTTTGTGTTTGTGTGTGTTTGTCTGTGTGTGTTTGTGTTTGTGTTCCGTCATCAGTAAAACACTGAGACCATGGTGGATTGTGATTGGTCAATGTCTCTTACAGGCGGGCCTTGTCCAAGGTTCTCCTGGGAGGAGGCTCTGCTGTTTTTACGGCGGTGGGGGGGTTGTTGATACATAGGGGGGTGTCTCTGGTACTCCTCCTCATCAGAGGTGTCGACGTACTGTTGCCGAGCAACCGACGAACTGATCTTAGACAGAGAGCGAGTCCGGACCATCCTGCTGTCTCCATATTCATCTGATCACACACAGGTGGATATGTACAGGTGAGTATGTGAAGGTCAGTATGTACAGGTGAGCATGCGAAGGTCAGTATGTATAGATGAATAAAATCTTACAAATGAAACAAATTCTACATAAAATAAAATGAAAATCTACATAGAAAAAATAAAACAACAAAATACAGTTGAAATAAAATAAAAACACATATGGAAGTATGATCGATATTAATGATAATAATTATAATAATGATAATAATAATGTATTGTTTCATCAGATACAGATACAGAAATATTCTTCATGTCTGTTGCTTCATTTCAGACATTGATCCTGACCCTGACCCTGACCCTGACCCTGAGGCCTGTACTACAAAGCAGGATTTGTGGTCATCAGGTAACTTCAGGTTTAACTCTGGGTTTTCAGTCCTATGACGTAAATCACCATGGTAACTTACGCTGAACTCCTCACCTGCTCCGGCGCAGGTTAACTTCAGAGGATCAGATAAAAACCTGTCAACAGCCCAACTACTGACCAATCAGATCACTGTAAAAACTGAGTCATCATTCCTACAGTATCCTGACAGGGACAAAACAGTTCACAATAAAGTGATCAATAATAACGAGCAGTGGATATAAAATATAAATCAGTGGAACAGATTTCTTGTTTGAGTCTTTCCATGTGTCACTCTGTTTTTAAAACAAAGCTTCTAATGAATTTACAGAGTTTATCACTAAATAAAATATAACAACTGTTAGAGCTTCATTTCACCTGAACACAGATTCTTTAATGGAGGATTCCTGCCAGTGATGAAGGTTTTACTCTCTTCTTCATCACTGAGCTCAGAACAACATGAGGAGACTCTGTGACCACGACTGGAGAGAAACCTGAACCTGTCAGGGTATGTGGTAAGTAGGGGTGGACCCAAAATGCAGCCAACACTTGGGGAACGGTGCAGACAGGTTTATTAAACAAAAGAACTTAAAAAACAAGCACAGGGAACAACAAGGAACAGCAGGCCAAAACACGAGAAGCACAGGGGATGACAACAGGCAACATGAACAGACTAAGGACAAACCGGACATGAACAGCTTGGGGACGAACCAGACATGAACGGACAACGCGACCAGATGATGACAAACCCAGAGATAAACAGACAAACCGACACAGACAAAGGGGAGCACAAAGACTATATGTATTATATATGTACTATATATATACAGGAGGCAAGGGTGATTGCACACAGGTGAAACACATTAGGGCGGGCCAGACAATCACCACACAGAAACAGGACCAAGACAGGAAGCAAAAACACTGACACACAAGGAAACCAATTACAAAATAAAACAGGAAGTGAGAAAAGTCCAAACAAAACTAACAAAAGGTGTCTGCCATAGCAAACCATGACAGAACCTCTGATGTCTTTGATTAGAACAATTAGTCTCACACTGTTAATTATTTCATCATTATAATGAACATTTCAGTCAGACTGACTCATTAGACATCAACTACTCCTTTCCTCTTTTCTCTCTCTCCTCTTTTCTTCCTCTCCTCTTCCTCTCCTCTGCAGCAGAAACAGTCTGACATTAACTTTAACTGTTTTCTCTGCATCACATGTTCATAACAGTTTGTTCATCATCAGACTGAAGAGTGAAAATACTCAAACATGATGATAATTCATGCACTTATTTACAATATATTTTACTCTGACTTTAAAAGAAATTATACTTAGACATGGAAATAATATTTTTTTATTCCAGTCGTGTGATCATATTGTCACATTTCACCTTGTTGAATATCACTTGTGGATGTGGTTATAACTGAACTTACCTTATCAACGTGTCTTCTCATATCATATTAAGAACTTCATTCATGGTTCTGACGATGCTGCTTATAATTAACAACTCTGCCTCTTTCACATGAACGCGCTTGTAACTGGACAGGTAAACCCAGGGTTAACTGTGCCAGGTGATAACCTGCTTCATAGTACAGGTTATCAGGACGGTCAATGTTAGGTTCAGTCAAGCCAGAAAACTAAAAGTTATCCTGGATATGTTGAACTTGCTTCATAGTACAGGCCTCTGACCCTGATCCTGATTGGTTCACTGAGGTTAAACAGGTTGAATACACCTGTAGTTCCTCCAGCAGACAGCAGAGTGCGCTCCAATAAAATACACTGGAGTCAAGGACTGATAGGAAGAGAGTCAGCTAATACTGTCATTGTATACAGGTATTCTGTGTACTGTGTACTCTGTGTACAGGTACTGTGTACTGTGTGTACTGCAGTAATGTGTGTACTAACCAGGTCTCATGGCGTAGCGGTCCAGACTCTTCCTGCGGTTAACACGGTGGTTGTAAGCGTCGTAGTCCACGTCATTCCTATAATATCGATCCTCCTGCGGCTGCTGCAACAGACACATGGGACACCAGGTGAGGGACACCAGGTGAGTGGGAGAGTGTAACTTTAACCTGTATGACCTCTGACCTCTCCTGTCTGAGTGACAGGAAGTTGAGTTTGTTAAACTTTAAATATGTTTGGTCTGAGACCAGTGTATGAGAGTCAGACTGTGTGACAGGTGTGTGATGTACCTGGACAGACTGTCGTCGTGAGTGAGGGAAATAATCCTCTGAGTCAAAGTCCATGGGATGGACAGACAGCAGACGTTTACTCTTCCTCATCTGAAATCACAGCAGGAAGTTCATTAAAACCTGCTTTATTCACATGCAAACATCTGTTTTCACATCTGTTTAGGTATTTACCACTTTGTAGCGCTGAGCCTCAGCGTCGCCATGGTCGTCCTCGTTCCCATTGAACATGTCTGCAGGTACAAAACAAAACTCACTTCACATTTAAACAACAATCTTCATTTGTCTAAACATAGTGACAAAAGACTCAGGCTGTGTTTTTGTTTTTGTTTATCATCTGAGTTTGGACAACAACAGACACATTCAGCTGTTTGCTGTTGTTGGTGTTTTATTGTTGACTCACACTTGTGGACGTCCGGCATACTCTGAGTATCATCATCACGACCACCTGATCAAAACACACACGTGCTTCAGTTACATGTTTTCACTCATTTATTAGAAATATTCATTCAGACTTTATTTACTGTCTGTCGCTAACATTCATGTTCGTCTCATGTTCCTTCAACAGGTGCATCACTCACCTGGAAATAACATTCATTCATTCATCACTGAGCTTTTTACATCATCTACAGGTGAGTGCTACAGGTGACAGGTGTGATGATGACTCACCGTCTCCATTCAGCCTCTTGTACAGTGACCTCATGACTTTGGCGCTGCCAAAGCGTTTGAATCGGTTTCTGACATTGTCATGGTACCAACCCAGAGTCCCCATCTTCAACACTCTGTATGTAAACAACAACAACAAAAACAATAACACAACAACAACAACACAACGACAACAACAACAACAACAACAACAACAACACAACAACACCACAACAACAACAACATGACGACAACAATACAACAACAACCACAATGTGTATTAGTCTGAGACAGATGTATCTGCCCCACCCCCCCACCCCCCCACCCCAACCACCCCCACCTGTCCAAGTCTCACCTGCCCCCCCCCACCAAACTGGTCTCAGGCTCACCCCCCACCACTTGTCCCAGTCTCACCTGGTCATGCGACAGTTGTCACACACCCAGCCGTGCTCCTTCTTGTTGTAGCGGCTGCAGGACTTGCAGGTGAACATGTGACAGTCCAGACACTGACGCTTGCTGTTGACCAGGAACTTGAAGGGCTGCAGGCAGCGGATACACAGAGAGTCGGACACTCTGCTCTCAGAGCCCAGCAGCTCGCGCTTCGTGTCCTCCTTCTCGATCTTCGTCTTCAGGTCACTGAAACAACAACAGGGGACAGGTTGGTCAGGAAGTGGACTGAGACAAAGCTCCACAGATTCCTCACAGACGTGCTGTCACACATTATAAATAAAGTTTTAACAGTGACTGGACGTGTTCCTGAAAAGTTCTCTCTCAAAGCAGATGTGGCAGCAGCTGTAAGTGAATGAACAGTGTGTTCTCAGAGCTTCATGTGACTCCATCATTAAACTCTGAGGGTTTGTTGTTCTCCACATGCATCACACGATCACACTGCTGCAGGCAGTCACACACATTCACAGCTCTCACTAAACTTTATTCAAAACCTCAGAAACGGACAAAGAGAGAAGCCAAACATCCGTCCTGATAAAGACTCTGGATGTTCTGACATCATGAATTAAAGTGAATTTAAAAAGTGAAACAAACTTCAAACAACATCTGACGAATCGTTCAAACATTAACATGGACTTCTGTTTCACACTGATGAGTTTTTCTGTTCAGTGTCAGTAGAAATCTCACATCACTTCAAACCAAGTGATGATTTGACTGATTCGTTCTTAGACCCAGACTCTTCCAGCTGTCTATGAGTTTGCCCCCGGGGCTGATGGGAGCTGGAGTCTTTAGTGGAAACACAGGGAGTCTTTGTGAGCTTCCTGTTTTCTGCTGCAGACTCTCGTCCGTGTGACTGAGCCATGATCAACTGCGACAACAACAACGTCTTTCACGCTCACATTCCTCCAACCTTTACATGAACCAGAAGAATCAAGAGCTGAGCTCAGACAGACACACCTGTACAGGTGAGCTGAAGATCAGCTCCTTCATTAACACGTCTCAATCACATGGTTTAGCCCCAGAGAAAAGACTCCACTGTATTTGAACCAATCATCTCATACAAACATTATTACATCTGTATTAATGTGTAGTAAAGTGTAATAATGTGTAGTAAAGTGTATTAATGTGTATTAAAGTGTAATAATGTGTATTAAAGTGTAATAATGTGTATTAAAGTGTAATAGTGTGTAGTAAAGTGTAATAATGTGTAGTAAAGTGTAATAGTGTGTATTACTGTGTGCATATATATTAAACTATATTAAATTGATCCAGAGCCTTTTCTTTTCAAAGATGAATAAAATGCAAATGTTTGAAAACACAGTGGAATATGAACCATGGAGTATGAATGACGAAGATGAAGGGATGAAGAAATGAAGAGATGAACAGATGAATGGATGAAGAGATGAACAGATGAATGGATGAAGAGATGAAGAGATGAACAGATGAACAAATGAAGAGATAAACATGAATGGATGAATGGATGAATGGATAAACGTACCCAAGTCTCTCCTCCTCCTTCTTGCGGAGGTTAAAGTCTCGTTGAATCACCTCCCACACGTGTTTCGCTTCTTCGTCCGTCAGACGGGTAAGATCCAGTTTTCTCTCCATGACGCTGAAAAATCACAAACACATTCAGGTCATCGTCATCGTCATCGTCATCATCATCACCATCATCATCATCATCATCATCGGCATCATCAATGTCATCATCATCATCATCATCACCATCATCATCACCATCATCATCATCACCATCATCATCATCATCATCATCATCATCGTCATCATCATCATCATCACCATCATCATCACCATCATCATCATCACCATCATCATCATCACCATCACCATCACCATCATCATCATCAATGTCATCATCATCCTCATCACCATCATCATCATCATCACCATGACAACAGTTGCTGGGGTTCCTCAGGGTTCTACTGTTGTTCCTTTATTAAAACTAAATGCAGCCAAACATCATATAAATGATATAATAATGTAAATTATGAGTTTTAGTTTTAGTTGTAAAAGTAATAAAAATAATAAATTATAATAAAAATGAAGCTTTGAGGAAAAATGTTGTAATTAATACATGTCAAGAAATAAGAGAGAAATACGTCACTAATCTACTATGATGTCATCTGTGTCCAGGTGATGTCATAGTGATGTCATCAGACTACAAATGTCTACCATCCATCTAAGTCCATTGACCAGCAGGAAGCTCTAATGGAAGACTGTCCAGGTCCATTATGGGAGAAGTCAGAAGCTGCAGGAGTTTTTGAACAAACTGTCGTGTTTTGAAGATTTCAAATCAGTGATGTCATCATCGATGTCATCATGTGAACTGTCACAGGCCCTCACCACAGTCCAGTTCAATAAAGACGGATGATATCATCATGTGATGTCATCAGTGAGTCCTAAGGAGTGAAATGAGTCGATGATCTTTAGAAAAGAAAAGAGGAAAGTCTGAAAAGATGAACAGCTTTCATCTGTTAGGAACCACAGGCCTGGTCCCGGTCCAGTTCCAGGTCCAGGTCCAAGTCCAGGTCCAGGTCCCAGTCCCGGTCCAGTTCCAGGTCCAGGTTCAGGTCTTAGGTTAATGTTCATGTTAACGGTGCTGCGGTTTGAGTGAGTCAGTTGCAGTGGGTCACCACACCCTGATGATGATCGTTTCTATCGTCTCTGATGTTTAAAACTTTAAAAACACACCATCAGTCAGCTGATTGACACCTTCAAAATAAAAGACTTTTACTCACATGAGGACGTTTTCTTTACACTCAGATTTTCACTGATTATTTAATCTGTTTGAACAAACATACACTGGTTTAATTCACTGAGCAGCTGATTAACTCTGAGTATTTGAGATCTTCATTTACATTTGACAGTTTAAACAATTAAAAGTAAAATATTAAATAAGAACAAGTTGATCAACATAACAAGTCACATTTCAGCTGTTAGACCATTAAAGACAGACAAAGGTTTGACTGTGACTTGATTGAGTTTACACTGAGGTTTAACGTGTGACTCCAGTTTAAATTCATTAGTTAATAAATGAGATTAAAGAGCAAAGAGATGAACTGACCGTGTTCCTCTGAGGCTCCGGGCTGAAGTGAAGAGACGTCTGAGCTTCAACTGAGAGAATCAGCTGATCACATGATGACTGTCCTCCTGACAACCAGCACAACAACACACTGCTGCAGGCCACGACACACACACACACACACACACACACACACACACAGTAACACACTGAGTAACACACACACACTCAGTAACACATTGAGTAACACACACACACACACACAGTAACACACACACTCAGTAACACACACACAAAGTAACACACACACAGTAACACACACACTCAGTAACACACACACAACACACACACACAGTAACACACACAGTAACACACTCAGTAACACACACACAGTAACACACTCAGTAACACACAAACTCAGTAACACATACACAGTAACACACACAGTAACACACTCAGTAACACACACACAGTAACACACTCAGTAACACACAAACTCAGTAACACATACACAGTAACTCACAGTAACAAACTCAGTAACACACTCAGTAACAAACTCAGTGACACATACACACAGTGACACATACACACAGTAACTCACAGTAACAAACTCAGTAACACACTCAGTAACACACACACAGTGACACACACACAGTAATACACAAACTCAGTAACACACACAGTAATACACAAACTCAGTAACACACACAGTAATACACAAACTCAGTAACACACACAGTAACACATTAACTCAGTAACACACACAGTAACACACTCAGTAACACACACACACAATAACAGACAGTAACACACACAGTAACACACACAGTGACACACACAGTAACACACTCAGTAACACACACAGTAATACACTCAGTAACACACACAGTAACACACTCAGAAACACACAAACTCAGTAACACACTCAGTAACACACTCAATAACACACTCAGTAACACACACAGTAACACACTCAGTAACACACACAGTAACACACTCAGTAACACATACAGTGACACTCAGTGACACACTCAGTGACACACACAGTGACACACTCAGTAACACACACAGTAACACACTCAGTAACACACACAATAACACACACAGTAACACACTCAGTAACACACTCAATAACACACACAGTAACACATACAGTGACACACTCAGTGACACACTCAGTAACACACAGTAACACACTCAGTAACACGTACAGTAACACACTCAGTAACACACAGTAACACACTCAGTAACACATACAGTGACACACTCAGTGACAAACTCAGTGACACACACAGTGACACACTCAGTAACACACACAGTAACACACAGTAACACACTCAGTAACACATACAGTGACACACTCAGTAACACACACAGTAACACACAGTAACACACTCAGTAACACATACAGTGACACACTCAGTGACACACTCAGTAACACATACAGTGACACACAGTGACACACTCAGTGACACACTCAGTAACACACACAGTAACACACTCAGTAACACATACAGTGACACACTCAGTAACACACACAGTAACACACTCAGTAACACATACAGTGACACACTCAGTAACACATACAGTGACACACTCAGTAACACACTCAGTGACACACACAGTGACACACTCAGTAACACACACAGTAACACACTCAGTAACACATACAGTGACACACTCAGTAACACATACAGTGACACACTCAGTAACACACTCAGTGACACACACAGTGACACACTCAGTAACACACACAGTAACACACTCAGTAACACACACAGTAACACAAACAGTAACACACACAGTAACACAGTAACACAGTAACACAGTGTGCGTTACAGTCTGACTAAAAGGTTTTATCAAGAAAACATGTGAAATAAACTAAAAACTGTTTAAAAGTGAGTCCAGATTAATTTAAGACCAGATCTGTGTCAGGACTAGGTCCAGTCTCAGGTGCATCAGGTGGATCAGGTCCAGCCTCAGGTGCATCAGGTGGATCAGGTCCAGGTCCCTCAGTTAATCTCATGACTTCAGACTCATAAATAAACATGTTGATCAGTTGAGAGCCTCCTGCTGCTTTAAATAAATCTTCATCTATTTAATACTACCCCCCCTGCCCCCAGCTTTTGCTCCTTGTCCTCATCGTCCGTGTGACCCACTTCAGTCCAGCTGCTGCTCTAATCTCTTTTATCAGTCACATCTATTTTAGACTCTCAGTCCAACTGTCACACTGTGACTCATGCTGGTCAGTGAACGTCTCACTGTCCACTTCACTGCAGGACACTGACAGTCAGTGGAAGAAGAGAGCTTGTCTTTGTGATCTTCAGTCCTGACTTTTATTTTGAAAGTCTGTTTGTGAAGAAGCAGACTCAACATCCAATCAGAAAGATCCAGATTCATTTCCTGTCAGTCCACAGCGTCTGAATATGACTGTGATGATGATGATGATGATAATGATGATGATGATGATGATAACACACTGTGTTCAGTGTCTGACAGAGTCAACATGATCCTCTGAGTCTCCTTCACGTTTCTCAGTATGTGAACACCCCACCAGCAGCAGCAGCAGCAGCTGAGGGAGGGCAGAGGTGGGGCGGGGGGGTTACCAGTATTTATGTCTGATGTCTGAAACAGGAGACTCACAGAAACATGTGCAGCAGATTTAACTTCACATGAAATAAGCTGAGACATGACAGTGACTGAAAACACACGACAACCTTGAACACAACGTGACTGAAGACATCTGAGGAGATGAAAAGAAGACATGAGTCCAGAACCTCCTCCTCCACTCAGACCAGTTTCAGGTCACATCCTGTTTATCCAGTGTCATAGAAAATCATTCAAATATAAATCAAAGCTTGACCTTTGACCTTTGACCACCAAAATCTCATCAGTTCCTCCTTGAGCCCAAGTGAACATTTGCGCCAAATGTGAAGAAGTTCTTTCAAGGTGTCACTGAGATATCGTGTCCATGAGAATGAGACAGACAGACAACCTGAAAACAAAATGGCCGACGGTTCTGACTGTCAAAATGAAACTACAGAAAACAAAGACAGACAGGAGACGGAGGGTTGAGACGAGACCAAACAGGACTGGACATGAGACACCACAACAAACCAGGTGAACCAGTTTCTGGACTGAATCTGTGTGCAGGTTCATCATGGTCAATCAGCTGTTGCGGAGGTCAGAGGTCGAGCTCAGCACCAGGATCCACTTTCTTCTCTCCTTTGTCCCTGGGTCTATTTAAAGACTGAGACTCTGGATCTGGTTTCTGATCCAACCAGGTCCAGGATCTCATCTCACACACAAAGGTGACCCAGGTGTGAGGACTGATCAGCTGACTGGAACATGTCATGGCACTAATGACTCCTCATACCCTCTTCACACAGTGAGTGTGACGTGATGTGATTCAGGTCGACCTCTTCGTCCTCCTCATGTCCACCAACAGCCCTGAGAACAGCCCATGTCTGTTTCCCAGCATGCATCAGTCCAGCCGGTTCAGAAACATGACCCCCCCCCCACCCCACTCCAAAAAAAAGAGCCCTGTTCATCACATCTATTCCCG